AAAGAACAATGACTCAATCTTTTTAACATTTTCTCTTTCATTTTTGTCTCTTCAACATTACTTTGGCCTTTTTGTGCATACTTTTAATTGTCATAGTCTGTACACACGTAAACAATCAGAAAGAAATCCAACTACTCATCTCACATGACATTTCAAGAATATAACTCCAGAAATTCGATTATAATCAGATTTTGGTGTGCATGTAAATATGGGCAGTGTAGAATATAAAAGTGTGAAACTAATAGCTTCAGAAGAATGACATTCAAAATAACATCTTATTTTGATCAAGATCTAATTCTTATTATAGACATACTGGAACACTTGTAAATGTTCAGATCAAAGTTGTTTTCTTAAGATCTGGGAGAAATCATCTTTGACATCATGGCGTGCCTCTAATATGAAGATTCATACCCCCTCCGAGCAACAGGGGGCAGGCTGTGTTACATGGTGCCCAGCTACCCCTCTGGCAGCTCTGACCTCTGCCCACACAGAGCATTAGATTTAATTGTGTCTGGAGGAAGTGGGCCATCTTAAAGACAAGCTAGCTTTTAGGCCACAGGGTTTTGGGGAGTGCGTCAACATTTACGCACGCAAGCCACTGGGAGAGATTTGGGAACCATTTTAATAATCAGCTGATATTTACAGGTAAATGTTGAATTTAATTGGGCCTTGAGTGGATTTCACAGGAGTTAAGATGGTGACATTCACTTAACGAAAGAGGAAGTGTCTTATTTTGCGCAGTTATGTTACTTGTGAAACTACAGCTGCAATGCAGAGGAGTGTGATGGCCATGATCCCAATTTTGTTGTGATTTTATTGGACTAATTGATCAAGAAATGAATAAGAAGAAATAACGCTCATATTTTCAGTGATTTACTTTTATGATAGTGGCATAGAAGAAATCTGAAGCTCAATGGATCATAAATTGGACAAAACAATCTGAACCTCGGTGAGACTTTCTTGATTACATAAGTATTAAATAAAACTGGGCAGGAAAAAGTCATAGGTTTTTCACATGTTGGTAAATGGTCAAGTTTGTATATAGCGCTTTTCTACCTTCAAGGCACTCAAAGCACTTCACATCGAGGAACTACTCACCCATTCACACACAGATTCATACACCAGCGTACACAGACACTGGGGGTGGGGTGGTTCTGACAGCTCTACTAATGATGTTTATATCGAGAATGGGATCCGAACGGCGAACCTTCAGCTCAGTGGAGAAACAAGCGACTCCGTTGTGGTGATGTTTTATACACAATTCTTAGCATCTACTCATTTAAATGAATAGTATATGAGTTAAGCTGGTCATACAACTGTGATGATACCTTCACTGGTATAGGGTGACTATTTTAAAGGTACGTTATGTAACTTTTCTTGTTAAGTGCATGCTAATTGATTGTGTGGAAATGTTATTGTGTTGCGGTGTTATATCAAAAAGAAAGTACATGCATCAGTAATAGGGCATATCATTAAGAAGCTGCCGATATGATACATGCCTCAATACAGTGCACTTTCGATTCGATACAATATATTTCAAATTGATTCGATACAGTTCAATAAAATATAATGGCTAAGTCATGGCTAAGATATTAAAAGTCTCTGTTAAACCACTTCTTGTGTGAAGTTCATATGAAATTTTGAATCCTCAAAACAGTGAATATGTCAAAAGTGTCACATAAATGAGTTTCCTTCTTCTAAACAAACAACAAAATAATTTAGTAAAATATACCAAAAAATACTCTTTGCCATATATCGATACAGCAGCCCACGATATTGATACTGTATTAAATTATTACAATATATCGATATTTCAATATTTTTGCACACCCCTAATCAGTAATATGAGCTGGGTCGCCTCTCCACAGATATGATGGATATACTCAGACTTTGTAGCTGATGTTATCAACTTTCCTTGGGAGTGTGAAGCTAACTGGAAGCACTACTCTGTTAGAAGCTCTGTTACTTTAATTAGACTTTAATTTGAGCTTTATTTGAACACAATCTGCTAGCATTAGACAACAGTTTTTCAGTTTGTCACTCTCGCATTTTTTGTTGAAAATCATCTAAACTGGACCATGAACGCTCGTTTTGATCACAGGCTCCTAAAAATGGGTTGTTTAAAACCATTTTGTAGTTTTTCTGTGTTCGTTGTGTCACCATGGTAACAGTTGAACATTCTGCCAAAAGAGATACACATAGAACACCCAGCCTGATGTCACTGCAAGTATAATATAAGTTTGTGTCCATACTTTTCAGATATTCCAGGAAAAGCAATAAAATCTCCATTCACACGTTCCAATGGTAGACCCTCCACCAGAAATGTTACATAGTGTGCCTTTAATTAACAAGGTAGTTGAAGTATCATGGACTAAACTGGATCATGACCATTTAAAAACAGTTTGTTCAGGTTCAGATGTTAAGTCATATCTGTTATACATCCCTTTGGCCACAGCAGGGCACCAGACGCTTACAGCTAGATTTTTGAGCTGAGACTCTTCTCGCTTTGAATGTAAATCAATTTAACCCCAGTTTTATCACACAAGTCCCCAATATTTGTGTGTCTAACTTAGCATTTCGAAAAGAAGACAGCTGAAGGGACTTGGGAGGAAATGTCAAATGGCAGCTCTGTCCAAAGAATTCTCAAATACCAAGCTCTTTAGAAAAACATATTACTTCTTACACTAGCCCCAAAGCTACTGCTGGTCCGTGACACTGCTCTCGGAGTCCAGCGGAGGATAATTTGCCCCAGATTACTGGGCAACATTGATCTTAAGGTTGAGTTGATACATCCTAACACCCATCTCTTAACTTTTCCTCCCCTCCACGGGCATTAGAGGGGCGAGCGTGTCTCCTCTTTGATTGTGCAACGTAATTATCACGCTTCATTTGGCATTTAGCACAGCTGGTATTTGCACTACCTCAGTGATCACCTCAGAGCTGATTGCGTCTTGCTGTGGAGGGCTGGTTTCTTTGGTGCGCTAACAACTTCCCTCGAGTTGAGAAAGAAGAAATTAAGAGGCACAACAATCAGATTACCAAGTTGTTTTACAAGTTGTATTTTTTTCATTTTGTCCATAGACAGACAGTAAATATGAACTTGAAATGGCATGCATGGTTAAATAAAAAGGCAAATGAGCACATCACATGTTTTACTAGAGACAGAGGATGTAAATATATGTTAGACAGTGTTATTACAATAATCTGAGAGTTTTAATGGTGCACTTTTTGGCAGGTCTGTCACCTGCTTGTTTCTATAGATATGTAATTTCTCTGCCTGGAATGTTCCGCAGTATGACATTAAACAGTTCCACTTTACATTTACTCAATTACAGGTGGATTTACAACTCAAAAATACCAAGAAAAACTGGTCTGGCAGGGATGCCTGTAACTTGGTCTGGTTTGGTCTCCAAGAAGAAAGAAATGTTTAAAACCATACTGTGAAATATTCAAGACATAGCAATAACATCTCCATGGAGAAAAGCATTTCACAGACGTTCCACCAGAGAAGATACACAGTGCACCTTTAATGTAAAAATATATACTTGTACTCTGACAATACTTTAATGTCTAAACAAAAAATATCACTAGTTCTCCATATATTTGGAATAATTGCCCATTAAAATGGAATAAAAGTATATACGCCCTACTGACATGTGTATGTAATGAAGGCATGTTACCAGGTGTCATTTCAGATTTGCATCATTAACAGAGATGGGTAGAGTAACCAAAATTTTTACTCTTGTATGAGTAGGTCTAACGTTACTTTAAAATAATATTACTAAAGTAGAAGTATAATGACCCAAATATGTCTGTGTAATCCCTCAGTCGTCCAGGTAGCGTCCATTAGTTTCGCAGTTCATCCAAGCGGCGTCTTCAGTTCTGGTTAGATTGCTGATGGACCCTGCCTTATAACTGCCCAAAGGGAGGAGATAACTACACTGAAACTAAGCCATCTACTTGTTTACAGTTTCTATTTGTTAACTATGTTTACTGAACTGCACTAAGTGTGAAGTGCGCCAAACTGTCACTATTGTTTTCCCTGTTTTGGTAAATTCTCTTATGAAGTGGCTGTTTTTTTTTCTCCAGTATAAGACCCAGTGCCATCTTTGCTATACTGAATGGAGTAGACCACCTTGCTTTGTTTGTGGTTCGGGATTTTGTCCTTTAGGTCAGCCCGTTTCTGTCTCAAAGTTTTTGTCAGTTTGAAATAGACTGGGATCTCATACTGCTTCATTTGTTGCATTGAATGCCCATTTTCATCACGTTCTTCTGGGGAAAGTGAAGGAAGTTTCTGTCTTCAAGTGTTTGTAGGTTTGAAATAGACTGGGACCTCATGTAGTCCAAAAATCCAGCCGTGTAAGGAATAGCTAGACCCTGTCTCCTAGGTCCTGATTGTCTCTTGTCCAAGCATGGCCTTCTGCACATATTGTTCTTCTTTCAGAGGAAATAGTGAAAGAAGAACAGCATGTGAGAAAGCCCTCCCTCTTTGGGGGTATCCAAAAGGGGTATTCAATAAAACAAAGAGAGTTTAAACCAGGACAAGGCAACTATTCTTTACACAGCTGGTGTTTTTGAGAAGTTACAATGCATTTTATTTTGCTAGCGACCCAAATAATTACCATCAAAAGTATTTGGATAAACTACTACTCAAGTACTGATTAACAGTTGAAAATTAAAATGTATTTATGATTTATGATTTATCAGTTAATGTAATCACTTAGACTAACCACTGAATAATATGATTCTGGAATTTCCCAAGAGTAGAAAATTACAAAATCAAATCATCTTTTGTCACTATAGACTTACTTATGGTAGGAAACCATAAGTAAGTAAACCTTTTACTTAAGTAAGAGTACTGTTACTTCAATAAATAGATGCTGTCAGAAAACGTCTCTGAAATGTACAATTTGTTTGAAAAGTTAATAAATGTTAATAAAGTGGGTATTACCCTCCTCTGAAATTTAATACAAGTAAAAATAGTGTTTTAACTGAAAAGATTTGTATTGTATTTAAATGTATATTCTGGGCATATTATTCCAACTTACTGGGAGTAAGTCTGTATACCATTCTTCATACGCACTGACATATGTACAAACAGCATTTTCTCGACTCTATACAGCACATGTACAGACAACGCGGTGGCCACAACTGGTGGTGATTTTCGGAGACTTGAATTTGAAATGACGGCGACGTTTCGGCACAGTCAGATTTGCTACAACACCCCCTGGCATGACACATAGGAGTCACTGTCACTTGTAACATGGCTCAAGTCCATCAAATAACAGCATACAAGCACCCAGTATCACCCATAACCACTGATCCTTTCGCCTTCTTCTGCCATTTAAGCCCCTGTCCTGCATACCACCTAGTTAGAGAATGTCCCATTTTTTCATTGATTCCACAAACTTTGCATAAAAACTGAGATTTTACATAGAAAACTTGATCAGATATTTGTTCTTGCAAAGAAATTAAGATTTTTTGAGACTACTGGCTTTCATAATTGTAAAATATCTCACTCTTATTACGTTCCAATTGACTTAAAATCATATAGTGTTTTTGCAGTTATTGTTGATGTCCATTCCTCCACGTCTCAACACATTCAACAACTCTCTTTTTCACACTCTTTTTCTACGATTTGAGGTGGTCACCCTACTTAAGATGAGTGGTTTTAAGCAACATAGTCAGGAAATATAGTCCACTCTTATCACCTTTGACCTCAGTCAGCATAAAGGATGAACCCTGAGAAGGTGCTGTATTTGTTGCTGTTGCCCCCGTGAGCTTTGCCCCCGTCCAGTTTAATGAAGACCTCATCTCCAGCGTCCAGATGAAGGATGACACTGTTGCTGGCGTAGTCATAACTCTGGTCTTGGTCTTGTGCGATGGCGCTGGCTCTGACCTGGTAGTGACAAGCACACACAATGTAAACACAGATTCAGCAGTGACCTACATAAAAAAAACACCACATATCAAATTTTAGTTTTAGGATTACTGTGAGGAGATACATCACGAGTTTATAATTTTTCTGGATTATGACCAAACAACATCCTTCATTCACTTTCATTCACAATAAGTCACAATTCCTCTAGTGTATCACCACCAGTTTAAAGGTACAACTTTTCTGGTGGAGGGTTTGCTACCTGCTTGTCTCCATGGGGATGTTATTGCTGTCCCTGGAATGTTCCATGGTATGACATTAAACATATGTATTTATTTCTCAGTTATAGTTTCTATTGCTCAAAACACAATATCAATAAAAAACAAATCAACAATTAATCTATACTGTGGAATAACAGAGTAACATTTCCGTGGGGGCAGGTGGCGAACCCTCCTCTAGAAATGGTACGCATTGCACCTTTAATGAAATCAGTTAATGTGACAAAAAAAGAAAAACAACTCAGATGAAACAGATAAAAATGACAAAAAAAACATTTAGGTTGATTTTTGTCAAGATTATGATTTTTTTTTATTCTTACCATTATATTCTGATGATTATTTATAACCGAATAATGTTGAGATCCTTAGCTCTATGTTTTACATAAGCGCGAATAGCAGCCTGTAATAACTGTCTAACTAATTATAAACCAGCCCTTTGATTTGCCAGTCTAGCTCTAGACTGTATGTGTAATTACAGTGCAATATTTTACAGGCTAGTAATTAGCTACACATAAAGCTGTTTATATGTCTTACAAATCACATGTTAACTAGCCCAGACACTCAACGAGTTTGTCACTGTAAAATCTGTAATTATAAAAAGTTAAGGAAACACACAAAAAGAGAATTTTATAGTAGCAAAATCAAATTTAGTTTTTGCTGCTTTGCCAAGATATAAGCAAACAAAAGCTTATATTGTCAATAGTAATACTTAGACGAATACTTTGGTGAAAAATAAAGCATTCAATTAGTAGTAGAGCGTTATCAGCAACTACAAATCTAGCTTTTATACAACATCCACACAATCTACATATTTTCTTTTTTAATATTTTCGTTTATATAATGGATTATATTGGTAAAAGCACTGTAACATAATATATACAGCATTTGACTTTATATATTTCCTCGCCATGTGAATATGTTGTTTTTCTGTACAGCCAACAAACTCAATGACTCAATCTAAAGGGTCAGTCAGGATAGATTAAGGTACCCTCTGAGAAGAACTGACATGCTCTCCATGCATCTATTGCTTTAAAGAAACTCCCTTTTCGATTTAATTCTATATTTTCCATAGTGAATCTCCAGCTCCTGTGTGTGGAGCCGGCGTTTTGACCTGGGAGGATGTGGAGGATATGGAGTGACGTGTAATCAGGACTAAAGCGTGTGCCAGCAGCTGCAGGGTCCAAGTGTAAAGGTTAGTCGTGAATGACAGAGTGATGATGGACAGAAATGCAGTGCAGCCTCAACGCCAGCCTACAAATATACAGCATTTTCTGTGCATTATAAGTTCCCTTTAATCTACAGTACATACATAACGTTTAATAATTATGAGACTTACAATATATAAAGCAGTGGTGGAAGGTAACAAAGTACAGAAGTAAAAGTACAATACTTAAAGGTACAATGTGGAACTTTTCTGCTGGAGGGTCCATGACCTGCTTGTTTCCATGGAGATATTATTGCTTTGTCTAGAATGTTCTATCTATCTCATGGTAGACAAGTATAGTCTAGATTACAGGTCAGATCTGTGGAGAGGCAACCCTATTCACAGAGAGAATGAATAAATATAGATGTTTAATGTCATACTCTGGAACATTCCAGGCAAAGCAACAGAATCTCCATGGAGACACTCCACCTTTAAGTAAATTTTACAGTGGATACTTTTTACTTTTACTTTACTACATTTGAGAGCATATATCTGTACTTTCTACTCCATTGCATTTTAGATTTGGACTGAAAAGCAAAAACTGAGTTAACATCCCAACTTCAAGCAAAAACTAGCTAGAAAGCTAGAAAATTTGAGAAATTAATTTGATCACTTAAAATCTGCAATTTATTTATTTATTTTTTATCAAAATCGCTACATTTGATGTTTTAACAGTTCAAAAAATCTCAATCTCTACAAAATAATTTTTACTACTCTTGGAGTACATTTTTGAACTAGGTACTTACAATACAATAGTTTAACTTAGAGGTTGATGATGATGCTTATCTTAATTGAGTACTGCATCCACCACTGATATAGAGTAATATATACACTAAATCTAATAATTGAAATAATTTAACATTTGGAAAAATATGGTTAGACATATCAAGGCACAATATTACTTGATTATTTAATTGAGATTTTAGGGTCATGTTAATTGCATTTATGTCATGTTTCCATGTTTACTTGCTTACCAACTTTGTCTGGAAATACCCTAAAAGTACATACATTATATATATAAAATAATTATGTTATTGTCACATAAAGTAATATTTAATTGAATGCCTTCATACATTGAAAAAGTATGCTATATGTCATATCATCTTTCTTATGATTAAGATTAATAGTTATTATTAGTACATACATTAAATGTAACAACTGAAAAATGGTTAAATAGTACTTTACATTTTTATTAAATTGACATTTGTGGTCATGTTAATTGGAGTCTTTGGCAATGGCTACATTTTCAGGTTTTGACTCTCATCCATTTGTTTTATTACACTATGTTGTCTGGAGATACCCCAACAGATAATGCCCTTTAAAATAGTTATGTTATTGTGATGTAAAGTAAGAAGAAATAGATTGCCTTCATGAACTGAAAAATGCTTAATGTCAAGGTATTTTTGATATCATAATCATTACAGTTTTGTGCAGTGTGTACCAGATCTAGATTTACATGGTAGGCTTGATCACTGGCACCACCTGGAGCCTTAAAGACATTACCAAATTACCCATGGAAGGAGCCTATATCATAATTCCATATCAAATGTCTGGAGCTGACCAGCCGTGTGAAAATGCAGAAGTTTGTTGTATTTCAAAGAGCACCTGCTTTGAACTGGTCACTCCTCGCGGCGCTGTTTTGATGTGTGCAGAGAGGAGATAGCAGCTCACTCCATCCACTCACTTCAGCGTTTACAGCATGTGTAATATGCACAGATACGCACTCGGGAACCCTGCCTCTGTGTATTGTCATGTTGTTCTGTAACACCAAGTCTTAAAATTACCATACAGATGAATGCATGACTATTCAATGCACTACACATCCTTCTGTCCCCCGAGCACTTTTAGAGTTCATAATGTTGAGTGTGTCAGAATTACCAGCAGTGTTCGTTCTTCTACTTTTGTTTTCTTAGTTATTAATAAATACAACAGTGTAGAGTTGTATAGTTAAGGATACACACCAGACCGTTCTTGAGCAGGTCAGCCCACATGCTGGTGCCGTCTCCTCCTCTCATCAGGACATTGTAGATGAAAAAGTAGGTGCCCGGGATCTTGCAGGTGAACTTGCCAGTTGCCCCTTCGTAGTTGCCCCCAATATTTGTCACCACATCGTCAAAGCGCAAGATATCATAGCCTTCCTGAGGGTTTCTTAGTCCAGCGTAAAAAGCCACTCGAGGCGTTGTGTTGTAAGTGGTTGTACTCACCCCTTTTCCTCCCAGTCCTAGAATGCCTGTTCTTACTATGTCCATGTTATCACCAGGGGGTCCTCGAGGTCCAGGGGGTCCGGGCTCTCCAGGGGGTCCCGGGGGGCCAGGCTTCCCTGGTTTTCCTGGTCTGCCCAGTGAGCCATGAGCGCTGTAGGTTGGCAGCGGCGGGCCAATACTGTGGTCTCCCAGGTCTTCATCATGTTCCACCGGTAGACCTGGAGTTACTGAATCTGTGCCCGCATGGACCCCCATTCCTGCAGTGCCAGTGCTGGGGTACGGGTCACACACCATGCGACAGGTCCCGAGCATTTCGAAGTGGCTGGCGCTGTCGTCCGACCCCCCTGTGCCCACCGAGCTCACCAGCACCGGTATCAAAACCACCAAGACCAGGACCAGCATGACCCCCATAGCAGCTGCCACCAGGGTCTTCCGCCCGATGCTCAGCCGGGGAAGTGGCTGCGTTGCCAGCCTGGAGCTCTCCGGGGCGGAAATGGTGACTGTGGGGGGAGCCGCACTGGACCACCGGGCAAAAGGACCACCTCCACTGGGCGCTCGGAGCAGTAGGAGCAGGCTGCTTTTCGCCCGTAGAGCTGGTGGAAGAAGAAGCGCTCAGGGACTGGAGTGAGGGACCAAGTGATCAGAAAGAGAGGCAGTTTGAGAGAGGAGGGTGAGACAGCTGGAGAGTAAAAGAGAGAAGGAGGGAGAGGAGGAAGAGGAGGAGAGGCGCATCTAGTGAGTCAGGGCTAAGGAGGGCATTTCCACATGTGCCAAGGGAAACAAGAAGAACAAATCAGATGTGAAATGTAGACAATGAGCAGAAATTCAAAAACTCTCACCATTTTATGATAAACATATATATATCTCCTTAATATCTTATAATGCAAATGTGGACAGTTGTGGTCAGTTGAAATTAATACAGGAGTACACATATCAATTAAAATGTCAACATGGTAAGGATTTGAATGAGATATATTAACTGGAAAATGCTTAAAAGCGAAAAAGCAAGGTCGGGAAGTGTAATGGATATTTTTGCTTATGTCGTATATGCAAAAACTGGAAAGCGTCCAGGGATCTGTCTGTGGTCAATCTAGCCATAACCTTCAAAATATTGGAAAACCTGAATATCAAAATGTATAAAGTGAAAAAATAGCTAATCTTGCAATCATTTTAATAAGGAAACTGTCATAGTCAATCTAAAAATAGAATTTGTAGTGGCAACAAGTAGTTTTGGGTTGGCTTGCCTTGTTATGCAGTATCATAGTAGACTGACAGGAGCACATTGTACAAGGACCTTTGACAGTGGCACTGAGTCACAGAGTAAAAGCTTTAGTGAGTGTCAAATGATGAAGCATAGATCACAGTGTGCAGCGTTCAGTGACTGACAATATAATGGACTTTCACAAAGACATTGTTTAGACCAGGAGTACAAATACGTCACTTGACTTGCAGGTCCACCTACACAGGTTGGAACATGTTCTATAAAGGCCAAGTCCTACTTTGCAAGTTGAAGTCCATGTTAATTTTTATAAATAAAATGTAATAGATAAAAATTACACGGAGAATAAATCTAGTCAAAAATGTTTATTAATTTGACTAATAAGTGGCAATTAGGCCAGTTTTGTTTTATTCAGTATTACTTTTATTTTAATACAGCCTAATTTGTGAAATTAAAAAGTAATTAAAATGCTAATCATTTACTAAATTAATAATTTACTGAACTAAAAATTAAGAGGGAAAAGGTTAATATCCTTTTGCAGACACATGATGGGCACCTTCACAGAAGCAGCAGAGAAGGGACAGCTCAATAAATCTATTTTTTACACAAAAATGGCAACAGTTTTTAACATTTCCAGGAAGGGTAAGCTGAAACTCACTTAAATGATAAAGTAACTAAATGCTTAATTTGCATTTTTTATTTAATTATTTAATTACTTTCCTTATTGTAGTATACCAGCCGTTGTTGTGAAGTTTCATTTCTGAAAGCCACAGTGCCCTCTAATGGTGCTTGTTTTAATGGCACTTTACTTTTTCTGCTGCAAGTGCAGAACAAGTGTTAAGCAGCAGTTGATTGTTTTAGTCAGTGTCATAAAATAAAATGTCTTTCATAAAAGAGTAAGCAAATGTTACATAGTACAACTGCATATTCAGTATATTAATATTTTAATAAACAATCCTCAATACAACACCACAATTAAAAAACATCATAAAAGTGAAGTAAACTTGAATTATTAGCTTGTGTAAGAATATGCCTATTGTTTAGTTGGTTGGTCCGGTCTGGTAAGTCAGGGCTTAACCTCCTCTGACTCATCTCCACTGTTTGTTTGTTTTTAGGTGTGGTTGTATAACCCCCAAACTATTCAGGTGCTCAGACTAAAAACGACTGTGACAATGAGAAGCTTATTTTAAAATCTACATTTTAAAATCTTTAACTCACTTATAAAGGCAGCTCTTACTCCACAATACACTGCATACTAATGTACTAAATGTGCATGCAATGAAAGCAAGACCATGTGACTTTCACACATCACCTGCATAATTCAGTTAGATACAACCCTGCTCGCATGGATGCTTTTTCAGTACACTTTTTTGGGGGAAAACATTATGCAGCGGGGCTTTAAAAATCAAGATAAGAATTGCAAAATTGATACATGTTGGACCTCTTTCCAGAACAGTTTAAGAAATCTAATCTTTGGTCTATAGTAGTAAAAGCAGTAAAAACCAAAAATATATATATATTATAATTTGTTAACAGCCAAAGTTGAAAATGCAATGACCAATGCATTGATCTCTATGTTGCTTCCTTTCTGTTGCATGATAATTGCCTCCTTAAACTCAAAGGTAACGCTCACATTGAGAGGTGTGCCTGCTCTGGGAAAGGTGTGTCTTCAGTTTGTCTCTTCACCAAAGCTCCGAACTGTTTTCAGTGCTGTCCCTGCCTCTCTGTGTCACCTAAGACAAAGTAAGTTCTCCTATTTTAAGATATTTCTTACCATTGCAAAAATATTTCTCTAAATAATGTAACCTGCTTACACTGGTTTATTTAGTTTGTTATAATGTTATCAATCTACATTCCTGCACTTGTTCCTGTACTTGGAGGGTGCGACCTGATTTTAGCCTGATTTAAGTCCTGATGTAGACTTTGTTTGGTCCTGTTCTATAGTCCTGGTTTAGTCCTGGTGTAGATTAGGTTTAGTTTCATGCTTTGATCCCAGGTTTGACCCATTTTGTTGTAGTATTTTTAATATATAATCTGTATCCATGTGTTGTTATTGTTTTAGAGTTACATAGCCATCACCATGCCTGAGACTGCAGAAACCCACTCTGCCCACCTGCCCACCAACCGCCACTGCACAGTGGAGATATCCAATATCAGTAGCACGTACTGCCTGGTAAACCCCAAGTAAGCCTTCATTTAATCCTAATATGATACGCACACTACTGTTTTTGATATTAAGTTAATACTGTATATCTTTGTTTCCTCAGAGTCTACATGGAAAGCGGTTATTGCTACAGCCCTCCCCAGCCCACCGTGCGTAGCCAGCACACAGAGGTCTTCTCCTTCATCAAAGACGACAACACTGCATCTGGCGCTGTTGGGGTATTCACCTACGAACTTTTCAACATGCAAAAACGCCAGGCCCGCGAGATCATGGCCGTCATGTTCTCCGTGCCTTTCGATTATACCTTCTACAAAAACTGGCTGGGCGTGGGTGTGTTCGACCAGTCCAAGCCTTGTGATGAAGATCTGTACAAGCACATGTATAACGGCAAGGATTTTTCACACTTTGTACGCCACGAAGCTAATGGGTCAGGGATAGTGTTCTCCTCCAGTACTGTGGACGTGAGGGCGTGCATGTCCGACCAAGGCAAAGCTATCATCAAACTTGAACTTTACGATAAAATGTGTAGATGAGCTAATGTTCTGTTGCATCTTCGTGCACCAAATTGTAAAAATCAAACAACTTGCATATATATGTGGTCTATATGTATACTGGTGCAGCACAAATATAATAAAAAACAAGAACTACGTATTTTGTTTTTGCCTCTTTTGTGTTTTTATATATAAATTATAATGACAGAAAAGCACTCAGAGTTACATTGCCAGCTGCTGCAGCTAAATGTATAGTATTCAACCAAAGCATAATTTACAATGAGAGCAGGTTATGAAATGCCAGTTAGACCAGTTTTTTTGCCAATGGAAAATTTTGTTCTGCTTGTTTTACCTTTGTTGACATAGTTTCCTGAAGGATGGGACAGACATTTTTAGACACTGAGTAATCAGGTGGAGGTGGAGACATGTTTTTGGGTGGTACTTTTGGGTGTCATACATTCCCCAACAGGACAAGTCAACTGGAGCGGCAGTGGTTGTCGGTCTTCACACCAGTGTAGCAGGCTCAAATTAGACAAGGTAAGATGAAAAAATATATTATAAAAATGTTTTGTATAGGTTGCGTTATTGACTTGATTTGTAATTTTAAACAGCATCATGTCAGAATCCGCTGAAGCCGTGGCAGCTAATGCGTCCAGTCGAAGAAATGTAACTATTGAGATCACCAACCTCACCACGAATTACTGTCTGATCAACCCCGAGTGAGTGCATGAATTAAAAAGCAAATAGCATTTTATAGTATGGAAAATTAATGTGATTTTTTTTGTAAAGGGTGTACTTGGATAAAGGTAGCACTCTGATTCCACCCCAACCAACCGTGCGTCCTCTTAAAGTCGAGATGTGCAACTTCAGCAAAGACAGTGGCAAAGCCTCTGGTGCTGTGGGAGTCTTGTGCTATGACCTTTTTGAGAAGAACCGCCAGGATTACTTTGAGAAGGTAGCCATCATGTTCTCTGTCCCATACGACAGAAACATGTACAAGAACTGGCTTGCTGTGGGTATCTACAAAAAGGAAAAGGAGTGCAATGAAGCCTTGTTCAAAGAAATGTATTATGATAAAGATCCCAAAGGGTTTGTGAGGCAGGAGTGCAACGGAAGTGGAATCACATATGAGGGTAGCTACCTGGACATCAAGGCGACCATGTCTCCTCTGGGCAGGTGCATACTGAAGGTGGAGATATGGGAGAAACTCTTTTCCTCACCGAGCTCCAAACACTGAAGGCTGTCTGTAAGCAGTGTCATGTATGCATGCTTTGTTCCATATGCAACTGCTGTACCACCTATTCTTTGTAAGAAGTTAATAAATGTATAAACAAATAAAACATCTGTGTGATCATTCATGGTGAGACATCATTCAGTCTGACATAAAGTGCAATTTGTATCAGCCATATATACAATAAAGGTTATACATTTGTAATATTTATTCAGAAAACTCCTAAAACTGTCAGTCAACAAAATGTCTGTGCAGAGTTAGACATATTTTAGCTTTTTTCCCATTATTTTTATTTGTCTACATAATAGAATAAGGAAGGTAGTCATTAAAAAGACCACACCTACTTGCTACTTGTGGTATGTAGCCTGCTCTGTACAACAATCACAACTGAACCTGCAGGTTGCCAATCCCTTAACCTGCATATTCAGCACAAATACAGGTGTTTATGTTCCTCAGTATCTGAACAGCCGATGCCTCACATGAAAGCTCAGAACCTCCAGAGTTCACGCACTGAGCTGCAGAGGCTGCACCAGCACTGAGTAATGACTGACTGCAGGTGCCCCGTTCAGATCAGCGATAGGCAATTTAGGTTTAAACCAACTGGCTTTTAGTATTGATACTGGCAATCCAAATGAGAGGCTGAGCTCCTTAATTCTATTGTTCTTATTCTGAGGACAACCAAAACACCAAATTATAACAAACAACTGTTTGGCCATGTCCAATTTTATGGTCATTAAGAATAAATTACATCACAGTTGTCATCTGTAACAGTGAGAATATAGAATTTTTATTTCAAATTTGACTTCATATCAGTGTTCCCGGATATGAAGGGCATGTTACTTTAAAGGCATCTTTAAAATAACCCATCTGTTAGCGACAGAAAGACCATGGCGCCCTCTGATGGTGAAATGTCAGTGGTACACTTTAGAGACAAATTAATACTTAGTAAATACTGAGACGTAACTGTATGGGGTTAATTGTGTAACACAGATAAGTAACAAGCATAAACAACTTTGCCCTATGATTAGTCCAAAACTAAAGTATTCTTTTGCTTATTATAGTGTTGCATTGTGGATTTGTGAGACATTTAGCCTAATAATTACTCTGCCCATTACAACTATCATAGAAAACATTGACCACAGTATTGAACCTTTGTTTTAAATATATCTCCAGAGTTGCCAGGCTCATTTGTCTCACATCGTAGCCAAAAAACTGCTTCTTTGCTGACTTGTTAATTGGCACAATCTCCTCAGTACTATTTCTATCATTACGACCAATAGCTGCGTATGTTGGAAAGGCACTTCTTAGGTATTGTGGAAGGCTGTTGTTAAACTGTGGGCAACAATAGGCAGACCATAAGTACTCTGGTACTGCCACACGCTTGTTCTTGATCCAATGCTCTTGATTATTGTATGGTATAATTCCTGTAACTATGTAAGCTTTTCCAATGCAGTAAGCTGCTAATGTTTTGTTGACAGTTTGTTCCAGGGTTTCCCAGGGCCCGTCGTTGGACCCAGCCTTTTGAGGGACCACGTTGGTGAGGGTGAAGGTGGAGGACCGATCATCATACTCATGGTGGTGCAGACTGGGGTTCAGATGCCCACGAGAGAAGGAGGAGTTGATGTAGTCTTGATCCACGGCCTGACTCTCCACCACATTCAGGTCTATGGGGCCTGGGGGAAACAGCGCCATGTTGCCATTGGCTTTGGGGTAAGCCAGCTGTGATAGAGAGTACAGGGGAGACATGATGTTCAATGTAATCAGACTGCGTATTATATGAATCTATGAATTTAATGCAATAATTTAGGCATGAGAAAACTGTTTTGATCCTTTTTAACCATGTTATATTGCTGTCTCCATATCGAAAACATGACGATGTGTTTTAGTTTAATTTACTCTTGTTTCATTAATCTAGTTGTCTTTTCTGAGAACTCAAAAATGCCCTGTTTGCATTTTGCTCAGATTGTTATGCCACAGAAAAAATCCAGACTTCTCCTTCGTAGTTTTTAAGTGTATAAGCAATTACTGGACTCGGGGTCAAATGGAACTCAGCAGTGACCGCACACACCTTGGTTCTAGAAGTAATTTCCCATAAATTTTTCCTATATAAATAATAATAACAGTTAGAAAGCTCTCTCGGGGCTAACCAATGACCACAAAACAAAATGTTGTAGAACACAGGTGTCAAACATGCGGCCCGGGGGCCAGATCCGGCCCTCCAAGACCTTTAATCTGGCCCTCGGCTGATTTTCTACTAAAATATTTTAATTATATTTTCTATTAAAATCTTGTTAATTTTCTGCGGTGTTTATCACAGCAGCGTCTCTGTACGTGGCCCCTCCCACCAGAGCAGCACAAATGAAGACTTGTCTTTTTCCAAACGCTCTTAAAGGACGATCATTTTGACTGTTGACCGTGACACCCTCATCAGAAAAATGTCCAACATGAGAAAAGTGGACACCGAGTGCAGGATTGTCCAAGAAAAATGGACTTATTCCTATTTACATACAAGTTCATGTTAAACTTTGTGTTGAAATTGCATTTTTCTTAAAGTTTCAGGTTGTTCATAATATTATAATATTTTGTAAAAGAAAGAGTTCATCAATTAAAAAAGATTTCTGTAATAGATTTGTGTTTCTCTGCACAAATATTTGAATTTATTTTTATTTTTGGGGTTTATATGCCGTGAGTTTTTTGATCCGGCCCCTTTGGGATCAAAGTAGGTTGGATACGGCCCCTGGACCAAAATGAGTTTGACACCCCTGTTGTAGAATCTTGCGTTTTAAACATGATTTTTGGATTTAAAATAGTCTATAGGAAAAATAAATGGAAAATTGACTTCCATAATCACAAGAATTAACCTAAGAGCTTAGTTAGTTAGAAACTTAGAAAATGTGAAATACATTTTCCAAGATGACCAAAAAGCATGTTTAGAAGCATTTTAATGAACCATAACTAGAAGCCATTAAACTATGAGCTGTTAATGAAAATGTGAACAAAGATGATATAACTGATCTAAAAAGAAAACATTTAGAGCCAATTTCTAGTGCATTGTGGTAATTCATGGGCATGTAAATTAGGTGTAATATTTCATAACAGTTAGAGGAAAAATTCAATTCTGTAAACTGGACAAAAATCTTTTGATCGAATAGGTTTCACAGCTCATCCAAGCTGCTTCTTCAGTTCAAAACTTAAACTGATTCAATCAAAAAACTTTTGTCCAGTTGACAGAATTGAATTTCTCCTTTGCTATGAATCCTAGCTGGACGACTGAAGAGTTAAACAAACAACAATTTGAGAAACTTATATTAGGCTTACAGTGCCATTATATTATTTTAAATCACCAGTCATAAATTGGATCATGCTAACACTGTTTACATGTAATGTCTTCCACTGAATAATATGAATTGATGCCGGCTCTTACCTGTGGCTCATACTTCCAGGCTACCGAGGGTCTCTTCCCCAATGGGACACTGTACACATAGGCAGAGAACCAGGCTGACCTCCTCACACGGCTGTACAGTGAGGCAAAGCGATACTGGTTGCTGTATCTTTGACAGATTGGAGTCCCAGTCAGACCTTTAGGCGGCGAAGATTTGTAGAAGAACTGTAAACACGGGGAAAAATCTCCCACGTCTCCTCCACAAATGCTCAGTTTGGTTGAGAAAAACATGACTACAAGAAGCCAGGAAAAAGCCATATTGACAGTCTGTAGTGCTACATAGAAGTGAAACCACACAGGCAATGGTCAGCTGAATAAGTCTTACTTCCTGCTACTGTACTTTGTGGTTAAAGAAGTGCAAAATTCTCTCTTTGCAAGGCATTTTACATTTGGTTTCCTTTCTCGGGCAGCAGTGTATGAGTCAACTATTCTTGTTTATTACCTTTATGCTTATCAGAGCGTGGTGAGTAGAGCAGTAGTAGAGGAGTGAGTAAAAATGTAGTTACTAGGGGAAAGTTCTTTCAGGGTTAAAAATACAAAAAAAAAATGTATTTGGCTCTGGCTGGTAACAATTGTAATGCTGATTTATATGGACATCAAAGTTGTTTATATTATAATTTGATGTTTTGGTTCTCTGTTGTCCAATCAGAAATCAGAATGAATCTCACAGGAGTCTCTTTTCGATGCCAGTTTCTATGTTGAAATCCACTTGGTTTAAGTCTAACATGTCTCTATCAAGATTTGAATCCTCGCCCACAATCTACAGCCAATCATTAATCAGCACTAGCCTCTTAACTTTACACACTTTTTGACAGTAACATAAAATTTAAAAAAATAAATAAATGCGCTTTAGCTACATTTTCAAATGAAAAGTTATGGTATGAATGCAATTAAGCATAACATTGTAGTAGATGACAATAGTGGAAAGTACTGCAAATTTGTACTCATTGTTATTGTCAGTGAGCACTATTCAGACTAGGAACTTGCTTTTGTGATGTGATGCAACATAAAAAAATGAAAGAAAAGGATACAGTTAAATATTTAGGATACTCAATTACAAATTCAAGTACTGCTGCCAAAATTGTACTTAAGTAAAGGTAAAAAGTACGCATGTTCTGGTTGGACTTTTCCTCTATTGATAATACTGTAAGTGGTGTGTGTCTAGTCACAGAAGAGGGAGAAGTGGTCTGACCAGGGCAAGTGTTTCCACCATGAGCAGTATGTCCTGCTCTAACACATCCATAGGCCGTAGCAGTAAACATCTGGAGTGAAGTTGTGCCGCTGGTGAATTGCAGGGACAACAATGCCATCTAGTGGGAGCTCTATGGACATGACTCACAAGCATCAATTACAGGCATGACCGCAGGATCAAAAGAATAAAAGTGTTTTGATGATTTTGTTTTGGACAATATACATAAAATGTGCGATTTCATTTTGTTTAGGTCTTTTCTAATAAAATAATATTTTATAATAATTACAAAAAGAAAAAAAATTGAATGTCAGTTCTTGGAATTACCAAGAGGTTTGGCATCAGTGGCTGCAGAATGAAGCTTCACTTCATCACAAATTCACACACAAATTGGGAAAAATGTATTTACAATGGCTACTTTATGACTGAATTTACTTCTTTTTATTGATAACAGAGAAAAAAACTAAACAAACAAAAAAAAAAAAAATAAAAATAAAAAATAGACAAAGTCCAGGTGTCATGGCAGCTTCATTCCCAAATGGTTGCCTGTGTGATTGTCTGCCTGTGACAGTCCTTTTAAAAAAAATGAATATTTGGTTTTAAACTTTTTATTTATTTATTTTTTTTAATGATCTGTTATAATGTTGTTTCTTCATTTGGGTTTTGTTATATTTAGACATGTTTAACACAATAGTTCTGCATATTTCTCTCAAACAGAAAACACTCCACCTTGTGATGTAATGTGGTAATAAAGAAAGATCTCCACTTCAGTCAAAACATAACTCTACATGCAAGTTAAATACTGGCAACTCAGGCACAGTTGTAAAAATAGCTGAGTAGTTTTTTTTTTTGTTTTTTTTAACCATACACTATTTTTACCTTTATGTTATTGAGTATGGCATGCTCTACAGGCTATGCAGGGAACTGACTGCTTTTGGCACTTTTTCTAGTCTTCTCACTGAAACAAAGGAAATCCCAAGGAATCACAACAACCTCTTTCTATGTTTCCCCTCTCATTAGTTTATATGCCATGGCAAGTCCTTTTCCTGGAGTGTTAAATAGTGCCTGTAGCATTCTTGTTGTGAGAGTATACAACACTGGAAGAGGGCGGGCTCTAAATTGTTTAAGCTCCTTTGGGATCTCCCCCTCCCTTCCTCTCCTCTTTCATTCTTATGCAACTATAGCAGGTTTGGAGTTTGGAACCTTTTACAAGCAGGGCGCTGGGACTCATTTTCACAAGGATTCAATTCCTCCCCACAATCTCAGGAATACAAAGGTAGGCTAAGTTATGTTGTGAGCTTGTTTTATGACTTCATTTCTGGTTGTGGTTGTGGCAGACTGCATGGAGGAGTAATTATAATACATTCCATTTGGGAAGTGCAGCTTGAGGCTAAGTTTTTTTCTTTAAGCTACAAGGAGCAGTATCTAATGCAAACAGTCTGTGCTAACAAAGCCAGTGCTAAAGTGAACTATAACAACAAGCAATGCAACAAACAAACAAAAAAGTCAAGTCTGCAAGTCTTTTTTTCTTCTTTTTTTTTTTTTTACAATGGGGGTTGACTATGGCTATGTAAGGACAAGCCAAACCAAACTGAGAGAATAACTCTTCATGGCTCAAATGTATGTAATTTACCAAAAAACAAAAACAGAGGATTCATTGCAAAAAGGAGATTTAACCTTGTGTAGAAAAGTTGTGTAAACTGTATTCATAGTTTCAGAATCGTCCAAAGTGGGAAGTGTGAAGCCACAGAAATGAATGACAAACATTTAGAGATGTGTTTAGTAAGCAAGTCTGTCAAATTTGTACTTGGAAAGTTTGTATTTTTACTTACCTAGGTCTGTCACAAAACCAAATTTTAAAGTGCAATACATTACTGAAGTAAATACACACAATAAGCAATAATATTTAACCTTGTGTAGAAAAGTTGTATAATCTTTAGTGTGCAATTTCAGAATTGTTCAGAATTGGAAGTGTGATGCCACAAACATGTTTTGGCAAACATCCACTGACTTTATAGAGCTGTAATTAGTATGTAAGTGAATTCTTTCAAAATTGTACTGGGGAAGATTTTATTTACTTATTTAGGCCTGTCACAACAAATTTTAAAATGTGCTATATTGCTGAAGTAAATATTATATATTATCCACAAAAAAGTATTGTAAATGTACAATATTATAAAAAAAAAAAATATGAGCTGCAACAAATAAATAACTGTTAAATAGTTTGTATGTATAATAGAAACACAGAAGGTCATAATTCAACCGTCTACATCTCAAATCTGATCATAGTTAAAAAAATAACCAACTTTTTTCTACTAGTAAAAAAAAAATTGAATAAGTTAGCATAGTATTTATAGTGTTTTACAGGTCTACACTTATTTTATATTTTGGACATGTCATCTATCAGACCAAAAGAGGAACTGTGCTGTGCATGAAAACCCACATTGGCCAATCTCCAAACAAGTTTCTGCTGTTCACATTGTAAAAGTAATCTAAGATATGACTGTAGGCAAAACACACAGACCATTTGAGTTTGTTATGGGTGGAGGTACAGCAGCTTGGCCAGCCTCTGATTATGTGATTCCTATTATGTAAGTCAGGAGTCTAGCCGTGTTTGTAAATGTTTTGCCTAATTTCAGTGGTGGATGAAGTACTCAGTTTTGTTACATAAGTAAAAATACAGTTACAAAGGTATAAAGTTACTTAAGTAAAAGTATTTAAGTACCTGTTTCAAAATGTACTTTAAGTAAAAGTTAAAGTATTTCACACAAGTGTTGTTAATTTGTTAAAAGGTAGTGATATCAATTAAAAAGTTAATACTAACATCAGTTTCTTAATTTTTCTTATGAATTGCGTGCTTTTATCTTTGTTTGCTCACAGCCAGAGCTTGAATTTAAAAATGTAGTCAGGAAGTTACCACAAACACGGTAAAATAACCCCTAAAATCATATGAAAAGTACTTTTTACTTTTCATCCCAGTTTAAAAATGTTGTGGAGTAGAAAGTAAAAGTATCCACTGTAAAATGTACTAAAGTAAAGTACAGATACCTAAAAATTCCACTTAAGTACAGTACTTTACTACTTGTACAACTTAATCCAATGAGGTTCATTTGGTCTTTTGATATTTTATGTTATTAGTTTCTTTTTTCAAACCAAGAGTTTGTTTTCATAACTGACAGTTTCGACTGCTCATTAGCGTTGTCTTCCTGATAGTGGTCACGTGATGTTGCTGTGATGTGTCCGGTCAGCTGATTTAAACAGGTTTTGCATCTGCAGGACAGTATCCCAGGTGTGTGAGAGTGAAAAAGGCCCCTTGTCCCGGTTTATAGACCCGTGGGCACAATTTTGTATTTTGATTGCCTCTTTAATCCAGCGATAGTGTTTGTTTTCCTCTGTCCCACTGATGTTTGCTCCATCCCAGTCCATATCCATTCCTGTCCAGTCCTGCAATAAAACACACTTTGGGGAAATAGGGAGGGCACACGAGCAACAAAACACAAAGCAGAACAGGAACAACTTAAATCGTCCATCTCTGATCACTGTAAAAGACAGAACCACATTATGGACCGTGAGCAGTTCAAACTGTCAGATATGAAAACAATCTCTTGGTCTGAAAAAGAACCTAATAACATATACTTGTACAACCTGTACTTTGTTACATTACACCACTGCGTATTTTTATCTGAAGCTTTCATGTATATTCAGAAATTAATGTCTATCTATGTCAAAGCTACATTAAATATTAAACCAAAGCTGTGATAATCTTTGGTATTTTTTTCTACAGGACCAATGGACAGCACTTCAATCCCCTCTCTCCTCTTGTTGGCATTCCTCTCCTTTCTGACCACAGCTCGGTCTGGAAAAGTCCTGGTTTTCCCAGTGGATGGAAGTCACTGGGTCAATATGAACCTTATGATCCAGGGTCTCCATGACAGAGGTCACGAGGTCACTGTGGTTCGCACTGCCTCCTCCTGGTACGTGAAGGAAACTGCGCCGCACTACGCCTCGCTCACCATCACCCTACCTGAAGCCATTTCCATAGAGAAGCAAGACTTTTTTGTGACTTTTCTTATGAAGATGTTGGCTATAAAGAAAGAGGGAGGTTCGCCCATGGCTTTTATGTCTTTTTATTGGGAAATGCTAGGCGCCTTATCCAAAATACACCAGCAAGCAAGCATGGTCGGTGTGCAAATGCTTGAAAATAAAACTTTGATGCAAGAACTTCGAGAGGCAAAATATGACGTAGTCCTCATAGACCCTGGACTACCTGTTGGTGTTCTTATAGCGTATGAGCTTGGTCTTCCTACTGTTTTTAATGTGCGTTGGATCACTAGCGGGGAAGGCCATTTTGTTGTTGCCCCATCACCAACATCTTACGTACCAACTTCTGGAGTGGCATTACCAGACACAATGACGTTTTTGCAAAGACTCAAAAACACTCTACATTACGGTTTGAACATGTGTATTGACAAGTTCGTAGTATGCCCTGTTTATGATAGATTAGTAGAGAAATACTTTGGATCTGGTGTTAGCTTTTATCATATGTTACAAGCAGCAGATATCTGGTTAATGCGTGTTGATTTTGTGTTTGAATTCCCAAGACCTACCATGCCCAATATTGTTTACATTGGCGGTTTTCAATGCAAGCCGTCTTCTCCTTTACCACCTGAACTTGAGGATTTTGTTCAAAGTTCTGGTGATCATGGGTTCATCTTGATGTCTCTAGGTACTCTTGTCAAAGGTTTACCCAAAGAAATCACTTCGAAAATCGCGGCTGCCTTTGCTCAGCTCCCTCAGAAAGTTATATGGAGGCATGCAGGTGAGAAGCCAGATAACTTAGGCAATAATACACTGCTGTTAAAATGGTTGCCACAAAATGACCTTTTAGGACACCCCAAAATCAGAGCGTTTGTTGCCCACGGTGGTACCAATGGAATATATGAGTCTATTTACCATGGAGTCCCTATAGTGGGTATACCTCTTCTTTTTGACCAACCAGAAAATGTTCTGCGATTGGAAGTTCGAGGAGCAGCAAAGGTTTTGGACGTAACACAAATAACTACCGAAGGTTTTCTAGACACAGTTAGGGAGGTTGTCAATAACAATTTTTATAGAAACAACATGAAAAGACTGTCCTCTCTCCACCGGGATAAGCCCATGCACCCTCTCGACACCGCCCTCTTCTGGATAGAGTTTGTAATGAGGAACAAAGGGGCGGCACACTTGCGTACAGAGTCCTATAAGATGCCATGGTATTCCTATTACTCTGTGGATGTGGTGAGCTTTTTAATAGCTGCGGTTTCAATGTTTACAGTAATATTTTTTGCAGTTGTTCGTTTCCTGTGCTGTAGAATCATTCGAAAGAGGAAACCAAAGCAAGAGTAATTTATGACAAACTATGCAAAAGACTAGAACTGCAATAATCTCCACACAAATGAAATGGAATATACTTGATCATTATGATGTACTGTTTAACAAAACATACAATGAAGTAGTAAAATAAAGATTTTATTTTTTATTTTAAATGATCTCTGTGTGCTTATTTCATACAACTTTCTCCAGTGTATAATCAAATGTGATGTATTATAAATTAAACTTTCTTTTTAGTTAGAGCAGATGCTTTGTAGACATATGTTATTACAGAACAGTACAAATGTAATGCATTAGCAAAAAATAAAAAATAAAATTTAATAAATGTTCATGTGTTCATTGTGCATATAAAAATATTAGGCACATTTAGACTTTATACATTTGTGTCTTTTGTTTGTAACATGGGCTTAAAAAAAAGGTAATAAAAAATGACCACATGCAATAAAACCGGTATAATTTCAGTGGAAGGGTAAATATAAAAAAACAAAAACTCACCAATATGGTAACTGTAACACAATATATACAAAGTACAGATTTATAAAAATAATTCACAATATGCATCTATGCATTCATTTCACAAATCCATCTGTATGAAATCTTGCAGGAGCCGTCCATCCAGGACTGCAGCACCTCCTCACTGGTGTCCAAGTGTCCACAGTCTTCTCCCTCAGTGTCCTCAGACCTCCAGTCATCTGGTTCAGTCCCCACTCCGGGTCTGTCCAGCCAATATCTGAGCAAGAAAACAAGAATGTGATTTTATAGGTACTCAAACTTTGGTAGAGGTACTAACAGTGGCCATACCAGCTTGTCAAAGCCTGATCCTGTCAGATGTCAGAAGCTAAGCAAGGCTGGGCCTGGTTAGTACTTGGATGGGAGACCACTGGGAATTCCAGGTGCCACAGTGAGGCACCAGTTGCAAAAACTGTCATTGTGTCCTTAGGCAAGACACTTCACCCACATTGTCTAGTATGAAAGTGGTGCATGAGTGATGGTGGTGGTCAGAGGGGCTGATGGTGCAGATTGGCAGCCTTGCTTCTGTCAGTCTGCCCCAGGGCAGCTGTGGCTACAGTAGTAGCTTACCACTGTTGAGTGAATGAACTATGAACTTAAAGCACTTTGGGTATCTTGAAAGGTGCTATATAAATGCAGTGATTAATTAACATAGGAGCTACTATAAGCAAACTTCTTGCACAGAGTCAGTGTTTTGTCTCCTTTTGTTTAGTCTAGTAAGATTAACATTGTTTGGGCAATTAAACCTATACATCAAAATACTATACCTAAATGTTAAGGGTTTTTTGTTGTCACATTAAGGTTTGATGAGGTTTGATGACAACTCAATATAAGTTTAGAGCAATGATGGTTATGTTATACATCTTATAGTGCAGTTCTTTGACTTTGACTTACTGTGGACTTGATGTAACTTGCCGTCCATCGACCCAGCGCCAGTCTCCCTCCTGCACGATGTCTGACATCCCGATCCACAGGCGAGTGTTGGTCTGGTCCATCCTATGACTGGTCTCATGAGTAAAATTCTGAGAGGAAAAAAAAACAAATATTGTATCATGTTAAGGAGACAGGTTAACCCGTCCAAAACCCCAAGCTGCCCTCTTTAGCATCATCTGGTGGTGAAACTGCGAGTTGCATTTTGAAACTTAGTGTACAAAGTTTGTAGTTTGTAGCTAAAAAGTAATGTACTGTTATGATTAGATTTAACTGTCTATTGATACTTTGCAGTGACATCACGTTGCGGCGTTCTGCATGTATGTGTATGGCAGTAATGTTCAGCAGTTACCATGAAGACACAATGTACGCATTAGCAAACGCAATCAGAAATGTTTATAGATTTTGTGACACTCAAGAAAAAATAGCAACTAAATGGTTTTAAACAAGACATTTTCAGGAGCCTGTGATCAATAGTGTTCATGATCCTGTTTAGGTGTTTGACTTTTAACAAAAATGGTGAGAGTGACTAACACAAAAACTGTTGGCTAATGGTAGCTAGTATTTTTGAGAGACATGTTTAACAGCACAAATCAGATCGCCTGTTGTAATTCCTACTAAATCAGTTCTTTATGGTCAGATTATATTAGGAAAAAGCTCTGATTAAAATCTAACTTGTGTAACAAAGCTTCAGACAGAGTAGAGCCTATATTAGCATCAGCTGCATAGTTTATTTTTTTCCCTCCAAATCCAGTATAAGTATGTAAGTGCTTTGTCTGGAATAATCTGATTTTAAATTGATCTATCTCCATGGAGACAGACCGGTGACACCACTGGGTCAAGTTACAGGTCAGATCTTGAAGGAGTTGATCCCGCTCATAGTTAGAAAGAAAGTGCTTTTTGAACAATAAAAGGACAATCAGAAGTTACATAGTGCTACTTTAAAACGTACCTGCTCTTCTTCAGAGTTAATGATGACCAGCTCAGCTCTGTGGGTCTGACACCAGGCCCGACTCGAGCTCCAGGAGAGAGTCCGAGAGGAGAAGTAGTAGCACTTTGACTGGAACAAGGTCCAGCCCTCAGAACACTTCTTACACATGCGCTCTGAGACAAAATAATAATAAGATAAATACAAAATTAAACAAAAAATAATAATAATAAGATTTAAACTGATTTATAACTTTACCTTGTGTGTTCTGGTTAACCACTGGGCAGGAGCGGTCCAGAGAGTGATAGGCCTCTTCCACAGATTGTAGTTTGGCCGCCATTTTCTTTACTTCCTCTTTACAGTGGTCCAAGTCTGTTCTTTGCTTTTCTAACACAGTAGTCAGATGTTGATTTCGTCCTCTCATCTCTCCTAACATCTCCTCAAACTTCTCCCTTTCTTTCACTGACTCATCTTGTAATTTTTTATTGACATCACGCAAAAGTCTGCTCGCCTCTTCCAGCTTTTGTTTACCTTCTTGCAACTCATGACTGAATGTTGACAAATCTGCTATAGTCCGGGACATGTTCACCAATGTTTCTTCTTGGTCCACGCTAACCTGAAGCACTTTGCTGTATTCGTCAGTGAGATACGCATTTACTGAGGTTAAATTGTCTATCTTCTCCTTTAGTTTGGCGTGTTCCTCTGTTGTGGTAAGTTCTCGGGACAATAACCTGACCATAGACTTGTTAAGAAGTTGTTGTTGCTCCTCCAGCTCGGCGTTATGGTCAATTAAGATTTTATTGTCTCTTTTCAAGTCGTTGTTGATTGAAGTTACAGAAATGTAGTTTTCAGTGATGTTCTGGTAGTCAAACAGGAGGTGGTTCCATTCGGGTTTGCTGCTGCACTGGTCTGTATCTAAAAATGTAAAAGAGTTAGATAAAAAAAAAAAATTTAAAGGTTCTATATTATATTACATGACTCTTGTGAGCTTTTCGCCATGTTAAAATGTTGTTACTTCCTCAAAAACATACTCGAAGTTGTGTTTTGTCTCATTCACACATGTTTGAGTTATCCTGCATTATTAATCTGTCTACATCTCCAAAGCTCATAATGCTCTGTTGTACCTTATGATGTCAAGACTAGTTAAATTTACAGCTACCTTTTACCTTTTGTTCAACAGAGATTAGCAATTCCAGGTCTGAAATCATCCAAATGATTCTAGTGAAGGTGTATGGAGTTTAAAAACACAGTGGGGCAGTTCTTGTTTTACTACATGACATCACAAGGTGGAAGAGAGAGTTTTCTCTTTGAAAGGAGAACTCAGCATGAAAATAGAGGGTTTGTGTATTAAACATGTGTGAATGAAAAAAAAACAAAAAACACACAAGTCAGGTATATTTGTGATGAGGAAACAACATTATAACACAGATCAGAAAATAGTGTAATATGGGCTTTAAATTATGTGTGTGGCAAAAAGAATTACATGAATTGTGCAGCAAATAATATTAAAAAGACAAGTTGAAATAGGTCAGATTAGACTTTAAAATGTTTACATTATGCAACTACATTCCACCCTTATAGTGTAGTATTATATGTAATGGTATCTTTTATCATTTAAGTTATAATACAGTTAAAAAAGGCTTTCTTTATGCTCCCTTTGACCCACTTTTTGATCATGACTTGACAAATTTGGGAACTACTTTGTTACAGGGCATACATGTGCTACTATAGGGTACTTGTTAGCAAGAAAAACAGGAACAATTGGGAATTCTTATTGGTTTCAAATCTTATTTTCTGCTTTCAGATGAGTTTTAATTGTCTGTGCTTTTCTGAGCAAAAAACTATTAAACTATTATTCACCTGAGAGTTAGTATATGTAGGTTATGGTTAAAACGTGCCTTGTGAGTGATTGTGAATGTTGTGTTCACTTACACATGACAGAGAGAGTGATGCATGTCACAAGCAGCAGAAAGCACAGGGCAGAGAGGAGCATCATGGGATACGTGTGGTGACAGAGGAGAGGTTTGGGCGGCAGACACTCTGAGGCTACACAAATACACACGTGAAGAGGAAACTGAGTCACTATAAACAAGTTTACATGACACTTGTTAGGGCTGCCGGCTGCACAATCATAATCAGAGTAAGTCTGCAATTACAATACAATGGAGTCAGCAAAGAACAAAGTGTCTTTTTTTACAGAAAAATCAACTTGTTTCTGTTGTTTAGACCAATTCAAACATGTTCTGAAATTCACAGCATTCTTGTATTGAGTTGACATTTCAATCTTCTCTCAAAATGAACGAATGTCCCTGGAGTTGTTTAGAATACACTCTCTGAACAAGGCAAAATATAGAAACATCAATATATATCATGATACAAAGTTTGGTGATACCATCTTTATTATAGACTGTTTTATCAAAGAGTATTTTTTTGATATATTTTATAAAATTTTATGACAAAATTTAGTGACAGTGCTACAATGTTTTAAATGATTAAAACAGCTGTATTTTATATTAAGTTTGGGCATGCAGTGTTCATATTGTGATGTTATCGTATCATGAGCCATGTGAGGGACTCTGTGATTCTCAGCCCTACTCTCAATAGAGTTCTATGTAAAAAGTATACTGCATTTTTCCCCCCAAACATCTGGTTAATATTAATACTGTACATTGTTCTTATGAGCCTTGTTTATCATATTAAAATGTCATTATAACAAAATGAACCTTTTGACTCACTCGGCTCTGGCTCCTTCTTGTCCGTGATGGAGATGGGTGCAGGGGCAGGACCACTAACCCAAGGAAACCACCGCTGACCAAACATTTCTCTGTAAGCAGATTTTACAGAATAGTTGCAGATTATTGTCTATATAGCCTTGAGAATCACTATTCAAATTCATTTTGAACAGTGATAGCAAACAGACACAAGCATACATATTTGTTTTTCTCCTAAATGTCCATGTTTAGTCAAATAAAATATGTTCTTTTTTTCCCCTATGGCAACAACATACTGTTTTATACCTTGTAATGTGCATTTGTACAAACACATTTCTACAGTGTATATATACAGTATATGTAATTTCCCATGTGATATCTTTGATATCGCTCAACAGATCTTACAGAACAGTTTCAGATCTGGTCTATATTTCAGTTCTCAAATTTATTTTAGACCAAGATAAATGACACATGCTAGCAACATTAACCTAGAAAAGAAAAACGACACGGGCTCTTTGATAAAGTGCAGCTGTGGTTTCCTTTTCTGCATAATTCACACGACCGCAGCATGGACCGAAAAAGTTCTGCAAAACTCTGATATGAATCTAATAATAATAGGTTGCAGACCCAAATTGGGCAATGCTCGACTCATCTTGTGCATCACTTACCTTGCTTTTGGGGTCTTGAAAAGAATCAAATCCGGGCGTTTATAGATATTTTAAACTTTTACAATAGAAGTGAAGGACTGGTGAAGGAGTAGTAGTAGTAGTAGTAATAGTAGTAGTAGTAGCAGCAGTACTTTGGGTCCTTTATAGCCTACTTCACTCCATTGTTTTGCATTTAATGTTAATGAGTTGCTTTATTTGATCTCACCTTATCTCCCAAGTGACTGATACTGACCTTCTTTGTAAAGCATCTTGATAAACACGCTGCAGTTCAATATTTACACTATAAGATGAAGAGTATAAGTTGAACTGCTTTGTCATATTTAACTAATCTTTGTATTGATTTGACCTTTGTTGGTGTTTCCACAATCTATTTTTCCTTTGTATCGTGTTATCTGTATATTTGTTTTTTTATTTGTTTTTATTTTTAACTTAAAACATATTTTTGAAGGGTGTCCTGGCAAAAAGGCAGCAATTACAAAGTTATACATAATCATACAAACAATAGTAAAAATAACATGGGTCACAGATAAGGAAAAACAAATGCCCATTATTGAGGCCGTCTCTGATGCTTTCACAAGAGCTCATACAAGAGATCATGGGATCATGGGATACGTGTGGTGACAGAGGAGAGGTTTGGGCAGCAGGCCCTCTGAGGCTACATAAATACACACGTGAAGAGGAAATTGAGTCACTATCAAGAAGTTTACATGACACTTGTTAGGGCTGCTGGCTGCACAATCATCATAATTAAAGTAAGTCTGCAATTACAATACAATGGAGTCAGCAAAGAACAAAGTATCCAGTCTTTTTACAAAAAATCAAGTTGTTTCTGTAGTTTCGACCAATACAAACATGTTCTGAAAGTCATAGGATTATTGTGTTAGCTGATCAGTTCATATTTCAGTCTTCTCTCAAATGTGAATGTTCCTGGAGTTGGGTGAGAATTTGAAATGAGAAACCAGTTTTAAATTTACAGTCCCATTATTTACCACCATACCCATTTCAAAGCTAAAATGTGCTCCATGAAGTCATATTATTCTTGTATTAGTTGACAAGTTCATATTTCAATCTTCAGTCAAATGTGAATGTCCCTGGAGTTGTTTAGAATAAGCTCTCTGAACAAGGCAAAATATAGAAATATCAGTATATCATGATACAAAGTTTGGTGATACCATCTTTATCATAGAGGTTTTTATATCACCAAGAGTTTTTTTTTTTTATACATTTGTGCATATAGTGGATATTGTGATATTATTGTATTGTGAACCATGTGAGGGACCCTGTGATTCTCAGCTCTACTCTCAAAAGAAAGTTTTTACTTTCCAAACATATATTGCAAATTTTCCCCCAAATTGTGCAGTTCTAACACTTGGTTAATATTCATACATTGTTCTTTGAGCTTTGTTTATCATATTAAAATGTCATCATAACAAAAATTAACCTCTTGACTCTCTCTGCTCTGACTCCTGCTTGTCCGTCATGGAGATGGGTGCAGAGGTCGGACCAGTGACCCAAGGAAGCCACCGCTGACCAAACATTTCTCTGTAAACAGATTTTACATTGTTGCAGATTACCATCTGCACAGCCTTGAGAATGACTTCTCAAATAAATTTTAAACAGTGATATCGAACAGGCACAAGCATACATTTTTATCTGTCTCCTAAATCTTTATGTTTAGTCAATTAAATGTCAATAATATGTTTTCTTCTTTTTCCTATGGCTGTGTGGTCTCTAATGCTTTCACAAAAGCTCAGTCAGTTTTCAGTCTTATACAAAATAAATAAATAAATAGAAAAAAGAAAGAAAGAAAAAAAAGAACAAAGTTGTTTTGTTTTTTTTTTTTACAGTATTTCAACTTTCTCCCCAGCTCAGGACTTAAGAATATTTCATTTCATCTGATAATGACCATTTACTGCTGCTAACCTGTTACTCTGTGCTCCATAAACACATTTTGCCTAGTTTATTCCAGTGTTAGCAATGGATTCTTTATTTACTGAAACAACTTGTTGCAAAACAGGGGTATTATGAAATTGCAAACTAAGGTAAACAAACCACAAAAACTTCTTTCTTCTTTTCACTTCAAGCTCAGGTTTCAGGTCAATGCCTCAAATGCAACAGCTTGTGTGTGAAAAGGAAATGATCAAACTGAAAATCATTTCACACATTTCTTACCCCCTCATGTAAATCATTGTCACAGATTCTACAAATGTACTCTTGTGTTCTGTGTGGGGTTTGTTGACAGACGGTGCAGGGCATACAATGCACAGTGTGGATTCTGTGTTAATGAGCACCTCTTATCTGCTCTATCACACAAGCTATTGTGAAAGTGAGGCATTTGCATTTTGACTCAAACCCGTACTGCCCTGACAGAATTCACACCTGTTTGAAATGAGTGGAAGATTTTGAGATATTGTGAGTTTATGTTTAAATTCACTTCAATAAAATCATAACAATTCAGGAAAATACATTGAAACATCTCTTACAAGTACTTCTGACATGACAATTATAAAAAAAAAATATATATATATATATATTTTATTTTTTTTTTTATTAATTAATTTATTTTCATTTTGATTGAAGCAAGCCAAAATATACAACAATAGTTTTTTTTGTTTGTTTGTTTTCAGTAGTATATTATTGGTAAAATAACAAGTAAAATTTGTACAGTCTTAAATTACAATCAAACACTTTTCAGAATTCCCCAAATAATACAAGATGTTTGGAGCCAGTGGCTAATTTGTTCAGCAGTGTGCACTTTGATAGTTGTATTGTATATTGCAGCATATTCACTGTAAACTGTAAAGTCAGTAGTGTCATTCTTGTTTTTGAGTCTTGCAGATGACCACATAGACCAGAACTGGGATAAGTGCGACTGGGAGCAGGGTCAGAGTGAGGAGCAGAGCCGGAGGAGGGTCCGTGAAGTCTGGCTCATCTCTGGAGCAGGTCTTGAAGTAATGAGAGTGGATGTGTAGAAAGAGCTCCTGCACTGTGGGGTTTGGGTAGAAACAACCCACTGTCATAGACAACTGCTCCAGACATAATGTCATCTCATTATAAGGTCTGAAAGCACACAAGATACAAGAAGAGAGAATATCACTGTGAAACAAAATAATATGTGTATATGGTTCATTTATAAAAAAAAGACCTTTGGGAATTGTAACTTTTCTGTTGAGCAATTTCTCCAACTGCCTGTCTCTGTGGAAGGTGTTATTGTTTTAAGTATGACATAGTATGGCATGAAACATCTTGATCTCACATTTATTCAGTTCCATGTGTTTTACTGTTAAAAACACATTTAAAGACATGTCATATTACTGTAAGCTGCTCGTTAGTGAAGCAATATCTACAGGGATCTGGTGGACCCTCTAGAAAGCTTGCATAATGCAGCTTTAAAAACAATACATGTTTTTAAATTAAAATTTACATTTGAGAACAAAAGTCAGAAATTATTATCTTTGTTCATTTTAAATGTAGTCAATGGAACTTTTTGTTGGTGACCAAAATGGATTTTCATGTTCCACAGAAAACACACACGTCTGTGTTACCTGATGATGTCCGGCAGGCTGCACCACTTGTCTTCGCTCACACTCTTCATTATTTCATGAAAGTTTTGAGCACAATTAACGTGACTGAATTCATGGAGCAGCCCCTTGTGGCACTGTCCCAACGGCAGAGTATCCCAGTCCTGGAACCCCTCTGCACACAGCACCCAGGGGTGCCACATTATCAGATTGCAACAAGCAACCAAGCATTTAAATAAATAAATAAATAAAATGCGACCCCAGTCCCAGTCAAATGCAAGACATTATTGTATTTGAGAAACAGCCCTTGTTAAACGTTCTGTGTCAAGCTGAACGAGCACTAATGAGAACATCATGAATGACATTAAAAACAGATTTTATTTCAGTCATTACTGGGTTAATGGCTAAAAATCACCACTTTTATGAAATTGTGTCTCAGGAACAAGACACAGCTCATGACTCAGTGACTGGCAATGATAACAACAACTAACATGACTATCTCATGCACTGGGCTCTCACTAACAGTCGAACACAGAGGAAGCACACTGCTTATAGAAGTATGTCCAGAGGAAACTCACCATCATCCTCTGTAATAAGAGTTACATTGCTATCCTCTTGTATATGGTGAAAGTCTTCATCAGTCCAAGTTAAATTCAAAGTTGTAGCTGAAATAAAGGGTAGGATATGACATTTAATGAGAATGATGATGTCAAATACATCATTGTTTATTCAGGACCTGCTAAATCGTATTTGGACTATTTAGAACTTAAAACAGAAATACCATAGAAAGTGTACTGTGAAGGCAGACCTTTGTGACAAAACTCAGATTACTACACGCTGTCTTCATTTGATCTAACTGGCTGTTTAAAGGTGATGCATCCCGCTTTAGTTTTCCATCTGAATAAGCCTTTTTAAAGGTCTTTTTTCAGATGTGAATACTGTGCCAAGGGTTTGTGAGGATCAAGTTAGTTAGATTTAAATAATTTTGTGCAATTGTGCAAACTGACAAGTTTCAAGATATTTCGATCATTCTGTGAGAGTCATTTTTTTCACCGTTCTCTAAATTTTTTCACATTTCAGACAAAAATGTTATTGTAGAATGACCTTACCATTGCTGACTGTTGTTACTGTTTCATTTGTCAGGTTGAAAAGAAGCTCTGAGTAGTTGCTAGATTGCAACTTTACAGCACCTGCAAACAAAATTTTTTTTTTTCAAATTTACATATTTTTTAAATCACAAAAATCTAACAAAATCTCCCGTTTTCATCACTGAACCAAACCAAAAACCACAAGATTGTCTCTGGACCCCTGCTTCTGAAAAACAGGAAATACCACACATGCAATCTAAAGACAGTGCAAAAGTTGTACCTGTGTAGAGCAGTGTGACGATCGCATGGAGGTACAGGGAGGACAGAGGGGACTGCGCTGCCATGGCGCCGTAGGACTGAGCGCTCACACAGGGGACCACCGGAGCTGAGGGACAAGCCCAGCCCCCTGTAGCTGTCTTCTTCTGGACAAGGTGGAGAGAAATAAAAATTGGTACTAAATGAGACTACAAACCTAGAATTAAAACTAAACTGGGACTAGAACAGGATTGGGCACAAACCAGGACCAAAACATTATGTCCACTTTTTTTTGTGCATCTCCAAAATGAGTGTAAAGTAAATTAGTAAAATATGAGCAAGTGTTTGAGATTTTAAAACTTTTTTCGCAACACATTATACCTTGTAGTGAGTGCTGCTGATGGACAGAATATGAATAGTTTTCAAATTGACTTTTCAAATTCAGTTGACACCAAAATATCAAAAATATAATTATTGCAAACATGTTTCTTTATTATTTTTCCACTGTCGTAAAAAAACAAGTGCACAATTTCGTCAACAAATAAGAAGACTATAAAATAAGAAAAAAACATTAGCTGTAAACATCATAGGATAATATAATAATTCCATAATAAAAAAAAATTTAAAAAAAATGCGCATGTTATTTAAAGTACGGTACATTCCTTACACCCAGGACACCCAATGTACAGCATGATTCCTATCTGCTAATTGGCTGTGTGCTTTTCTATCTGTGATTAGGTGGAAGTGGGTCTGTGTTTCCTGGCCCCCTCTAAAGCTCTTAAGGGACTTCCTCGTTCTTTAGAGCCGCACTGACAGTGGGAATACACGAGACTGAAGAATTTAGTGTCCCAGACAAAATACAACTAAACAGACTACACTAGTAAGGCTACTGTGTGTGAGTTTGGGCGAGGTGTGAAAAACGCTGTCAATAACACTGCATGATAAGATTTCCTCTTTTAGTTTCGCCAGGAAAAAAAAGATAAAAGATCAGCATTTAAACTAAAAGAAAAATTACAAACAAAAATAATAAGAATTACTTTTGGTATAGAATGGATCTAGACAGTCTTAACAGTGAGATTTGACCATGACATTTATGTATTATTATTTTGGTGTCTCAAAAAGTTGTTACTTTTAGACCAGAGGTGTTAAACTCAAATTCACAGAGGCCAAAATTAAAAAGTGGGACTAAATTGTGGGTCAAACTAAATATTTATTGAAAAATTTCAACATCTGCATGTTTTCTCTTCTTTCGAGATGTGTAATGTTAAACCTTTTCTTATTAAAATGTTTAAGAATAGTTTTGCTTAAACATTAAATCCAAAACAAGCATAATATAAAATAAAGCATAACAATTTTAAGTAAATAATGTCTCTATAGTCTATCTGTAGCCAGCCGGCAGCTCTAATACATAATTGGTATGATCTTGTGGGCCAAATATCACAGGCCAAATTTGGCCCCCGGACGTGAGTTTAACATGTCTGTTATAGACAAAGGCTTGTGTGTAGGCTGATATGATACAACACACTAATACTGTTTTGATTCTGTGGCACCTGAGTCAGTGGAGACAGGAAATTTTACTTTAGCGACTGGTGCTGAAAGACATTTCTTTTGGAGCAGGAAGAGTGCAGTCACAAAGCGGCTACATAAACACACACATAGACACACATATGGGACTAAACACACACGAACAACACGAAGCATAAAACAGTGAGAAATATGACACATTTTGTGTAGAAGTTTAGTTGAGTTTTAACACTTTTTTGGTGTTTCTGAAACCTGTGACCAAACCCGAGACTGAAAAAAATAATAACTGAATAACCTGTGATAAACACACTGAGTTCTGAAACGTTTAACACACCCCTCACTGGGCAACAGACCCTCCATTTAAGTCAAAATTGTTGTGGTAATAGATACTGTATGCATCCATCAGTAAATGTTATGATGTAACAGTTTTGTTTTTGTTTTTTTATGTATATATACCTTTAATTGTTTTGCATTTTTATATTGTTCTTGATTCATATAAAAAAAAAATAAAAAATAAATAAATAATAATAACAATAATAAAATAAAATTACTTTTTTTTGTGTGTGTGCTTAATCAAAATATGTTTGTTTTTTTGTTTGTTTTTTGACATTGTCAGGGAACAAAATTCAAAAACTGGGAACTTGCTTCAGTGTATAAAACAAATAATAATAACATAAACTATAATAAAATAAAAATAAGGGAATGCATTAAAATAAGATAAATAAAAACAGACTTTGACATACAAATACAAAATATACAGAACAGCCGTACAAACTAGAGTGAGAGTAGCAGGCCCACGTGTGCATGAGTGTGTTTCAAAGTGTTGGCTCTCTTTAGGGAGGTTAAATAATGACACTGTATTGTTTTAGCACCTTTGAATCTTTAATGCACCCTCAGTCGGTTTGGTCTGCACCCGGGAGTGGCAAGAAGATTAACTACAGTTATAATTCTGGTGGAGGATCCAACACCTATTTGGCTCCACGGAGATGTTAGCACTTTGCCTAAAATTTTCCACATTAAGCAGTCCACCTTGCATTTATTCACTTCTAGGTTTGTCAGTTCTAGTTTGCCTCCTCATAGATTTGGCCTGTAATTTGGCTAGAGGCATCGCCCACTTGCTTCGTTGGCGATAGATAAATTTAATGCCATACTACCAGCAGGTGGTGGGCCCTTCACTATAAAAGTTACATATAGTGCACCTTTAAGAACTGTAATCTTTATTTGGTATTGGTATTACTTTTACTCTATGAGAAACACAAAGCTGTGATCCCGTACACTGAAGGTTTAACCCACAGGCGGAGTTCAGTGCTCTGGTTCGTGCCCAGGTGAAAGACTGCGCTGCCAGTTTCACTCTGATCTGCATTAACCACAAATACAAACATGTCACAGGAGGGCACAGACGGAACTGGTACCACTTTAACCACAATCTGATCCTGGCCTTGTAAACACCTGGGTTTGTCTCACCATACGCTGTTCTTTTCCCATCAGAAACAACCATCTGATCTGTTCTCAGGGCCCTGCCAGTGTCTGAAACGCCTGTGCCTGTGGTTTAGTGGGTATTATTGTTTTGTTTAGAGTGCTCGGTTGCAATCACGGGTCAGGGTCAGGTCACAGGTTAAGGTTACAGAGGTGTGCACGTTCAGTGTGTGTCCAGATGTGAGAAAAAGAATTCAAGTGAAAGGTGATATGTTTATGAATCAGTTATTGTGACAGCAGTAGAGCAGGGGTTAACAAAATGAACCACCAAGATGACTGTGAAACCAATCCCTACTGTAGAATAAAACTGAAAGCTGTAATATTTTCAAATGTGAGATATTTAGCTTGTTTCAATAGTGTGTTGTGCTGTTGGACCCAATTTCACCAAACTGAAAAAACAAATTTATACAGTTTCATAGTTTTTAGAATTATGTCTTAAAATCATCTCACAACCCCCAGTTTAGTGACACTCTTTTAGAAAGAAATATTGAGACCATGTTTCTCAGATGCACAAAGAAATCATCCCAAATACTGATTAGAAATTACAAAGATGACGAGTCTTGCCAGAGAACACATAAACAAGACCTAAGCATTTCAAGATAAATTGTTAATCTCAGAAAAAGTTACATTATTACATTACATTAGTTATATTATATTGCAAGTTTTCTTTTTACATGATGTCTTCCAGCTCTATAATTGGGAACACAAAAAAATAAGTAGAATGCGGTAGTCCTTTCACTTAAAAAACATGACCTTATATTCAGTTCACAAGGTCTTTAATGGAGGTCAGTGTGGTTTAAACAGTTTTTTTGCAAACACAAAGCAGGTACACCTGACAAAATATCTAAACAACTTGACCTTTCACTTACACTGCCGTCTCAAAATAAAATGTAAAAAACATACGCATAAATATGTGTTTAGTTGCACTGACTTACTGTTTGATTGTCACATGCAAAAACAAAACAACAAATGAAGAAATAGCTTACACAGTGCTTGCTGAAACTGATGCTCCAGTGAGAGGGTGAGGCAGAGGTCAGAAGAACTACTACGACTGCTGTGATTGGCTGATTCTCAAACCCATGTTCATATATTTACTGTGCGTCAAACTCTCAAATAGACAATAAGCTCTGAGGAGATGGCAACGCTCAGTACCACCACAAGTAAGGACGTATTTTAAATAATAATTGCGCTTATCTCAATTGTTCTCTATTTGTTTTTATATTTAATCATTCTTACAATTAATTTAAGATGTTGTTTTGTCTGATTATTATAGTTTTCATTTATTTCCTTTTTTTTTTTTAATGTTAATTTTAAATGAAATTATAATCCTTGACAGTTGGAATTTTGGAATTGACAACTCAAATATGTTACAAAAATGACTCACTTCCTCGCTGTGGTTCAACACCTGCCCGTGTCAAAACGTAAACATTCCAGATAACTAATGCAACTAAATGTAAGGGGAAAAAAAAAGGTCTAATCTACATGTCGATATTGTACATATTCAGTGGTGAAATTGTACTTAAATGTAATCATTATTGGTATACTGATATTCTTACATTAAAAGAGTACTACAGTACTGCAACCCGCACAGCGGTTTCATTTGGGTTTTGTTGTCGTAAGCCCAATAATAGCCAAGCAAAAGTAGCGTTTGTGTTTTAGATGCAAATATTTCATATTTACTTCAAATTAACTTTGATTTTACTTGTTCATTTAAGTAACTATTAAATAAATATGAAATATTTGCATCTAATAGGAAAACACATATAACTGTGAGTAATAACTAGTCAGCATGCTTCCTTATGAATAAATCATTTAACTTTTTTGTTGCCTGCATATGTTTAAAAGTGCAGTATTTTGGTCTATTGTTTGAGGCAAAAGAAGAAATGAGACTGCAGCTGCATGTGACACTACGATGTATGGTCGCCGTAGTAACACACAAATGATGGATGAGCTGACTCACAGCGTAGGGTTAGTCACCCTCGACATGCTATATGTGGCAATATGCAATAGCCTACTATACATGAGGCAAGCACAAACACATGGGGAAACTCTTTATTCACGGTAGGGGCCTGCTCTTATTGTCCTGCTCTTTTCAAAGCCAAATGCTACACTACAACCCATTCTCACTATAGATTCATAATAATAATGAATAATTATGCACCAGTTTTATATGGCGCTTTTCTGTACACCCAAAGTGCATTATTCATTCACTCGACACATCTACAGACTGACAGAAATGAGACTGCCAATCATTGGCCCATCCAACCACCCCTCACACACACACACACACCACTTATATATGAAATAACACACGTACGTAAATAAATAAATAAATAAATGTTTTCTCCATTAAGGGACGGGATTGATGCTGGATAACACAGCTAAATGAAATTAAATTCAGATTTAAGATTTTATTTTCTTCCCACTAACTTAAAATTAGAGCCCGACCGATATGGATTTTGTTGTGGCCGACATAAAAACTGATATATAATGGGAGTTGGGGCTGCCGATAGCCGATATAATCGCCGATATATTTAGTGATGTAAAAATTCACTGTAAATCTTGAATTGATTAAAAAACTTAGGTTTGGCTCTAGCGGATTCTAAATTGGGTTTATTTAGGCAACATTTATTGTTATTTTGACTCTTTACATCATATTTACATACAGTAGATTGGCCTAATGGCATTTTTGCATCACATTCTAGCTACTGTTACTGTCACTGCTAGTGATGGGTATTCCAGTTTTTTTTTTTTTTTTTTTGGAGAACCGGCTCGGCTCACTAAAGCAGCTGGCTCTTTCGGCTCCCAAGCGACTCTTGACATTGTTTTGTTGCAAGCAGGACTAAACCAGAACTGAACCAGGACTGAGTGTCGGGACTCGGTTTCTATAATTTCTTCTTCACTCGAGCCCAAGATTAGTCCTGGTTTATTAATTTTATGCTGAACTGCAGCCAAATATGCACTTTTTTTTTATCCTATGCACACGCAGATTTCTGAAAGTTTCGTTTTCAGCCGCTGCTGCTGTCAAACTAAGGGTCTACATGCGGCTTGAAGAGAAAAAGTAAGAAAAAGAGAAAACACGGCTCCCAATAAGAAACATGCTCCGGTTGTTCACTTCAAAAAGCCGGATCTAAGAGCCGCTTCGATCGCGACCGACCCATAACTCCTAGCTAGTAAACTATCGCTATTAGCCTTTAGTCGTAAAAACGTGCGCACCGCGGTAATTAAATATATGCATAAATGTGAATCATTCACACGTCTATTCACAGCTCATTTACATATCAATGCTGGTCCAGTAGTAAATATACGGCCAATATAATCACTTTACAACAGACCAATAGAAAACAGCCTGTTTATGTGTGGGAGCTACAGCAGCTAATCGCTAACAAAACCTAAACTAGCTTCAAAGTCGATGTATTTCCAACACTCACCGCTCACACAGGCTCCTCCTCACATCACAAGTCTGCACTAATAAATGTCCTTTTAATCCAGACTCAAACCGATTGTCCGAAAAAGAATATAATCTCAGTGTTGCGCACCACTGCGGGTGTAAACAAACACACGCGAGTGAAGTGACGTCACTCTGGTGGTGTGTTCAGGGACAGTACGGACACAGACAAATTACACCGTAGATAAATACTGATGCGGAGCCACATATTAGGACATTTATCTGTCTGTAAATTGGATTAAATGAACATAATGTAGAGAGTCTAAGCTTTATAACGAGGTATAACATGCCCACGTGAAATATCGGCCCATATCAGCAAGCATATCGGCCGATAGCCGATATGTCTCCAGGTGCCCATATTGGCCGATAATATCGGCCAGCCGATATATCGGTCGGGCTCTACTTAAAATGTATGTTAATTTAACATACATACATTTTATGAATTACCTCACAAATCAAAAAATAAAAAATCATTAAAAAACATCCATATAGCTAATCCAAAATTAACTCCTCTCACTGGCAGAGACATCAATACAACTTTTTTTTTTTACATTTCAAAATGTTTTAAATATTTAGCAGCTTTTTACTGTGCACTAACATTTAACCAGAATAAACAAAGAATAAATAATAATTTCTTACCTTTGCAAAACTTCATGAAATGCCCAATATTTAATTGTTAATACCATCAGATACATGCACAGTGTAGCAGATAAGAGAGACAGATGCTTAATGACAAAAGAGATGAATAAAGGATGATTAGAAACTAGTGTTGGCACGCGACACTGACTGATCTGTGGACCTGAAGCTGCCCACGACTTCCCCTATGCCAACGTTCCACTCTCACCACTGTCACGCAACCTGCTCCCTCCACTCAATACACCTCACACTTACTCAGAATGAAATAAGCTAGTCACAACAGAGATATCTGACTTAAAGTGATTTGTAAAAAGTGGAAAAAGCCCCAATCAAGTTGAAAGAAATTAGAATAAAGTCTTCTACAGCCAATCTATGCATGTAGCCTATAGCGCTAAGAGTAAAGAAACAGATACTCACGGGTATATGTTTCGTGTATCACGGTCTTCTTCTCCATGGGTCTCAGAACGATGAAAACAGTGATGAAAATATTATATCTTCTGAATGAGAAAAAGTCCTCAAAACATTGCATTTTTGTCCTGTTTCAGCTGACATATAACAGAAAGCCAAAATCCAGGAATTGTTAGGTTTCAGACATAGACTGTATATATATAAATGGACATAGCTAACCTGCTAGCTTCTGTGTTTCAAACAGGAAATGAGCATGGATGCACGTCCGGCTCCATCGACTCTGGTTGACTTTACATTTAAAAATTGGTCTCCCCTTTGACTGTGACTTCTGCAGTGAGCCTCGTCATTTTCATCTTAACATGTTCACATTAATTCACTCAACATGATCCTGGTGTTTTTGCTATTCTGCCCATAAATATAGAACAGAACAACTTTGTATAAACACACATTCAATCATTACAGAACTGTCTGAGTCAGCTACAACCAATAAACACTCTTATTACATACATTTATAAACCAAACAAGGATAAAGACTGAACTGATATTTGGAAGCCGATATCCAATCCAGTAAATTTTTCTTTATCAGCGCCGATATCAGATACCAGTATCTAGGGGTGTAACAATATCCAAGTCTCACGATATGATATCGTCACAGTATAAACCTCACCGTACGATATTTATTGCAATATCGTGGCAAAACTCACGATATGGTGGGGAGGCTCACGATTAGGGATGTAACAATATCTAAATCTGTCAGTACTATATTTTCACGGTATACATCTCACGATACGATATTTATTGCGATATTTTGTGGAGGCAAACAGAACTGTTAATATGCTACTTTTTCTACTTAAAATGCCTTGACAAGACTTAATCCAAAGATCTAAGACTTAAAGGTGTTGTTACTGTTATTTCTTCATGTAGTCTGCACTGAAATGGAGCAAAGGATCATGGTATATGTAGTTCCCTCTGTCTCTTTTTAGCTATTGCTGCACTATAATTCTTATTTTAAGCAAAGAGACTTGTAATTCCATATATTGTGATGGTCCATGACATTATTGTGAGAACTTTCACGATACAATGTCACGATATTTCGGTTATTGTTACATCCCTACCAGTATCGGATTGTGCATTCCTAGTCTTTATCGCTGCCCATTAACAAACTTTTTGGGGCCTGTATCAAGGAGGCTCAATTTTGTTCTGTAAAGGAAAATGACAGAAGAAGAGTCCGATTCTGAGTCATTTAGACTATGCTCATTAGCAATATAAGATCTTTATTTCCCATTTTTCTTAAACTTCTACTGTTTTTTCCTCAACAGCAATGGACGACTTTGGAGATAATTACACTGACTATGAGGACTACAATGACTCCACCACCAGCATGTACCCGGACCTGAACTCTTTCGACTACTGTGAAGCCGGAGACCACGAACTCACGATCAAAGTCTTCCAGAGCTGCTTCTTCTGCCTCATCTTCTTCACGGGGATCATCGGAAACTGCCTCGTCATCGCCACATTTTCTCTGTACCGCCGTTTCCGCCTCCGATCCATGACAGATGTGTTTTTGTTCCACCTGGCCCTCGCTGACCTCCTCTTGCTCCTCACTCTCCCACTGCAAGCCACTGATACTCACCTGGGTTGGATCTTCTCGAGTCCCCTTTGCAAACTTACCAGAGCCTGCTACGCTATCAACACGTATAGCGGTCTAATGCTGCTAGCTTGCATTAGCGTTGATCGGTACATGGTGGTAGCAAAGGCCCAGGAGATGCTAAGGTTGCGACGTCAGATCTTAACCGGTGGAAAGGTGGCTGCAGTTTGCGTTTGGCTTGTTGCAGTTCTTCTTAGCCTTCCTGAAATTCTGTACTCTGGAGTCTCAACGTTAGGGGACGAACATTACTGTGGTATGAAAATTAGCGGGACGGTAAAGAAGGCGACGAATGGTGCGATAATTGCGATTTTCGGTGTGTCCTTTTTGGTGATGGTGACTTGTTACTCGTCAATAGCTAAAGTTTTGTCTGAAGGTCATAAGTTTAATCAAAGTAAACAATGGCCTCGTCAGCGCACCCTGAAATTAATGGTCAGTCTCGTGGTGGTTTTTGTCCTCTTTCAGCTGCCGTACACTGTGGTACTTTTGCACAAAATGGCTGCCTCCTTCTGCGGGTTGCTGCTTGAATACATCACCTGTACTCTAGCTTACATGCGCTGTTGTCTAAACCCGATCCTCTACGCTCTGGTCGGGGTGCGCTTCAGAAATGATGTTGTGAAACTGATCCGGGACAGTGGGTGCCCATGTGGAGCCCAAGCCACTCTTCACACAGTTAGCTCCACCTCCATGTCTCCTCCTCTGGCCATCAGCTCACCTTGTTCACCCACTTCTCCAGAAAGAAGTACAAATAGCACCACTGACTCCACTAAATTCAAGTTCCCAAACAGCAGTGTAAGTAAGTGGTAACATAATTCACTTCTCAGTAAAAACAGTACTAGAGCCAGCTACCAGAGAGCTGTTAAATGGTGACACATTATTAATATTTTGTTTTAAATTGTTAATTGCTAAGACTATGGTGTAAACTTTTCATTACTCTCAAACCCATAAATAAAATCATATAGAAACAGTAGGCTATTGAGTAAAAGTAATGTGGAGAACAAAATGTTTTTAACTGTAAATTATAAAATGTATTTTATTTGAATGTAAATAATAGTTTTTATTCTAGTATGTTTGTGATGTGATGTTATTTGTTTGTTGGAAAAGCTGTTGCAGTGAGTTGTATCGACCTACATAGGCCACAGTCACAACCGCAGTCATAAACAGTAAGACAGCACGAGTTTGTTGTTCATATTTTCATCAAGAGACACAAGCAGACATGCTGACATTTTACCATTTTCAGTGTTTAATGTGGGTTCTTTTTACTCCAGACCACAACTCAACAGCCATAAAAACAACACATTTATACAAGGAAGTGAGGCCTGTTCTGTCTTATCGGGAAATTACACCTACACACGCATAAAGAAAAAAACAAAAAACTATAACACATATTTTTTTTTTAACCAAAAATGTATTATTGTTTTTATCATTATTTTAATAATGTAATTGTTTTGTTAATTGTCAAATTGTGTTATGTAAATCTTACTTGTACATACTCTTTCTCTTTTTATAGTTTCATAAAAAAGTATCAATAAACATTAACAACATTAAGATAAGAGAATTTTATCAATCAATCAATGTCACTTTATTTGTCCCTGAGTGGCAGTTTAAACACACTGAGCAGTAAAAATATAACGATAGCAAAAAGCTTAAACAAAAGTGTCAGGTGTGTCAAACAGGTGGAGCAGACCTGGGCATTGTACAGCTCCTGGGCCACATACGGCCTTTTGGTCAACTCTGACTGGCCCGTTTAAGCTAATTTGGAATTTCAAAATAAACATATTTTATAATTTTACTTCATGCATTTACTAAAGATGCATTACTTTTATTTTAGAGGTGTTTTTTAATGACATTTTTTGTAAGGCACTCACTTTTTCATTGCTTAGACATAACATAAAGTCTTACCAGTCTTACCAGCTCGTCTAAACAATGCTATTTACTGCTTTTTATAAAGAGATACTATTAATGTTATGCAGAATTAAGTTAAGCATTTCGGCCCGGCCCTCTACAGTATTTTCTATTTGTTATGTGGCTCCATCAAAAAAAAAAAATGCCCGCCCTGAGGTAGAGTCATGGGATTCTGTGTCAGAGATGAATCAGTAGCAAAATGTAGTATAGTATAGTAGACTATTAACCAAGTCATACTGCATCTGTAGAGATTGCTAATGTAGGCTACAGTGCATTTTCTAAGTTTCTCATTTCATATGAGCAGTAGATTCATCACATAACCAGACCAGAGTCGTTTTTAGTAGCAGATTCCTTCTTTGATCAGTCTTCCATAACTGTTTGAGCACTAGATGTCAGTGTTACATAGCCCGCACACTCACAGTCAGGCCAGGGTAAGATTTTTGCTTTACACACTGCAAATGTGTTAGAGAAACACCATATTGTGAGTTAAGTAAGAATTTTTTTTATATATAGTTTTTTGCTCATGTGATACAAGTGTCTTATATTAAAATAAATAAATACATAAATACATTCCTAAACTATAAAACTATAAGATCTGATCTGGGCTTTATATCTATACCCTTGCAAAAAACAGTGTATATATATGTGTGTGTGTGTGTGTGTGTATATATATATATATATATAATATATATATATATATATATATATATATATATATATATATATATATATATATATATATATATATATATATATATATATATTTTATTTATTTATTTATTTATATTTATATATTGACCAGTGCACATTGGGTCTACACATTTAGCACGAAACAATGGATCCAGTCTATAAGTTCTATTTATGCAAAATGCACATGACAGACATTGTCAACAAGTAAACAAGTACCCTTACCAGCTCCCCTGCATTTTTCTATTTCTAATCAATAAAGGTTCAGTGCAGTAACTTTATGGATGTGGCACTTGTATCTGTCCATAGAAATAAAAAGTTAAAACCATATTTCAGAACATTCTCTATGGACATATGTTTTATGCCTTGTTGTAGAATATTGTAGCCACAGAAAAAACATTACCATGGAAGCAAGCAGGAGGAGGCCCTCCTACGTGCTAAATAAGAGTCATGTTTTTGTTGAGACGCAAGCCTGCTCACAGCAAGGATGATATATATATATATATAGATATACTTAAATATATATTTTAACTTAAGACAATTTTTGGCTGGTTTCCCATGATGTCATTATAGATTGTGAATGTTAAACCCACAATAAAGGAATCATTTTGTCTGGTCTGAAAGCGATGCAGGTTCACCTGTTCTCAGATGTCAGTCTCTGTCATCACGTCTCATTATATTCTCATTCTCGGTCAAATAGCGGCTCACGGCTGGCTGCTTATGTCCTCACTCCTCACTATGGACCCAGCAGGTGTGGCCAGACATCCAGGTATCACCATAACACTCTTTATTTATTAACCACAGCTTCCAGTATATGCACACACAGTCATCTTGTAGCCAATGGCCAACAAGCTGCTACAAACACAGCTACAAGTTACGTCATGCCCTGGGCAAAACTTGTGAATGTGCTTAGCCAGTTTGATCCTCTTTGGTAGCCCTAGTCTGGTTTAGTGCTACAATTGTGGTTTGTTATTGTGGGAAGTTGTTGAGTATTAGGAGTACTTGCATGATGCAAAAGGTTTAAATAAAGGTTTAAAGATTAAGGCACTGTTGGGCTGTTTGTTACCTCTGCAATGGCTGACTGAGAGGGATAGAGGAAGGGAGAACAGTTTGTGTAGTGAATAAAAACTTTAATGAAATTTTAAAGATGTACATTTTTAGAGATAACCAAACTCAAACTGTATGCTTAGATCTGAGGTAATATTCATAATTCATATTTTCATTCAATATCCCCCCCCCCCCCAAAAAAAAAAAAGTTAAAAAAAAACAAACAAAAAAACCCAAAACAAAACAAAAAAACAATGAACTGAAAAAATGTTAACAGGAAGATAACTGCACTAAAAATGGTACACCTCCTTCTAAATACATAAAAAGCAATTAATATAGTCAGTTCAATGTATTTGGATTAAACCTGACACTGTACACAAGACAGTAACATAATTATCTTGGACAAATACATGTAATATTTATTTTTTTAACCAGCCTAGCCACATTTTGCATATGTTGTGTTACAGTGGTGACCAACTGATTTAGGAACATAATCAACAATATTATGTAAAAAAAAAAATAAAAATAATAATAATAAATAAATAAATAAAATGTATTAACAATGTAGTAATTTGCTGTAGTCTGTCTGGAGTCTATTCACCAAATAAAAAATAAATTCATAAAACATACCTAGACCGCCTCGTAAAAAGAAAAATAGCTGTCGAAAGATGTACTTTTATTAGCAAATACCTTTTAAGTCCTTCCATCTGTGTCCATAGATTGCTACAGTATTTATTTAACCCTTAAAATTCTCCCTAAAACAAAACAAGCCCATGTGCCCTTAACCTGACGGCACTAGGACCCAGATGCGTCCCCTCTCTGCGCGGAGCTCTATGGCACTGCTGTGTGCGCCTTCTCTGCGTCTGTCCCTGTTTCGGATAGACGGACAGGAGTTGCTGCCTTCTGGATCCCCTCTTCTTTTTACCTTTCTGCTGTGCTCTCTCATCACTCTTTTTTTTTTAATGTATATATATATTTTTTTTGGATATGGAAATCAAAAAAACCAAGCACCAGCAACAGCATTCAGAAGGAGGAGTTTTCACCACTACTTGCTAGCCTAACTAAGTCTGTTTACATCCCAGCACTGCGTTTTTGACTAGACTTTGTTTCTTTCCCCTCCTTTTTATCGTTTACTGTGTCAATTTTTGGCTGTCATCTCGTGTGGCAGCGTCTAAAGCCGGTCCCCTCCCCCGTTTTCTCTTTCACTCATTCAGCTGTCATTCTGCTTGTCACTTGCCTCAGTGGAGTTGACCACCCCTTTCTATTCCTTCTAGGATTTCATAACATGTAACGATATAGTCTTCTTGACTGACAACCCAAAATGGACTTATCAGGAGGGATCGTGCGTCACGGGCCAGTGCCACAATTTACTAAAAACTTGAAGTTTTAAGTTTTCTGAATATATATTTTAAAGTGAGTTGTAATCATGGGGAATACACCTGGAAGCTTGGACATCCAGCCAGGCAGAGATGGTACACCGGGGTCTACAGGGCCCCACAAGCCGGCTGCAGGGGCCAAACTTCCCATGCCACCTGAAGAGGAGCTGGAGGAGCGCTTCAATGCACTTCTGGTAAGTTCAGGAGCCAGGGCACGCATGTTGCTCTTTGAAGGAGCAGTTGAAATAACAATATAAAGTTACAAAGAATGTGGAGTATGTCGTTAGGCTTATCTGCGTGCCAGGTACACAATGCCACTGTGAAAGATACAAAAAAGTCTTTATGCTAGAGACTGGAGTTAATGCTACTTTACTCCCAACAGGATTTATAGCTACAATAAGTCAGCTTTGTGCACTGTTTAGCCCATTGCCCAAGCTTAGGAGATGAAGACAAGCAGTAAATGTAATTGTGAAGTGTAGCCTACTTTTTTTTAACATTAAACATGCACTGTGTAAGTTTTTTGGTGGAGAGTCCGCCATCTACTTGTCTCCCTATTGTTTTGCCTGGGATGTTCGCAGTATCACATTAAACAGTATGGCATTAAATTTAATTACAGGTGTTTTCATTTCCCAAAATGACTGCTAAAACATGCATTATTTCTGTGAGCAGGTCCACTTCTCCACAGATCTGACCTGTAACTTGGTCTGGTGATGTGACCTGCTTGTCTCCATGGAGATAGTTCAATGAAATGCCATAGTGTAGAACAGGAAGGAAACGCTAAAACTAAAATCATGCAGTATAGTTGCCACATCCCAGCTTATTTGAATTGCCTAACAATACATTTGAATGGCAGGCTGTATACAGACTGTATTTGAATAGTCGGATAGGGAAATGATCTTAACAAAGGTTAAAGAAATTAAGCTTCATTTGAAAGTTTTGTCATGGAACTATGACTACTGCCACAACTCTTATCATAATTTAAACAACTACCTAATATTACTACCTACTATTACCTACCTACTATTACTACCGCTACTATTACTACTATTATTATCACTACTACTACACCTATTTGCAATAATCACACTTGTTGCTCCTTCATAGAGACATCTTTGGGTTTTGCTTTAAGATTTCCTTGTACTGTGTGGACAACATAGCATCCTGACTACATTTTTACAATACTATATCTGTAACCCTTTGTGATTACTACTACAAATATGTAAATAAAAAATAGCACCCAAGTAGACACTGTAAAGACTGCTACTACTACTACATTACTACTGCTGCTACTTGCAATACTGACTTTTGTTTCTCCTACACCACTAAGTATTATGGTCTTCTTCAAGTATTAGGACTGATATAGCAGTGTTATTATTATCACTAATTAATTTCACCACTAAAAAATAATGTAGCCTTGCAATAAATAATACTTGAACTAATTACTTTCCACATCTGCCACAAGCATTGATTTGTTGTCTGTAGAGCTGGTCACTCGTTACCAACATTCCTTCGCTAATTTCATTTAGTGTGCATTGTGCTTTTTGGTTTGTCTTTTGTTTTGCGAGTGAGCATGACAGACTGAACACATGCCAGTTGGATGACACCAAGAAAATCAACAAAGGAATATTTGAACATGTTTAGGGGCGATTTTCCAGAGAGATATTTTGGATATGTGGCCAGGCAACTTGCTCTGTGATTAACTGCATTCCTTCTTATCGTTTATGATAATAATATGTGACAGAGAGCAACAGGCCACAAACATACTGTCAACAAGCTGAGTTTAGACTCTGGCATCTTCCCCTCCAGAGGACAAGGGCAATCCATTAGGTCCTTGTACTTTAATAATTTTTTACGAGAAACTGTTTAAAGGAAGTATCAACATCGGTATCTGAACAGACAAAGCTGAATTGGTACATCCTTATTCAAAATATTCCACAATATTTGGTTACATTTAGGCAGCACCGGATCAACCAGGTCTGTACCAGGTCTAACCTAGGGCTAAACTCTACAGGAAAACACCACTGCTTATAAAAACTATTAGGACTAACCAAACGGAGGAGAAAAACTTCTATAAGGGTGTGGTTGATGCTGATTATGATGAAGAGGTAGTGTGTCTACAAAGTTAAGGTTGTATCAGGATAGGCATCTGACTTACAAGGAAAAAGGGCAAGTCTGCAAAATCAATTTATGTGACCTGAATAACACATCACAGAAGACTGAAAGACAAAACTTACATAGGGCCTGCTAAGAAATTAAACTCAAATTATGAACAAATAATTGAACTATTAAAAAAAAAGTACAAAAAGACTTCAGTAGTTAAATTCTTCCTAATTTTGGGTAAATGTTTGTAAAGGGACAAATCGCTACCAAACGCACTTTAGCAGAGATGATTCATATTCCCTAATCCCTAATTTTATAAATCTTCATATAGACATATCTTCATAGCTTGTGTTTTTGTTTTAAGACTTCCTCATACATGCGGACAAACAGCAACATGGCATCCTGACGACATTTTTATACCATTTCTGTAACTCTTTTTGATTTGTAGATAGGAGATAGCACCCTTTATCAAGAACACACCAACAGTTTACTGCAAATACTTTTAAGTGGCATTGGAAATACAGTCCTATATTTTGCAAAAGTAATTCTTGTGAGCTTTAAGCCATGTTAGAATGTTGTTACCGCCTCAAAAACAAACCTTGACTTGTGTTTTTTTTTTTTCATTGACACATAGTTTAGTAACCTTTTATTATTAGTCTGTCTACATCACCAAAACTCAAAATGTTCTGTTCCACCTTGTCATGCAGAGGTTGTTTTCACTTTAACAACTACTTTTTGTTCAGGAGAGATTGGCAATTCCAGGGGTGAAATTATTTGCATGATTTTAGTGAAGGTGTATGGAGTTTAAAAACACAGTGAGCACTTCCTGTATTACCACATGACATCATAAGGTGGAACAAGGTGAACTATTTTCTGTTTAAGAGAAGAACACAGTTTAAATATGCAGGGTTTGTGTGTTGAAGGAAACAAAACACAACTTCAGTTATGTTTTTAATGAGGAAACAGATCCGAAAATAGACTAATATGGGATCTTAAACTATAACTAGATGACAACATATTCATTTGTAATAACTGCTGCATAGTATAGGTAGTAGGCTATCCAGGTACTATCACTACACAAACAAAATACTATACTCAGGTAGAAGTAGTAGAAAATGCCATATCGTAGTAATAATTTTAGGGATGTCAGAGTAACCGAAATATTGTGATACCGTATCGTTAAAAGTCTCGTGGACTGTCACAATATAGTGAATTACTAGAACAGCTTATGAACATTTTAAACTACATATCCCATGATTCATTTCAGTGCAGACAACATGAAGATATATGTTTTTTACTTGAATTCTTGGGATTATGAATAATTATGAAATTATTCACTCCAAAATCTTAATCTCTTAAGGTATTTTAAAAGCAAAAAAGAGTTTCATCTACAATTATATTAGCCTCTTCAAAATATCGCAGTAAGTGTTTGATTGAATGGGTTTTTATTAGCAGTCCGTTCTAATAAAGAAACAATAAACAATAAAATAAAATATAAGTTTCTAGTACTGTAACTGCAGCTGCCCTTTATTTATCCCTGCCATGACTAAAGGCAAAAAGCACAGTATTTTACATGCCGAATTTGCATATGATTTCCACATTGTTTTCCTTGTTATGCCTTTGCCCTGTGCTTTTGGTGACAATAAGCATTACCTCATCACTTTTCAGTCCTTATAGCTCGAACAGGTGTCTCCCTATCACAGCGGTTAATAATAGATTCACAGATTTCACAGACAAAATGTAGACCAGTCTTCTGCTGACTCTGCAAAGCTAATCCTTGGCTCTAAATGCTGATGTCCTCCTTCTGCATACTAACAGGTGTGAAGAGAAGAATACCTAAGATACTGCACTGATCTACTGCAGAGTTAAAGGTGCACTGTGTAACCTTCTGGTGGGGGGTCTGTCAAATGCTTTTTGACAAAGAAGTTTTGCAAGGTATTTTTGAGTTATAGAATCACCAAGTAAAGTAAAGTTGTTTAATGTCATACTGTGGAACATTCCAGGCAGGGTAAATACATATCCATAAAAACAAGAAGGTGACAGACTGTCCACCAGAAAAGCTACTTAGTGCACCTTTAATGATACAGACAGGTAAAAGTAGTGAGTGGGTTTTTTAATACAATTACAACTTTGTGCTCCCATGTCACAAGCTAATAAGAGCGCTCCCAGGCTCAAAGCAGCAGGCTGGGTTTCATCACTGTTTTACATAACACTTTGCATATTTCTCAACAGGGAGAGCAGCAGTGGGTGGACTTGTAAATGTGTCTCCAATAGACACAGAAATAGAGCTAAGAAGAGATGAACTTAAACATTATAACAGCATATTAATTTACAACTTGATAACACATTTTAAAAGTAATATTTAAACTACTTTATGGCACTGACACAATAAAAATAAAGCAAATAAAGGGCCCATATTACATAAGGACGTAACAATAACCGAAATATCGTGATATCATATTGTCAAAAGTCTCACAGTAATATCTTGGACTGTTACAATATATCGAATTACTTTCTTTCTTTGCTTAAATGCATGGTTTTATAGTAGCAACACTTTATAGACATAGGGAACTACATATCCAATGATTCATTTTCAGTGCAGACAACATGAAGTGATATGTTTTTTACTTGAATTCTTGAGATTATGATGGTAATAATTCACACCAAAATCTTGTCAAGGTATTTTAAAAGCAAAAAAGTGCCTCTTCAGAATATCACAATAAATATCATATTGTGAGATGCTTATTGTGATAATATCGTATCATGAGATTTGGATATTTTACATCACTAATATTACACTATTTTCTGATTAGTGTTATAATGCTGTTTCTTCATCACAAACATACCTGGAGTTGTGTTATGTTGTGTTTCATTCACACATGTTTAACACACAAACCCTGCATATTTAGGCTTGACTTCTCTCAAACTGAAGATACTCTGTTCCACCGTGTGATGTCATGCAATAATATATTTATTAATATATTTTCACTAGAATCAATTTCAGCCATGTAATTGCCAATCTCTACTGAGTGGTTCATGACATTACAAGGTGGAACAGAGCATTTTGAGCTTTGAAGATGTATACAGACTAATAGTAAATGATTACTCAGACATGTGTGAATGTATATTTTCTACACAACCAACTGAGTTCAAATAATATTATTGATCTGTTTCCTGCAAATGTCAACCCGTCTACAGATTCACAGAAGTCATGCATCATTTAGTTGTACAAAATGCCTCCACTTTACTGTGCACTGTAATCAATCTTTACTCGTCTCAGTGGAACAAATGGTATTTTTTTAGTTTATATGCAGTCGAATGGAATAACTGCTGTTCTTAAAATCAGTGGTGAAAGGCATATATTACATTTTCTACAGATACAGGAGCAAAAAATATTCACATAAAAAGGTTTTTTGTTTTTATTTGTATATTTTGTTTGCTCAAACTACGGACTTGTCAAACCCCTTAGCCTTTTCAGCAGGTCTCAAACAATAATAAAAAGTACTTTTATTTTTCAGTCCAGTTCAAAAATGTAGTGGAGTAGAAAGTACAGATACTTGCTCGCAAATGTAGTGAAGTAAAACTAAAGAGTATCCACTACAGATACCTATATTTAATTACAGTATTTTTACTTACTACTTTTACTTTGTTACATTCCACCGCTGCTTACAATAAAAATGTAGGCTTCCAATGTGTGCCCGTATGAAGCCACACAATGAACATTTGATTTTTTTGCTGGGGTCTGAATCCAAGCAGACTTCACTCTCCCAAGACACACAAGACACTGATTCAAGAATGAGATTTGTCATTACTAATCAATGATCAGCGTAGCCCTTTTTAATTAAGAGTCTAGAGCCAATCCTATGTCAATAAATGCATGTTTGCAGCAGAGTTCAGACCATGATTTGCCATAATAAAAATTTTGTATGTTGTATATGTTCAGAAAATCTATACTGAAAAAATCATAATCACTGAGGAAAAAAATCTTGATCCATTTGCCTAGTCCTACCCCAGCATCTCATAGAAGATCTCATGTCTATTGAACCAAAGACATATAAGTAAATAATTCATAAATCCCCCACAATTTTACAACTCTTATCTTTCCGAAATGCTAAATAACATATGGCCATATCTGACGCAGTAGACTGAATCCAACTGCAGTGTATTGAGCGACCAGCTACATTCATCAAGCCTGATTTATCAGATCCACATTCAGTCCAGCAACACTATTGATCTCCTGCTCTCTGCTGTGGCTCTGTTTCCCCTGTCACCAGTGCACTTTTAACATGTATTTTTGTCTTATGTTAGGCCCCCAAGGTTACATTTGGATATTTCTTTGACTTCAAGTATCTCTAAGTTACCGTTTATAAATAATCTGCTGTTTGGAGTACTCACTGTTCACATTGACCTTGTAATGTATTTAAAAACAAAGGTTCAGTACAATGTAGGAGGAAAGGCTGAAAGTACTAAAAAGAATGTAGGTAAACAACAATGTGCCCAATTTGAATATGTTTATGCATTTTGTGTTGGTTAGGTCTAGTATATTATTATGAATAACCACTGACTGAGGCAGGAAAAATTGTAGTTTTGAGACACCATACTCTTACTTGTAATATAATGTAAGCCAATGTAAGTGACTTTATGGTGACAATAATAAATGATTTGAAAATTTGTTTCTGACACTGCTCATTCAGTTATGATTTAGTTTTCCAATTGTGAAGTCTGTAGCAGATTTTTGCTTTATTAAATTTTTGTCCTTCCAATTACAAATCAGACTTTACTCTTACAAATATTCAAGCAGTGATACTTTAGAAGTAATTTTTCCTAATACTTTTTACTCTATTTGGCTATTCTACACCTCTGTACATAGGGCACGATGTTTAAAGTAGGGCTGGGTATCATAAAAAAATTGCTGATATGATACATACCTCGATGCATAGGCCATGATACCCTACAATGAGCTTTCGATTCGATACGATATATTTCAAATCGATTTGATACGGATCAATAAAAAACAAAGGCTAAATCATGGCTGTGACACCAAAAGTCTTTGTTAAACCACTTCTTGTGTAAAGTGAATATGAAACACAAACATTTTAATCATCAAAACTGTGAAAATGTCAAATGTGTCGCATAAAAAAGTTTCCTTCCACTAAACAAGCAACAAAACTGAAACAATATATTGATATTTTGATATTTTTGCACAGCCCTTGTTTAAAGGTGCATGGAGATGCTGTTGCTTTGCCTATAGTGTTTCAAACTATGGCATTAAACTTTGGAATCTCCACAGGGAAAACAGGAGACGCCACGCACGCAATTCACCGGTTTTATATATTTTTGAGCAATAAAAACACCCTTAATTGAATAAATGCATCTTATATAAGTTTAATACCATACTGTGAAACATTAGAGGCAAAGCAGTAGCATCTCCGCGGACACTCAACCCGAAAAGCTATGCAGTGCACCTTTGAATTTCCTGGTGGGTGTGAAAGCGTGACAGTGCTTATTAAAAGTTTCCAAGGACACACTGGAGAAAGGGGAGTTTTCTTGTGGAGTGCGGTTTGCTGTCATCAACAAACTCCTCTTGGACCACATCCGACTGAGCAGGCAGAAAAACTGACTTCAGTGATAAGGGTCACTGGTTACATTAATGAAACAAAGTGCACTGTGGCCTAGTTTTGAAGGAATATAAGTAAAAAGTTATCAGGCTAGTAAAATACAAGACTGATGTCACTCCTTTATAGTATGGTCACAATAGCAACATTTTAAACTCACATTCTGACTATTCTGATACCACAATGATAACTAAAATACCCTTTTTGTCAGTCATAAGTTCTTGTTCAGGTTTTGTCTGTAGTGATACTTATTCCATTGAGTATGTATTTTCGATTTTTGATGGTCAATTCGTGTCTGAGTATTTTTACAACCTCCTCTACATCATACACGTGAATTGTGGGTAGCCATAGCAGCAATGGATCCAAATGAGCTGCTCTACATATATGTACTAATGAAGCTGTGCTACAGTAACACAGCAGTGAGTCAAGCTGACAAGGAATGTTTATGCATCAAGGACAATAGAGGGGATAATCACTATATAAATAATGTGGCTTCATGTACTATAGGCACGCGTGGGTTTAATTATCACTTTTGGTATAAGCACACAGCCCTGGTTGCATACTGTGTTACTGTATATATTTGAAAATACAGTGATTGTTTCTATATTTTTTGCAGAGTACTATGAATCTTCCTCCAGACAAGATAAAGATCCTGGACCAGTACGACAATGAGAAGAAGTGGGACCTGATCTGTGACCATGTAAGATTCTTCCCAAATACTATGTATCAGAGGTGGGACTTACAAGTCGTGACTTGGACTCGAGTTAGACTTGAGTCACTATTTTTAAGATTTGAGACTTGACTTGATAAAATGGACTAAGACTTAGAACTCGACTTGGACTTGAAGGTCAGTGATTTGGGACTTGACTCAGACTTGAGGCCTGTGACTTGAGAAGCACTTTTAAAATCGGAATTCTTTCTATTCTGACTGTAATAATTCACTCTTAAGACCTTGTCAAGACATTTTAAAGGGAAATATTTGCATTTCTACAACTCTTATATACTCTATAAATACTCATATATAAATATACTACAGTTTAGTTTAAAATTCATATCAACTGCAAAAATCTAAGCTATATTTGGTACTTTGGTTTAAAGACTTGAAATGACTTGAAGCTCAAAGCAGACGACTTGGACTTGACTTGGACTTATGGGCCAGTGATTCGAGACTTGACTTGGACTAGCCTGTATTTGACTTGGGACTTGACTCGGACTTGAGGTCAAAGACTTGAGGCTTACTTGAGACTTGCAAAACATCGACTTGGTCCCACCTCTGCTATGTATATTCAAACTATATGCTAATTTGTACATACTGTGTAAAGCATGTTCATGTAATTACAATTTTCACAATACTTTCTGGTTTTATGACATCAACCCACCATTATGTCATCAATAGTAGCAAGCACTTTAGTTTTTTTAATTGTTGGTATTTGAACAGTTAACATTTTAGATAACCTGTGTGAGATATTTTGTGGCCTTCCAAATCCAAATGATGTTGCAGTTTTTCCTTTTTTCTGGTTTGTGGTTGATTTCCCAACCTTAATTTGGTATGGTGAGGCACATATCCCTAAGCTATGATAAATAATGTACACCGTAGCAACAGGAGTGAGGCCTATGACTTCATGTTTCATCAATGCAGACTGGTCATTGTGGCTGTGTTTTCGTCATTTTACTTAATGGACAAAAGATGCACAATGCTTTGATGTAGTCATTGTGTGTCTGCATGCAACTATTATCTGTTATGTTTGCACACATGCTATGCAGTCAACCCACAAATCCACACCATTCACTCTGTAATACACATGAATGATAGCTATCTTCGTGTGTAATTCTCTACAGGAGAGAGTGCAAGTCAAGAATCCTCCATCCACATATTTGGACAAACTCAGGAGTTATCTGGACCATGGAGGGGTCAGTCGCAAGGTACAAGAAAATACACTACATAATACTATAACTAGACTATACTATGACCCATATAATCAGATGAAGTATTTTGCTAAAAATCAAGCTACATGCCATGGTTTATTTCTTTAAAATGTAAGTTGTGAAGGGGGCAAATGGATAATATATTATGCAAAAATGACTCTTGTGAGCTTTAAGCAATGCTAGAAATGTGTTATTTAATCAAAATCATACCCAGAGTTGTGTTTTGTTTCATTCATACATGCTTGCGTAATCCTTTATTATTAATCTGACTACATATTTAAAGCTCAAAATGCTCTGTTCCTCCTTATAATGTCATGTAGTAGTAGTTTAGAGTTTATAGCTGATTCTAGTGAAGGTGTATTAAGTTTAAAAACACAGTGGGGCACTTACTGTATTACCACATGATATCACAAGGTGGAACAGAATTGTTGTGCCCTTTTTGCTTGAGGAGGTTTTTAATGCACATAATAAAAAAATAAGCACTCGCAAAGATCCAGAAATTGCCTTTATCAATTTATGTTAAAGAACAAAAAATATAATATTTTTCGTGGTTGACTTTCAATAGCAATTTAGTGTTCACAAAATAGTATGTCTCCTCCTCTCTGGGAGCTGGCACTGCCTTCCCTGCTCTGCTGCTACAGGTGGCAGATAAACCTGATTGCAGGAGGGGAGAGGAGATCAGGATGACCTCAAATACAAAATTTTGTAATAAAGAAAAGTGCATACATAAATTAAACAAATTAATAATTTGTTAAATAAATATAAATAGTGTTTTCGATTCTACAGTAATGGAGAACTCCATCTTAAATATGCATGGTTTGTTTGTTAGATGTGTGTGAATGAAACAAAACACAACTCCAGGTATGTTTTTGATGAGGAAACAACAAAATAACAACACTAGATAATATGGGCCCTTTAAAGAAAAGAAGCAAGTTTGACAATGACAGCTAACAGCTAAACAACCGGATCAGAGCATCAGCCCGAGTGAACAGGTGGTGCATATGGGACCGGCCCATATGGTTTATCTAAAGGATGAGCTGCTGTAGCTCAAATTGCAGGGGAATTTAAGACAGATATTAGACATTTAGTTATGCTTGACTGGTGTTTAAAAATGGACCATGCTACTGTTTTAGGAGTAGGAATTATCTCAAAAATATGTCTTTTCTTGTAGTTTAAACGTCGTGTTGCAGAGTCCACCCAGGTTCTGAGAGAGCTGGAGATCTCTCTAAGGACAAACCACATTGGGTATGTTAATGTCCATTTAAGTATTACATGGCTGGGTTTCAGATTAAATAACTACAAATAGACAAATAATATTTAATACAAATTGGGGGCAGCTGAAATGAAAAATGTTAACATGCAGGTTTTTGTTTTTGTCACTAACAAAAGTGCCCATGTTAAACCTTTTAGATATTTCATAGCAAAATGTTGAAATCTTGTATCTAAACATTAATTATCTTTTTGTTTCTGTTTTCAGTTGGGCTCAGGAGTTTCTGAATGAGGAGAACCAGGGTTTGGATGTGCTGGTGGACTATCTGTCTTATGCCCACAGTGCTGCTATGTAAATGTCTTTTCATTCATACTGTCATTTAAAATCGAAACAAAACTATTCTATTTAATCTTTCAGGCACATAACAGTTTTTAACTCTGATTCTAGAAATGATTTAGATACACCAGACAATAGTGCGGTTGCAGCGGAGAAGTCAGTGGAAGATCTGAGCAAAAGTGCCACCAACTCTCCCTCTCACAGTGCCTCCAAGCCCACCAAAGCCTTTACTGTCAGGTGAGAACCAGTCACAGTTCAACTCTTTATTAGATCTTTGACGGGTAATCGTTTCACAAACAGTAATAACTAACAAGCAATGCAAACAACCTCACAACTGATAAAAAAGACAGTGAACAAGGACATAAGAATAAAAAAAAGGTAAAAAAGATAAGTTAAATCTGCAGTATCTGATTTTTATGGTCTTAAAAACCGTCAAAAACAAAACTTTAAATGGTTTTCATTACTCCAGAGTTATCCCTCACTTACCTTACGCAGTCTGAACATTGTAATTTTTATTATTCAGAGGCCAGTGAAGAGTTTTGCTACAACAACTAGCATGCTAACAATGGTTTTCCTGTTTCTCGGACAATAAAATGTCTTATAATTTGATGCAGTCTTAATTTTGAACTCAAATAATACTTTTACAATATATGTGTATGGGAGCAAGTGTCATAGAACAATGTAGTTCTGCAGCCTTGACATTTAGATTATACTTTATTTAAAAAAAAACAATGATGGTGAGAACAAATAATTTTCCTACCCCATCATCAGTGACTTCTTAGACACAACACTGTGCTGTCATAGAAAAATATGGCAGGCATTTTTTACATTCAGATCACATAATTCCCTATACTGTCTCTGTTTGACAGTTTTGATGTATGTTGACAGCCGTACTGCAGCTGTCAAACCGTGTATAGAGCAAAATGATTTCTACAGTTCTTTAAAAAATATGTCTGAAAATACCATATATATGTCTGTCTGTGAATGTAGCCAAAAGAAGTAAACACACGGGCTAAGGTACCAGGACAGGGCATTTAAAACAGATAATTCCTGTCAAAATGATATGTCCTGTGTGGATTTTCAGTTATGTGGCTCTTGTGTGAATGTGAAAAATGTCTTTGGGGAGACCGGCAGACATACCTGTGCTGTAGGGAGTGTCTGACTTTTTGAAGTAACATGGTACAACACAAGACAACAAACCAAACAAAACCAATTCTGTTGAGTTAAATAGTTTGTATAAATGTGGGAATCATTTCAACATATAATATCTGTGACTAACAATAAAATAACTTGGATAAGTTTAAGGCCGCTTGACCTATTATAATGAAAAAAAAAGTTACATTATTTAATTATTTAATTATGTAAATTTTTATGTGAATTGATGTGAGTGGGTCAGTTTGATGAAAATATGTTGGAGTGTCTAATTGTACAGAATGCAGTACAAATAGGTAGAAGTGGGCAGAGTGTAGAATTACAAAGTAGTGGTTCGAGAAATTATTCAAGTAAGAGTAACAAAAAGTATCTGGGAGACTACTCGAGGAAGTAAGAGTAACTGTCTGGGGACAACATCAGATTTATAATGTGAAGAACAAAGCAATATTGCATTATATGGTATTCATTATCTGAACTGTCAACATAAAGCTAAGTCACTTGTAGACTTTCTCACAGTGACAAGAGTAACAATAACTTTTACTTAAGTAAGAGTACTGTTACTTCAGGTTAAATATTACTCAAGTAGAAGTAAAAGTATACAGTCCCAAAACTATTCAGAGATGTGCAGTTCTATAAAAAGTAAAAAAAAAACTGAGTGAATGTAACTGAGTACTCCCCACCTCTGGTTATAGGTGTATTAGAGTAGCAGTGTGGTATTGGCAGGCTTGTGTATAAGAGCAGCGTTTCTCACTGTCAGATTGAACTCCAAACAGGAAAGCCCTGAGGACGTCCCGTGTGGTGAGCCAGAAGGACGACACGCACCTGTGCATCATGTGTTTACGCGCCATCATGAACTACCAGGTACTGCACCTGCGCCCACACGCTCCCAGGAGAATGTTACTGTATTATGCCTAGAATTACTTAAGCTAAGGTGAAAGGGATGAATCAGACATAGTAAAAGTTTAAACAGATAAATGTTTGAGCTCATTTTAGATTGTGAATGTATCACACTATGCAATTATTATATTTTAGAATCACAAACAGAAATATTTTAGCTCTGGTTCTTGATTTCATGAGCTTTCTGATTATCATTATCAAGCGTAATCCTTGTTTTTACACCTTCATAAAACTATAATCGAGTATATTTACACACAGACAAGGATAATTCTCGTATAATACTGATTACTGTGTCCATTAGGTAACTTGACACTAGTGCTAGATTACCCTGTGGTCTGTAGCTCGCTCTTGCCTTTTCACTTGAGCTCTTTCTCTCTTTCACTCTCTCTGGATCACGCTCGTGTGACTGACAGCACTAAATGACTTTTGTTTTGTCAGTCGGGCTTTAACCTGGTGATGACTCACCCCCGCTGTGTCAATGAGATCACCCTGAGCCTCAACAACAAGAACCCCCGGTAAGCATCAATCACATGACTTATAACATACATGTACTGATGAGAGGGCGACAGTAACTGTACTGGTAAACACCAAACACACAATAATAACACACATGTACATGTACTGATGAGAGATTTACATTAACTCTGGTGTGTGTCTTTACATTATAAATGTCCCCTCAGAACCAAAGCCCTGGTGCTGGAGCTGCTGGCGGCTGTCTGTCTGGTGAGAGGAGGACATGACATCATCCTCTCAGCTTTTGACAACTTTAAAGAGGTCAGAGGTCACAGTCGTTCATACATTTTCATTAAATGCTTTGGACAACACTTTTTTATCATTAACATGATGACATTTTAAAATATGAAATGAAGTATTCTTCTTATACTTACTTTGGTTTAATTGCATAATACATAACATTTACTGGCCACTGTTGTATAAAACTATACCACTGACAATTAGTGGGACAAGACTCATCTAAACAATGCAACATTATAAAGACTGCTCTTAACGGTTCCGCATAAAGACTTTATTATCCTATTTATTCATCCCCCTATAAATGTTACAGTTTTATTAGCTATATTTAGTACTTCACAAGTGTTGAACATTAAGTGTATCACTTACACTAGGGAGGATAGGAGCTGGTTTAGATGTACATTTCCATAGGATTGAAAGCTTTATGGACAGTGTGAGTATACTGCCGTGTTATGTTTGGGGATCCCCCGCCCCACCTGCTCCTCAGCTGCTGTCCAGTTGTCCCACAGCCAGACTAAACCACTGCGTCGGCGTCACTGTCAAACTCTTCCCCAGCTGCCTCGACCCTCTCCTGGTTTCCTCTCTTCTTTTGCCTGACAAAGCAGCAACTGTTGCTGGCTAATGGGCTCCTGTGGCTGCACCGACTCTAACAGAACGTGAACTAGCAGCACTATTATTAGTAAATGTCAGGGGTGTCAGGAGCACCCAGCAACAGACCTCAAACTGTGGTGTGGTGAGCTCCTGCTGTGAGCTGGGGGATCCTCTTTGAAGCACTGTTCACACCCACACACATAACACTAATGTGTAGCAGAGCTGAGCCTAAAGGTAACTGAAGCGCCTTATTGGTCTACACTGTTATCATCACCTAACTACAGTTGTTTGATCTGCTTTTCCCCTGTGGGTCTACAGCCAATATTTACTATTCAATTATTCATCCTAATGTTTATTTAATAAGATGACTAAATTGAAAACAGATACAGATAAGGTACTTCCTACTTTTTTCTGACACTTTTTTGATTAAAACCAAAATGGACCCCCTGCCACTGCCCTTGTTTATCCAGGCCTGGAATGAGCACAATTTACTGGGTAACTGGCTTATGACCCCTTGTGGCTGAATGAAAAATACAAGCAAAAATACCTTAAAATACCTCAAAATAGACTGCAAGTTGTCGTAACAACAAAACAGTGAATATAAGACGATCTGATCAGTTTCTTGAAATGGATGAAAATATATTCCTATATGAATATTAGTCTAAAATAAGTGTTGATGCATGTTTATAGCATACAATTTTAGTCTTATTTGATTCTGAAAGTAAATATACTAACCACTAACCCTAAAATGTAAACATGAAGCCACAAATTACTTGAATTATATAGTTGTTAACAAATTAGTGCTGATTTGTTGTTATAACCTGATATCTTAAGATGCCTTAATGGAAATTCAAGTGACCCATTTCACTACAAAACACATTTAATAGTTTTTCGTGTCTTGTTTATTAGTGATATTTTGAGCTATTTTCACCATTCAAAAGATAATCATATTTAGGTTTTGAATTGTTAATTAATTAATGGCAACAGTACTACTTTTCCATTGCTCCAAAACCCTTAGACTTAGACAAACTTTATTGACCCAAAAGGGAAATTATTTGGACAGAGTAGCTCACACATCACAGTCACAAAATATAAATGGTAAGTAATAGTAAATTCTAAATAAGTAGCAAAAATAGCAAGAGACTAGTGTAAAAATGAGGCATAATTACAAAAGGTCAGTGCAATAAATGTCAGGACACAGGGTTATCTATTTTAATCCATGGATAAATGTCTCTTCTGTAAACCTGCTCCTGTCTCATCATTGACAGCCATGCTGTTGTGATGTTGCTGCAGTAGTCTCTGTATAAGTGAATGGCTAACTGGGATGGACTACAGTGTTGGATGAGGGGGGCAGATCCGAGGAGGTGGGCACGAGGCCAGCTGCCGGATCATGTGTCTCACTGAAGCAGGACGGGGGCTTTGTTTTGGCTTGTGCTGCTGGTCTGTCAGAGCACTGGGGCTGTTGCATTATTTAGAGGACATGAGTGGACAAAAGGGGGAGGCAGAGCGCAGCAAACAGAGCAGAGATACACATGGGAATTGTGCTGACTAGAAAACATGATTAAGACCGGTGTTAGCAGCAGCTTTACAATATATATTTGAGATACACTGGGCTTGGATGGACTTTGTTGAACAAGGGAAAGCACTTGGACATAGACTTTCAATAATACTATAACAAGAAAACATGAACATAAAATACATAAAATAAAATATGGATAATATAAAAAGGTACCTGTGTTAAATTTGTATAGTGATTATATAGAAAACACTAGATTTGTGTGGATGTTTGCCATCAAATATATTGTAAACTAAAATAATTGTACTATTTCAGTCTAAAAGTTATAAGTCTGATCTGTTTAACACTAAATGGCAACAATGAAATAGTAAAAAAATATATGTTTAAAGGCCCAATATTACGCAAAATTGACGTTTGTGGCCTGTTACCTCACCAAAAACATAACTGGAGTTTTGTTTCTTTCACACATGTTTGAATAACTCTTTATTATTACCTTTAACCTTTAGTTCAGTAGAGATTGGCAATTCCAGAGCTGAAATCATCATCATAATGTGGAACAGAGTGTTTTCTGTTTGAGAGAAGGACTCAGCCTAAATATGCAGGGTTTGTATGTGTGATTGAAACAAACAAAGAAGAATCATAAAATAGTGTGATACGGGTCCTTAAAATACTCCTATAGAACATAACTTTAAATCAATGAAATATGTGCACCAGTCCTACCTATTTAACCAAAACAATATTTAAAACAATGTATTGGAATTTACTGATGCAAAGTGTTTGTCTTAGGTTTGTGGAGAGAAAAGACGATTCGAAAAGCTCATGGAATATTTCTGCAATGAAGACAACAACATTGACTTCATGGTACGCTGTTTTGTATTTTAATTGACAACGTATATGAGCACATACACCCTTTGTTTTGTGTGTACAGTATAATCTGAATCATTTTAATGCAGCTCCATAACAAAAACATTCACGGAGGAAGTTAGCACTAATTACTCCATAGAGAAAAACAGAAAAAGCAATCAGCACAATGACAGTGTTTCTTGTTAATGACAGAGCCGTGTGTAATTGCTTTGAATTGAACAAATGCGGTGAGTGAGATATGGCCACACTGTACCATATGTATGCAAAGTGTTTAATTGCTTCTGGGCTCACTGCATGAACTGTGTGAGGCGGTGGAAACAAGACTATTCCACATGTAGAGCTGTGGTATTGAAATTAACAGCTTTTCTCTAACTTGTATCACAACCTCACATGAAACTTCACTTAAATTTAAAATATTTAACTTATGAATGTGAAATTTAATTCATGGATTTCACCTTTGTGTTATATATTTCTAGATATAATATTCAGTTAGTTATTATTGGCAATTATTCTGAATGATGAAAAATATCTTTAGTAACTTTTAGTGATTTTTTTTTTTAAGTTAAATGTTTTGTGCATGAATTTAAACAAAATAAGTTTTGCAGTGTATTATGCATTGTTTCTTAAAAACAGTTACATTTGTGGTCCACTAGGTGGCTTGTATGCAGTTCATCAACATTGTGGTGCACTCTGTGGAGAACATGAACTTCAGAGTACATCTGCAGTATGAATTCACTCAGCACAGTCTAGACGACTTCCTGGAGGCAAGTCTGGGATTCTTACCTTGTTCTGTTAAATAAAAATAAATAAATAATGCATGATGATGTTATTAATATACACCTTTTGTGGCGTAGTCATTGAAGTTCACAGAGAGTGACCGGCTGCTGGTGCAGATTCAGGCCTATCTGGACAATGTGTTTGATGTGGCAGCTCTGCTGGAGGATGCAGAGACCAAGAACGCTCTGCTGGAGCACATGGAGGAGCTGCAGGAGCACAACACAGAGGTCTGCAACCTCAAGAACTACACTTTCTGGAGTTTACATTAATATGTCTAGTGTTAAAGCTGCACTATGTATTTTTCTGGAGAAAAAGCTGTCTGTCATTGCTTTATCTGTTAATTATTTTTCTAATATATTTTTTTGCTGGTGTTTACATTGCTTAAGAATACCTTTAAAATGCATTATTACTGTGAGCAGAGATGAGATCTGACCTCTTAACTTTCCCTGGGGACTTCACCAGAGAAATTACACAGTGCACTTTTAAACTAAATATGTAGAGTGTTTGAGTTGCACACCTTGAAAATCTTGAGTGATTCTGCCATTAGTCATTTCTAACCACGACTACTACACACTGTATTAAATTATTGTTATAACATATTTATATTTTTTTATACATTTGTTACAGCTAAACACAAGGCTGCAAGAAAATGAAAAGGAAGCTACAGAGAAAGTGTCAGATCTTGAAAAGAAACTGATACAAGCCACGAAAGAAGTGGAACTCCTGAAGGTACACACATCTACTGTACTTTTACTTTTAATTACAATTGCATATTGTTAGTAGGGCTGCAAGATTAATCACAATCGAATCAAAATTGGAATGGAAATTGCAAAGGCTGCCATTTTTGAAGCACCATAATGTCGTCCACAAACAACTAAATCTCTGCTTTTATTTTGCATAAAACCTCTAACCCTGTAGTTATTATCTGTATAAACATTCTGTAATGTAATTTTTGTATTGGTTTATCAGTTCATATTTGAATCTTGTGTCAATTCTTCGGGATTCGTTGAAAATGTGAACTTAGAACAGAATCCAGAATCCAATCGCAGTGCTTGTCAGAAATACTGCAATTCTGTATTTTTTCCCAAATCAGTCAACTTGACCTGATAAAAAAACTGTTTCTTTTGTTTTAGGAAAGCCTCCGTGAGTCCTGTGCTCAGGTCAGCGCATTGCAGCAGCGTGAAAAGGAGAAAGAGCTTGAATGGGAGCGCGAGAGAGAGGCTGAGAGAGACAGGGACCAGTCCAATCAGGCGCTGAAGGATCTGGAGGTCAAAGTTCAAGCTCTGGCCGACCAGGGGCTCATCAGGATGGAGCGCTCCAAATCAGGACAACTGGACATTCAAGTGGTCCCAACAGTGCAACAGGTTATACAAAAAGGTATGTACTGTGGATATCAAACTCACACCAGGTACATCCATCCATCCATCCATTTTCGTCCGCTTATCCGGGGCCGGGTCGCGGGGGGAGCAGCCTAAGCAGGGACTCCCAGACTTTCTTCACCCCAGACACGTCCTCCAGCTCCTCCGGGGGGACCCCGAGGCGTTCCCAGGCTAGCCGAGAGACATAGTCCCTCCAGCGTGTCCTGGGTCTTCCCCGGGGCCTCCTCCCGGCGGGACATGCCCGGAACACCTCCCGAGGGAGGCGCCCAGGAGGCATCCGGAACAGATGCCCGAGCCACCTCAACTGGCTCCTCTCGACGTGGAGGAGCAGCGGCTCTACTCCGAGCTCCTCCCGTGTGACTGAGCTCCTCACCCTATCTCTAAGGGAGCGCCCAGCCACCCTGCGGAGGAAACTCATTTCGAGCGCTTGTATCCGCGATCTCGTCCTTTCGGTCACTACCCATAGCTCATGACCATAGGTGAGAGTAGGAACGAAGACTGACCGGTAAATCGAGAGCTTCGCCTTTCGACTCAGCTCCCTCTTCACCACAACGGTCCGATACAGCGACCGCATCACTGCCGAAGCTGCACCGATCCGCCTGTCAATCTCACGTTCCGTCCTTCCCTCACTCGTGAACAAGACCCCGAGATACTTGAACTCCTCCACTTGAGGCAAAGACTCCCCACCCACACGGAGAGGGCAAGCCACCTTTTTCCGGTCGAGAACCATGGCCTCGGACTTGGAAGAGCTGATCTTCATCCCAGCCGCTTCACACTCGGCTGCAAACCGCCCCAGTGCACACTGCAGGTCCTGGCTCGATGAAGCCAACAGAACAACATCGTCCGCAGCAGAGATGAAATCCTGTGGTCCCCGAACCGGACCCCCTCCGGCCCCTGACTGCGCCTAGAAATTCAATACAATGAACAGAACCGGTGACAAAGGGCAGCCCTGGCGGAGTCCAACATGCACCGGGAACAGGTCTGACTTACTGCCGGCAATGCGAACACAGCTCCTGCTCCGGTCATACAGGGACCGGACAGCCCTTAGCAAAGGGCCCCGGACCCCATACTCCCAGAGCACCCCCCACAGGACACCACGAGGGACATGGTCAAATGCCTTCTCCAGATCCACAAAACACATGTGGACTGGTTGGGCAAACTCCCATGAACCCACGAGCACCCTATGGAGAGTGTAGAGCTGGTCCAGTGTTCCACGGCCAGGACGAAAACCACACTGCTCCTCCTGAATCCGAGGTTCGACTATCGGCCCGATTCTCCTCTCCAGTACCCTGGCATAGACCTTACCGGGAAGGCTGAGAAGTGTGATCCCCCTATAGTTGGAACACACCCTCCGGTCCCCCTTCTTATACAGAGGGACCACCACCCCGGTTTGCCAGTCCAGAGGTACTGTCCCCGACCGCCACGCGATGTTGAAGAGGCGTGTCAGAGCCAAGACAGCCCCACAACATCCAGAGACTTCAGGTACTCAGGACGGATCTCATCCAACCCCGGAGCCTACAACTAAAGATAATATTTGTCTTCTCCTGGTACCAACAGATCTAAACCCAGACTATCAGGCCTATATTAGGTCTAAACATGGCCTAAAATGAGAGTAGTTCTAAATAATAATTAACCCAAAGGAGGACAAAAACATATAAAATGTATAATTTGCCTCTACATTAGACTGCAACTGAATACATGCACTGAGAATATGTGTTCTTTATACTAATTTTGAGTAACTAAATTAACATTTTTCATGTAATTTTTGCTTGGTTCTTCAAGCTATTAGTAGATACATTTTTCCTTTTCAAACAGAAATAAAGCAGTTTGTAATATTGTCATATTTTTTAACTAAAATATAATTAAACTTGGTGTTAAACTCAGTACTCAGATGGGACCATGTATCAGAAAACATTACAAAATACATTTAAATTCAGCTAGTCAGTTTTCTGTAACTAAATACATTTTCAAAGTAATCCTCCCAACACTGCACATCCATGTCCTACAGTTTGATGAACACTCATTTAAATGTTTTTTTTTTTTTACATATTTACTTCTTCATAGTTAAAGATGAGCCAGATGCTGGCATTACGGCACAGCCAACACCTCCTCCTCCTCCACCACCGCCCCCGCCTCCCCCTGTTGCACCCACACCCCCCTCTGCCCCGCCTCCTCCTCCACCACCAGCAGCACCTCCTGCACCACAGATGCCCCCTGCTGGAAGTTCACCGCTCACAGGTAATAATTACAGCTAAATAACTTGATAAATGTGAGTCTTTTTAAAATAAGATATTAAACAAATCTATTCTCAGTGCTTCTAATTCAACAGCCTTAAGTGTGTCTTGTTTTGTAAATTCCATATATGTTTGGGATGTCTGTTGTAGCCTTTAAGAAGAAGAGGACAATCCAGACCAAATACCGCATGCCACTGTTCAACTGGCAGGCCCTCAAGTCCAACCAAGTGGCAGGCACGATCTTTAATGAGCTGGATGACGAGAGTGTCTTAGAGGTATTATATATATAATGTAAACTGTATATTTTGACAAATACACCACAGGATGTAAGTGATCAGTTTTGACAACATTATTATGTGATACAGAGAAGTAGTAAGAGTTGTTGCATGTGTTATAATGTACTGTCTGTATGTTACTATGTTCTTTGTGCTGTAGGGCTGTAGACATTTATATCATTAATCCGTCGATGGTGTCTTAGTCGACCAAAATTTCTATTAGTTGATTAATTATTCTTTTTAGATTTATATCGGATCACATCAGTTAGCTGAAGATTTGGAAGTATTATCTACCTTTTTACATATGAAAAATAATTAATAATAGTGGCAATACAGTGTTGCCATGTACTGCTGGACCACTCTTTCTTTATTTTTTTGCTTGTAATTATTAATAACAGTTATTAACAACTTTATGCCATAAATATATATATATATATATAGTATATATATATATATATATATATATATATATATATATATATATATATATATATATATATATATATATTTTAATCACAATCTTAATTTCCTTTCATTTTGACATCTTTGTTCAGATGATCTATTATGCCCCCTTTTTAGTCGACTAAACAATCAAAAGGACATGTCTGTCTGAATTTCTTTAGTCGACCACAGCCCTATGTATGTCCCCATTTGTCCTTCTGCTGTTTGTATGCCGTGATGAACCAAAGAGGAACTTCGATAGACAATAAAAATATTCTATTCTAATTCTTTGTCTTCATGTTTAGGAGCTGAACATGGCTGCCTTTGAAGAGCAGTTCAAGACCAAAGCTCAGGCTTCCCCTGCAGAGGTCGGCACCCTGAGGATGAAACTGGCCCACAAGACTCCCAGTAAAGTGTGCCTAATGGAGCCAAACCGGGCCAAAAACCTGGCCATTACTTTACGAAAGGAGGGCATGGCGGCATCGGACATTTGCTGCGCAATAGAAACGTACGGTATACCTCAGACAGAGGTGCCATTATTAAAATACAAAAGTTTATGGAGCCAATCATTTTGGATTTTTTTTTTTCAAAAACAGTAAATCTCCCTTAGAGTTCTATAGGCCCTTGTTCACCATCTGAGATTACATTTTAGAGCATGAACACAACCTATTCACTGTACTGTGTGTCTGATGTTTCCTTGTGCCTTCAGTTACAACCAGAAAGCCCTCAGTTTGGATTTCCTGGAGTTATTGGAGCGTTTCATTCCCACTGAGTACGAGATGAAGCTCATTCATAACTATGAGTGCGAGGGCAGGCCCCTGGACGAGCTCAGTGAGGAGGACCGCTTCATGGTGCGATTCGGAAAAATCCCCCGACTGGCACAGCGCATCAGCACACTCACCTTTATGGGCAATTTCACAGACAGTGTCCAGCTCATTCAGCCTGTAAGTATGCAGGGATATTGAAATAATCAATACAAAAGAAGTCTTTAAGATTAATCACGACTGAATCAAAATCACAATTTGAATGGACACTATTAGTAAATAGTAAAAGGTTTTGAAGTACCATTTCCTCCACAAGCAACAAAATATCAGGTTTTATTCTGCATAAAACAGCTAAATCTGTAGTTTAGATCAGTACAAATATGTTCTGAAATGGGATTTCTGTAATAGTTTGTCAGTTCATCTTTTGGAAATTCTTCTGGGCTCAATTAAAATCACATTTGCAATGCTTATCAGAGAAAAACAAACAAAAAAACAGCAACCCTAATCAAAGAAAAAAAAATACCATGAAAGGAATACTAAAATATATGTAAAAACATTCAATAAAATGTATTTATTTTTGCAGCAAATTGATGCTATAATTGCTGCATCTATGTCAATCAAATCATCAGCCAAACTCAAGAAAATCCTAGAGGTAATACAATTTTTTATTTTTATTTTTTGCAATTTTGGCATGCATGCATTGAGCTAAGTACTAGTATAACTATTTTTGTCGCTTTAGATCATTTTAGCATTTGGAAACTACATGAACAGCAGTAAACGAGGGGCAGCATATGGCTTTAGACTGCAGAGCTTAGACCTGGTATGAGTTTATTTGCTCATTTGTAAAACTGCTACATTTTTTGTAACTTTTACTATGACTTTAATGTTGCTGTTTATATTCTAAGCTATTAGAGACCAAATCGACGGACCGTAGACAGACTCTGCTTCACTTCATAGTCAACATCATTCAGGAGAAGTATCCGGCACTTAACTCATTTTATACAGAACTACACTTCCTGGACAAAGCTGCTTTGGGTGAGAATAATGTTCAATTCATGACAGTTACATTGTAAAGAATCACACTCTTTATCTCTAATTTCACATGTTAATTAATAGAAAATATTTACCCTACTACTTACTAGTGAAAATAGGCAGTTCAAGGATAAATGTCTGAACAATTAAGAATTTATATAAAATTAAATACATCAACAATGTATTTAGCTCAAATGGTAAGTCACTGGACTTTCACATGGGTGACCTGGGGTTGAATCCCCCCCCTGATGGGGGGGGCAATGAGCTAACCAGTGTGGACCCTAAATAAATAAATAAATAAATAAATAAATAAATAAATATATATATATATATAATATATATATATATATATATATATATATATATATATATATTTATATTTATATTTATATTTATATTTATATATATATATATAAAAGCACAACTGTATTTTCCACACAAACGAAATAATTCAGCTATAAAAATCTTACAAAGAAGTATTTTCCTAATCATGTGTATTATTTGTCACAGTTTCTTTGGACAGTATCCTGCAGGACGTGCGGGCTCTGGAGCGGGGCATGGAGGTGACCAAGAGGGAGTACTCAGTGGAACAGGACAACCCCGTCCTACAGGCCTTTGTCAAGAGTAACTCTGACCTCCTGGATTCTATTGTCGCCGATGGAAAAAAGGCACAGGTTAGAGCAATGAATGAATGAATATTTATTTTGATGCATGACGATCCCCTTCCCATTACCCCATATGCAATGCAGAATCAGAATCATACATTTTTACTCATTGTTTTATGGTCCCATATTCCTTTATTCCTCTGATGCATGTGATGCTCTTTCCTCATCACAAACTTAGAGCTGTGTTTTGTTTGGATTTAGGCTGAGTTCTTCTCTCAAACAGAAAACACTGTTCCACCTTGTAATGTCAAGATACAGGAATACAGGAAGTGTTTTTAACTCCATACACCCTCACTAGAAACAGTTGGATAATTTTAGCTCTGGAATTGCCTCTACTTCACAAAAGGTAAAAGGAGCTTTTAACTTGAAATCTACCGCTTCATGACATCACAAGGTGGAACAGAGCATTTTCAGTTTTGGAAATATAGACTAATAACAAAATTCTAACATGGCTTAAAGGTCACAAGAGTCAAGTTTGCAAAATATTGGACCTGTAACACTTGTATCTTGCAGCCTGTAAACCACTTAGTAATTCTTTGTTTAAGGGGTGAAACACAAAAAGTGCATGTGTTTTTTGTTGTTTTTAAAGTTATAGTTTCACAAAAAAAACTGTTTGTCAGCCTATAATTTTTCATTTATAAAACTTGCTTGAATCCTTTCTCGTTTTTCATAATGTAAAAAGTGTTAATTTACTAGCCCAATGATGAGATATTTGGAGTACTTAATGCGTGCTTAAGTCCCAATCATGTTTTGCCTAATCTGAGCACGTAATACAGCCTTTTCAGAATCCTTTAACTGATTCATTGTATCTGTATTATTTAGGATGTGTACGACTCAGCAGTGGAGTATTTTGGAGAAAACCCCAAAACGATGCCGCCTGCGATGTTCTTTCCTCTTTTCGTACGCTTCATCAAGGCATACAAGGTCAGATCAGAGTCATTTATTGATTTCCTAATTCAATGAACTGTCACATCAGATATGCGCCTCACTGCTAATGGGGAAGAGCTTTTACTGTTTAAACAGGAGGGCGCTGGGACTGGCATCACAAGTCTCTCCGACCTTCAAATGTAAACAAACTTAAAACTCAGCATTTTTACCATTTGTGTATTTTTTCTTTTTTTTTTAATTCAACAGCAAGCCGAGCAGGAGAATGAACAGAGGAAGAGGAAAGTCAACACTGAACCTCCGCTAACCTCACCCAAACCTGACATCAACAAGGTACAGGGAAGAGACTCGGGCTGTAGGCCTGTGGTCGTTTAGTTGATAAATTTGTAGGCCTATTTCTAGTTCTCTGTCTGTTTTTGCATGTAGTTTGGGTCAGATATATAGAAACGTTAGAGAACCTTTGCCACGCCCATTTTTAGTCGATTAACAGATCGGCAGAACTTGTCTTTAGTCCACCAAGAATTCCTTTAGTCGATTCTTGCCCTAAGAAGGAACAGTGGATATGATTTTCAGGTCTTATAAACTGGACCTACTTAATTAATTACATCATTCAACAATATGTTTAAATGTCAAAAAACATTTATTATGATTTAAGAAGCTAAATTTGTCTTGGCATCCTTACTAAATGGCTTGTAAGAATGTCAAAGTTAATCAGTTAATTGTAATCATAACAAAATCATTGAAATGGTCAAAGAATAATTGTGAGTTTTCTTTTTTCCAACTTTGTTTATTGTATTTTTTTAATTCATTGTGAGATTTTTTGAGCAAAAACTATTGCAATTAGTTTTAGTTCAAAAGGCTAACTGAAATGTAAAGTGCCTTTTCATTCACAAAGATTTTTATAAGGGTGGTCATATACTAGAAGACAGAGGTGGGACTTGCAAGTCGTGACTTGAACTCGAGTCAGACTCTTAAAAGTCATTTAAATGCCAAAAATTTTAGCTATATTTGGTACTTTGATTGAAAGACTTGAAATGACTTGAAGCTCAAAGCAGATGACTTGGACTTCAGTTGGACTTACGAGCCAGTGACTCGAGACTTGACTTGGACTTGCCTGTATTTGACTTGGGACTTGACTCGGACTTGAGGTCAAAGACTTGAGACTTATTTGAGACTTGCAAAACAAAGCCTTGGTCCCACCTCTGCTAGTAGAATTACTTGATTAAAACTGGGATGATTCTTACATTGCTATTTGCTAAACCACCTCTAACATCACAACATCAATATCATAACAGAGTAAACGTTCAGATGTTTAAACTCTTTCTGGTGTGATCGCAGGTGACCTTGATGCCAAAGCTCCCGCAGATGGACCTGATCGCAGAACTGAAGAAAAGGCAGACTACTCCTTTAGTGAGAGAGGGGAAGGATGGAGCCATCGAAGACATCATCACAGGTACGTGCACATTTTTACTGATTTCAAAGTATAACTCATATACAGGGCAGTAGACGGGGGGACAAGGGTGTCTGTTGTCCTGGGCCGCAGGGTTTTAGGGGTCCAGAATTGGACCATCTTCCTATTAATTTATATTAGCTGGAGGCCCATGTGAGTCTTCATGCCCCGGGCCCCCAAATTTCTGTTGACATGCCTGCTCATGTATGTAAAAATACATACATGTATTGATGAATATGATATAATGATTTTTACTCAATACATGTTTTACCTTGAACTGACTTCCACTGACTTCACTTTGCCATCATGTTCTGTTTTATGAAAAAAACAAAACAAAAAGTGCATTGTGGTCCCTTATATAAATAATAATAGCAATTCTCATAATCCTTTTATCTATTTACGTTTCCATTATTGGCAGCGTTCCTTAAAATGTTCTTTAATCTTCTTTGTCCTTCAGTTCTTCCTTTTCAAACACACGTTAATCTCATATAGAAACTCCCAGTTCTATTTTCTTCTTACAGTCTTGTCTTTTCTCTTTGTCCTTGCTTTATTTCACTCTATTTTCCCCTCTCCCTCCATCTCTCTTTCTCTCTCTCTCTGGTGCAGCTCTTAAGTCTGTCCCCTTCACGGCTCGCTCTGGCAAACGCTCGTCTCGTCTTCTCTGTGACTCTGTCTTCACTGAGGACAGCCCTCCCTAAACCAGCGGGTACACTGCGCATGTCCCTTTCTTTATCATTCTGCACCAGCTATGTATGTCAACTAAAGCAATACATCAAACTAGAATAACTGCTGTGTACTGGTGATGGATGATTGCTGAAGAAAATATAGGCAATAACAATAAATAAGGAACTATTGTTACTTATTGTTAAATGAATCCGTGTATCATTCGTTCATTCATTTCAAAGTAAAACCAAATATAAGAAAACAAAAAAAACTACTATTTTCTTCATTATTTGTGGCCAAAACCAAAGGTTTTCGATTTTGGTTTAAATGAATAATGGAAAAAACAGATAACGGCCGTTTCCCGTTTCCGTGACTTAAACTGGGATGCCAGACTGAACCCGGACTGAACCAGGACATAAACAGGCTTAAACCAGGACTAAACAGTTTTCAGTTCTGGTCTGGTCCCAGTCTCAGTCCCGGTCTGGTCCTGGTCTGGTCCTAGTCTCAGTCCCGGTCTCAGTCCCGGTCTGGTCCTGGTCTGGTCCCAGCCTCAGTCCCGGTCTCAGTCCCGGTCTGGTCCTGGTCTCAGTCCCGCTCTGGTCCTGGTCTGGTCCCAGCCTCAATCCTGGTCTCAGTCCTGGTCTCAGTCCTGGTCTCAGTACTGGTCTCAGTACTGGTCTCAGTCTCGGTCTCAGTCCCGGTCTGGTTCTGGTCTGGTCCTGGACCTGGTTTAGTCCTGGTTCAGGATGGTGCAAAAGTCTGGCATCTCAGTTGAAGTCATTATTCATTTAAACACAAAATCGAAAAATTATAAAAACAAATCGTTATCTGTTTTAATTTTGGTTTTGGTTTCTTATTTTTGGTGTTACATTGAAAAATTAATAAATGAATGATAAACGGATTTAAATGGTGCATGTTGTGCTATTTTGTGATCTATGTTATAATGTGTCCTCATCACAAACATACACGGAGTTGTGTTTTGTTTCATTCACACATTTAACACACACACCTTTCTTCTCTCCAACATTAAACACTTCCTCCTTGTTATGTCATATTGTAAAACAGGAAGTGCTCCACTATGTTTTAAAACTCCATACACCTTCACTAGAATCATTTGGACATTTCAGCTTCTCTACTGAAAAAAAGGTAGAACATCACAAGAGGGAACAGAGCATTAAAACGTAAACATGTAGTTCGTTTTCATCTATAATGAGTCATATACATTATTTTTTCAATCCTCTACACCTTAAATCTTACCATAATACAAAAAATAACAGTTACCCACTAGTACAAAGAAAAATGACCCACAATTAATACTGACTCCACCAAAATATTCCCTCCATATAACTATTTTACAAGGATCAAGGGAACACATATTTCTCTAAAGTCTTTTTCACACCTAATTAACCTTTATAGCCAATATAAACCACAGATGTTAAGTGAAAATGAGCAATTAGGTTAAGTCACCATTTTTATTCATGGGCTTTAGCGTCCTGTTATAGGTGACATTTGAAGGACTTTTTATCGTTCAAAAAATACAAAAAATATTTGGAGACAACCAATAATGAATGAATCCCATCTATGTTATAATGTTGTTTCCTCGTCACAAACAGACCTGGAGTTGTGTTTTGTTTCATTCACACATGTTCAACACACACACCCTGCTTATTTAGGCTGAGTTCCTCTCTCAAACAGAAAACTCTTCCACCTTGTGATGTCATGTGGTAATACAGGAGGTGCTCCACTATGTTTTTAAACTCTATACACCTTCACTAGAATCATTTTGTCATTTCAGCTTCGGAATTACTCATCTCTACTCAGTGTTGGGAAGGTTACTTTTAAAATGTATTCCCCTACAGATTACAGATTACTTACCCCAAAATGTAGTTTGTAACGTAATCCATTAAATTACTTAAAGTGAGTGATGTAATCTGAATACTTTGGATTACTTGATTTGCTGTAGAGAAGCAAAGGCTAGGAAATCATAACCTAAGATGTTTTGTCTGCTAAAAGACAATGAAACGCCCAGACTTTACTCAACCAAATTAAAAATATTATTGATAGAAGAGGAGGAGACATGGTCCAAGCAGCATGATTTAGTCCTGTTAAATCCTGTTTTAGTCCTGTTTTAATCCAGTTTTAGTCCTGGTTTAGACCTGGTTTAGACCTGGTTTAGTCCTGATTTAGACCTGTTTTAGTCCTGGTTTAGTCCTGGTTTAGTCCTGGTTTAGACCTGTTTTAGTCCTGGTTTAGTCCTGGTTTAGACCTGGTTTAGTCCTGGTGTAGTTCTGGTTTAGTCCTGGTTTAGTCCTGGTTTAGACCTGGTTTAGTCCTGGTTTAGACCTGGTTTAGTCCTGGTTTAGACCTAGTTTAGTCCTGATTTAGATCTGGTTTAGACTTGTTTTAGTCCTGGTTTAGACCTGGTTTGGTCCTGGTTTAGACCTGGTTTAGTCCTGGTTTAGACTTGGTTTAGACCTGGTTTAATCCTGGTTTAGTCCTGGTTTAGTCCTGGTTTAGACCTGGTTTTAGTCCTGGTTTAGTCCTGGTTTAGACCTGGTTTAGTCCTGGTTTAGTCCTGGTTTAGACCTGGTTTAGTCCTGGTTTAGACCTGGTTTAGACCTGGTTTAGTCCTGGTTTAGTCCTGGTTTAGACCTGGTTTAGTCCTGGTTTAGACCTGGTTTAGACCTGGTTTAGTCCTGGTTTAGTCCTGGTTTAGCCCAAAATGTGAAAACAGGAAAATACCGCCATGTAATCCATTTATTCCAACAAAGTAACTGTAATCCAGTTACCACTCATTGAAACAGTAACTGTAACTGAATACAGTTACTCATAATTTGTACTCTGACTACGTAACTCTGGTTACATGTAATCTGTTACTCCCCAACACTGGCTTTACTGAACAAAACGTAAATTGTAGCTGTTACATTGAAAACTAGAAAAGCACTCAGAGAGTACAGACCTCCGCCAAGGACTACCCCCATTTTTTTATATAAATTGTGATAAAATCAGTCTTCTGGATCAGATCCGGATCAGCCTTTGGAATATGAAAGAGGATCCCATTGTCCATCCCTGAGTCAAATTTCATGGGGTTTGGTCAATAATTAACCGAGATATTGAGAAACTAAATTTTTGGCCCCATTTACCACAATGTTAACAAAAATTTCAAAGTGATCCAGAATCCAGGATTTCTTCCGGATCACCCCCAAAATGAAATCAGTTCTTCCTTTTCACATTTCCAACAAATCCTGAAAATTTCATCAAAATCGGTCCATAACTTTTTGAGTTATGTTGCTAACAGACAAACAAACAAACAAACAAACAGACAAACGCCGGCAAAAACATAACCTCCTTAGCGGAGGTAACTACAGCTTCATGACATCACAAGGTGGAACAGAGCATTTTGAGATGTAGACAGGCTAATAACAGATGTTTTTGGTGAGGTAACAACATCCTCACATGGTTGAAAGCTCATGAGAGTAAATTTTGCACAATATAGGAACTTTTATAAACATGCACTTGCCATAAATAAATGAAAAAAAAAAAAAAGTTAGCATCTATAATGAGTCATAAGAGTTATTTTTTCAGTCCTCTACAGCTCAAATCTTACTATAATAATAATATAAAAAAAGAGTTACCCTCTAGTACAAAGAAAAATGACCCACAATAAATACTGACCCCACCAAAATATTGTTCCATCTATCACGTATTGAACGATGGTGACGGGCCTAGTACTGGTGTGATTTCATCCATAAAACAAAGGAGGAACGAGGGAGCACATATTTCTCTAAAGTCTTTTTCACACATAATTAACAACCTTTATAGCAAATAAAAAACACACATATTAACCTAATTTCTCATTTAAATCACGATTTCTATTCATGTATTTTAGTGTCCTGTTATAGGCAGCATTTTAAGGACTTTTTGCACTTAAAAGATATATTTTGTTTTCAGTTGTCATTTGCTCTGGGTGCAGTGTTCCCAGTTTTTATCATTCTGAAACAATGGATAAGTTTTTAATTTTTTCAAAAAATATAGGGAGATAAGATGCCAATAATGAATAAATGCAGGCTTGATATAACATGTATACATTGTTAGATTTTATAATAGTCCTCACCCATTCTCCTATGTGACCAACTTTATAAAATCAACATACTGAGGTTTATATATAGATTGAATTGAAATCACAATGATGTCCTTTTAGTTGTTACAATATCGCAATCTGAATAATCATGTTTATTAATTAACCAAAGAATCTTCCCTACCTACAGTATGTGTTTTTGCTTCTTACCTTTTAGACCTCAGAAACCAGCCGTACAGGAGGGCGGATGGGGGACGACGCAGCGCCAAGTGGAAACCAGGGCAACAGCTTCAAGTCTCTTCAGACATCTCACTCTAACTACACTATATACAAGCTATATATTCAATCTTATATGCTACAGAATACGCAAGACTGAACCATACAGTAGTCTAGGTGGGACCCAGCATTTCAAGTCTAGCATGCCTCTTGCACGTTGTTGAATGCAGAGGTGAAAATGCATGCACTTAACACTATACTGAACAACAGCATGACAGTCAAATCTTGCCACAATCTTTTCTGAGAGTGTTACTATAGTTTTTCCACTAGCTTCTTTTTTTTTTTTTTTTTAGAAGCACTCATGTTATTAAAATGAATATTGCGTTGTTAATGACAGAGAATGATAAATGAGTTAATAAAGACAATTATGTAAAATAGAAAAAGATGTGATTGCCAAGGTCCACTCTAAGAAAAAAGCCCTATTTCTCTGATGAAAAATGATTCTATGAATTATCAGTTTCTGCTCTCAAAACCCTGATCATGCTGAAGATTTGTATGATATAAATTATTTTTAATACTGAAGAGATAGCTACTTTGCTTCTGCATTTCAAGAAATAAATGTTTTATACAGTTTTTGCTTTTGTCTGTGGCTTGTCACACTGCTGTAGCTTAAAGTTGTACTACGTAATTTTTCTAGTGAAGTTCCGCCGTCTGCTTGTCTCCATGGAAATCTTATTGATTTGGATTGATTTAAAGGTTTTTTAAGCAATACAGGAGAACATTCCAGACTCAGCGATATAATATTATAGTGTATCCCATAAACAGACACCACCGCCAAAATGTACAATACAAAAAATAACAAATATTTTCCAAAGAAGTCTCTTGAGGCGTATCCTCTTTATTTAACATGTTTAAACCACAATGGCACAACTGCACATTTTTTTTAATATGTGTTTTATGGAAAATAATAATCTCGGCTTTTTGGAAAACTAAGGCTCTGTTTTTTCTACCGTCTGTTTATTTCATTATTTTTATCAGTTGATGACAGATGTGAACCCCATCAGTCTAAACCAGGGGTCTCAAACTTGCAGTCAGCGGCCCAAATGTGGCACCTGAGGTTATTTCTACTCGCCTGCAAGACAATTTCTAATTTCTTTTAATAGAGGCCTGCCAATAAAAGACAATTTGAGCTACATTTCCCATAATGTATTGCTTCTTGTAGCATCAATTTGACCCTTTCCCTGCTGCAAGACAACAAACAGCAGCACAGAGTGAGAGGGGCAGACAGCACTTCTACACAGACTTTCAAACTTACTTTCAAACTAACCAAGGAATGGACACAAAACATGTGTTTTGTGAGAATAGAAGCTTCATAAACAGGCCCGAGTGACTGTCAAAGCCAGCGGAGCAGTCTCATGAGCTAAGGCTACAGTAGCTGTGGAGAGAAGTAGTTTGGCACTGTATTGTACATCACATGAGCAGTACTATCTACTCATTACTACTTTGTTGCCAAAGTGTCTTTGCAGAAGTGAAGACTGACCCTGGTGTTCTGTTTGAAAATATGTTTGAATATGTATGAACTGAAAACAACACAGAGACACGTTAGGATTTGGAATTCTGCTTAAAACCTGTAATAAATCATGAATATTATTAATTAGCATATTATTTTCTTAACTCCATGAAGGTCTCTGACTTATGGATGCCCATTGCTATCAGTAAATAAAAAATAAAAGCCTCACAGAAAGTCATAATTGAGTTTTAAGATCATATATTTTTTTAAATTCATAACTCTCTCTCTGTCTCTCTCTCCATCTCTCTTTCTTTCTTTCTCTCTCCACCTGTTCTGTCCTGTCCTCTCCTTTTTTCTCCCCTCCTTGAGTCGTCACCTTACCGTGGTGGAGGGGTTTCAGTGCCTGAATGATCCCAGGAGCTGTGGTGGGGGACGGGTCAGAGCAGCTCTTCTCTCCCTCTCATCTTTCTGCTTTTGCTCCCTCTCTCTTCTCTCTCTCAATATCTCTCTTCTCCCTCTCCCTCTCTCTCCCTTTCTTTCCCTCTTATCTCTCTCCTATTCTCTCCTCCTATTTCTCTCGATCCAACACTAGGGGGATATTCCATCGAAGTTACTCCTCCTCTCCTGTTCTCCCCCTTCTCTCCTGTTCTCTTCCTCCTCTTCCGGTCGCTCCGTGGACATGTGGATCTTACCTGTAACGGAACTCTTCTCATGTACAGAACAAGAAACGACAAAATCCAGGTCGACGTGTTTGCAGTTTGACAGAGAGCGAGAGATGAGGGGATGAAGAGAGAGAGACCCCCTGTTGAAGACCTCTGCCATAAATAAAATCTTAAACTGGACTTGGTGATTTTCATTCTTTATTCACTTTGAAGACATGACCTGGAACCAGAGAGTGACTAGAGTTAATGTTTATATTTTTCACTACTCTACACTAGTACAGTATGAGATCAGCTTAAGTATAAGGAGTCATTGATTTTCATGCTAATAATCACATGGGCAATATGTTTTAGAACTGGGATTGTGTTCACTATGTTGAAATTTGAAGTGTCTGGGCTAGAAAAGAGCACAAGTTAAATTCATCTGAACACAGAAATCTGATATCAGCAGTTCCAGTCCTTCCATTCCTGTTCTATCAATGTGTTTACGTGAAGTCTAGTGCAATAGAATTTTATACACAGGGTTAAATACTGTGGGCTGGTTTAGACAACTTGAAACAGGACTAAACCAGATCTAAACCAGGACTAAACCAGGTCGAAACAAAGACTAAACCAGGTCTAAACCAGGACTACACCTTTACTAAACCAGGACTAAACCACGTTTAAACCAGGACTAAACCAGGTCTAAATAATGACTAAACCAGGTCTAAACAAGGATTAAACCAGGACTACACCAGTTCTAAACCAGGACTAAACCAGGTCTAAATAAGGACTAAACCAGGACTAAACCAGGTCTAAATAAGGCCTAAACCAGGACTAAACCAGGTCTAAACAAGGATTAAACCAGGTCTAGACCAGGTCTAAATAAGGTCTAAACCAGGTCTAAATAAGGACTAAACCAGGACTACACCATGTCTAAACCAGGACTAAATCAGGACTAAACTAGGACTACACCAGGACCAGTAAAAGTATGTTTTTTCAGTAGGTTTGAGAAATAAAGACATCAGTAATAGTATAAATACAAGATATATTTGTTGAATACAGTGGAACATAGCAGTAGTAGTAGTAATTGTAGTAGCAGAAGTAGTAGTTAGTAGTAGTAGTCTTAATAGAAGTTGTTGTAGTAGTAGCAGTAGTACCCTAGTAGTTATAGTACTTACAGTAGGAGGAGTAGCCTCCATGGCGATAAGCTTGGCCACATCACTAGACCAAGTTACAGGCCAGATCTGAGAAGTGGAAGCACTCACAGTAAAAATACATGTTTTTGCAGTAGTTTTGAGAAATAAAAACATCTGTAATAGAAACACAAGATATATTTGTTTAATTCCAATCTGGTAAGACAAAGCAATAACATCACCATGGAGATAAGCAGATGCCAGATCCTGCTTCATAAAAGTTACACAATGCAAATTATTATGTGCATGTGGAAATGCGGAAAGACTAAACACACACACACAGTTTTGGCTCAAATCTTCTCAGGACACTGGTAAAGACGCACACAAACATGGAGAGTTCAACTACTTTCTCATCAAAACCCTGGTTCCTCTATACATCAGAGGATGACGCCCACCTCTACAATGAGGACTTTGACCTGGAAGCTCTGCTCTGCCCCACACAAATGGGGCACGTTTCAGAGCAGAAGGTGTCTCCCAACATCCAGGATTTCTTAAGACCTGAGAAAAGAAGTCTCGTCCACTTCCACCCCTGGAGGACATCGCTCTGGTCAGGGAGCTGCAAGAAGAGCTGGAGCAGACAAGGGCCAAGCTTGCAGATCAGGTCCAAAGAAGCTTTATTTTGGACTGCAAGCTTAAGACTGAGGAGAAGATGGGCAAAGAAAATGCCTTGGAGTTCACTGCTACTTTCCTGAAGAAGGACAAAGTATTTATGTAGGACAATAGGTGTCAATAACCAGACTGAGAAAATGAGACAAATTACTTTTAATTAACGTGTTCTGAAAGGAGTTTGGATTCAGCCAGTGGTGTAAAACTCCAGTCTGTTGTAAAACACCAACACAAATCCAAACTCCATGGAGATGGTTCTGGAAGTACATTCCAAAAAAAAAAAAAAATCTCTAGAACACTGAACATGCATTCTTACTATGAGCAGGGTCACCTCTCCAGAGATCTGCCCTGTAACTTAGCCTGGTGGGTGTACCTACTTATCTCCATGGAGAAGGATATATAAATGTCATGTCATCTCCATGGAAACAAGCTGGTGGCAGCACTAGAAAAGTTACGTAGTGCATCTTTTAACAATTGACTTGGTTGGACCATACTTAACTGTTTATTGCGAGTATTTACAGATGGGGACTTTCTTGCTCTGATTTACAGTATAACACATTCATTAATACACCAAGTACTTCTTGTCATGTTAGCATTACACACAGATTAACCTATGAGGAGCTGTCCTTTAAGCAATTTAACACAAAGTGTGTGAAAACTGTGTAATGCACAGATCTAACTCGGAGTTGTTTAATCCACCACGGTCCCACAGACTGAAATGGCTCACCTGTTAATCCGACTGCCTGTTCACGGTCTGTGGAAGTCCAACATATAAAGTCCAACATTCCAACTTGGTTATTTCTTTTCTGATGAACCTTTGTTCACCCATACTATGGTGACGCACACATTGTAGTGATATTGAACAGTAATACAATATTATACAAAATTATTATTTTTTACTTAAAACTGTTGAATGCTAAGGCAATGGTCTTTTTATGGCAATTTGTGTGGTTGTTATCATAATTAGCTGTTGCTTTCATCTCTAAACCACAAAAATAATTTATTTTCAAAATCCATTTTCATTTTAGAGGCTCCACATATTGAACAAAGAGCACATCCAGAGCCATGCTGTATGAGAGAGAGTCACTTTTATTGTCACAAAAACACAACAGGAACGTACAAAAGCAGCAACCTTGGTCTGGTTTAGTTTTCTCACACGAAGCAGCCACTTAACCCTCCTCCTTACAGACAATTGCACATGTTTTGCTCTGTTAGGTTGGTTTTTTGTACATTGGATTATCATTCTTCTTCACAGTTTCACAAACAACACAGATCTCACACAGCAAGCACCACTCTCAGACTCAGGAAAGGGGAATAATTTGATATACGTCATTCGAATATTTCTCTATAGGTGATATAATATTATTTACTCTTTTTTCTGACAGTAAGGGGCACGAGGCCGTCTATTTGGACATAATACAAAATGTTACTGTACAATTGTTTGCTCTATCATACACTCACAAGTATACACAGAAGTATTGACAGATGAGACCTGTGTCACCCAGCGTGCAGTATCCAGGAATGTATACAGTATGCATGCCTTTTCTGCTAGTTTTTTGTCTTCATAAAATACATAAATTGTGGAAATAGTAATATTTGGGCCTATATACATGATTTGAACTTCCACAAATGGTTTGAACAATCACACATTCATCAAGAAACCATCAATACAAGTGAATAGCCTATTGGTTACCATAGAGACAGCTAAAAAAGGGCGTGGTCTATCAGTGAGGTTTTAAGGGGTAAGGGGATGTGCTTATTCATAATGAGGTGTTTATATATTTACACAACTGGTCTCTCATAACAAATGGATATGTCATGTTAGCAGAAAAAATAAAATATATTTAAAATAATTTACAAAATCAAGGTGTTACATGCGCATGAGTCCTCTTTTACAAGTATAAAAATACAAAAAAAGCTTGATTATACAAAACATAGATGACACTTTCTTTTGTACATGTTAATAAATCAATCTATTCAAAACAAAAACTATGGTCTTAAGAAAAATACATGTCATATTTAGATTGTAATTTTAAAACTCTATATACCTCCTGATGCGCTTCCTTACATTCCATAGGTTTATAATGACTTTCTTTAAATGTCTTTTGTTTTTTACCAGCTATGACTTAAATATATCTTTTCTTTATTATTTTGTATTTATTCATTTATTCACTACATGTGCTTTGCTGTTTTTACCTTGATTTCAACCATTTTTAAGATTGCATACAATTTTCTTGCCAAAACGATAATTTGGTGCTGTTAAATGATATGTTAGTAATGCTGAACAATGGATGTGCTAAAATGAGTAAATGCTAAAATTGACAAGTAGAAATACTACTAACATGTATTTATTAAAGGTCCTATATTATGCAAAATAGTTTTAATGCTGTTACGTCCTCAAAAACAGCTGTTGTGTTTTGTTACTTTCACACAAGTTTGAGTAATCCTGCATTATTAGTCTATCTTCATCTCCAGAGGCAGCGCTACCATTAGGCAACAGTAGGCGGACCCCCAAATCTGGAGGGGTCCCAACTAACGGCCAAGGTCTCAGAGCAATTAGATTTTCTCTCAATATGGCATTAAATGAGAGTAGTTTACTTTTAAAAAGGAAATCAAAATAGTACCTGATTGTCAAATCTATTTTAACTGTTAAAGCTTTCCCCCGTTGGTTATCTACGAGGCTGCCTAACTAATAAGACAATTTTCCAATCTGTCCTAATTCAAACAAAGACGTGCCTGTTTCAAGAAGAATGGGGGAAAATAAATTAAAAAAACCAAAAAATAAAAACATAAACAGAGCATTTTAATGAGGGCCTCCAAATTGCCAACTCTGCCACTGTTCATCTCCAAAGCTCAAAATGCTCTGTTCCACTTTGTGATGTTATAATGCGGTTGTTTTCAAGTTAACAGCTACTTTTTACCTTTAGTTCAGTAGAAATGGGCAATTCCGGGGCTGAAATCATCTCATTGATTCAAGGAAATAGTGGTAAATTCTGCTAACACAGTGGAGCACATCCGGTATTTCCACATGACATCACAACAAGGAACAGAGTGTTTTCTGTTTGAGAGAAGAAGTTGTAATATCCAGTGTTATAATAAGCAGAGTTTGTGAGTTAAACATGTGTGAATGAAACAAAACACAACTCCAGGTTTATGATGAGGAAACAACATTATAAAAATAGATCATAAAACAGCGTAATATGGGCCCTTTAACACCACAGCTAAGTGTTAAATTACAATGAGGTAAGAAACATCTGCTAAGTTATTGGAGGGTTTGACTTGCACCAATCTGAGCTGGTGGTCAAGAGACGGTTCATTACATTTCAATGGGATCCAAAAACCACAATGATGCCAGTACTCACATCATAGTCCGGGTTGAGACCTGAGAGACCTGAGAAGCAGATAGAGATGGAAGGAAAGCAAGGAGGGCCAAAATAAAGATTGAACTACAGCTTGCAGATTCAAAATAATGCGTGGAAAAAAGCAGGAGAAGAAATGATCGCCTGTATATATATATATAGCGAGACGTTAGGAGAAGCGTTTAGTGACAGAAGCTTAGCACTGCAGGATGTTGAAAAAAAAAGCAATATGGCGGAGATTTTTTGGGATGAGAAGCAGTGAAAGGGAAGGGGGGAAAAAGAAAAAAAGACAAAAATCAAAATTTACAAATAGACAATGTTCCGTCAGAAATTGTTACATCTATGAAAATGTGTGAGTCAGTTAAGTCGCTCTGCCCTGTCTATAAAGCACAGGATCTGGATCTGGCTCCTGATTGGCTGCAGGAGGGTGGGGGGAAGCCTCCTGCTTTTGGTGCAGTGCATGTCTCGTGGATAGAGAAGAGGAGGAAGAGAGAGAGAGAGAGAGAGAGAAAGAAAGAGAGGGTGCTTTTATATGGGAGGGACGAGGCTGTGATCGCAGGGTGCTCTGGGACAGGCGATCTCCCCGTGGTTGGGTGGGTGTCTGGTGGAATGAAAGACCTTAGGAGACAGGATAATAGGATGCAGAGGAGAAGAGACGAGTCTAGAAATGTGCCTACAGCTGTTTAATAGCCAAAGCTGCCGGCTGTTGCTACGAAAACACTATTCTTCCATTCCAATAGTCTGTGCTATCAATGATTTAAATGAGAACTGGAAAGCAAGAAAATTTGAGGTTTGGGGGCTTTCTTTTACTAAACAGTGAAGTGGGGTAAAGCCGATCAATGACCCGTTAGATGCAGAATTGACACATAGACACTGAACTGTGAACAGTGTATGGCAATTTTATGCTCCGCAGTAATAAGTAATAATTAGCATTGCGCAGCGCAATTCATTAAATTTTAATTGAGATTGAGTCATTTCTACACATCGATCATCAACTTGGGGTCTTTTAATTTGTAGGCCCACAGTCAATCCTAAAGAAATCAGTAAAAGCATGTGGCTTAAAAATATGATTAAAAAACTCTATTATTTATGTTCAGAAAATTAATATTGAATTGAAAACAGTGACGGATCAACATGTGGAAGAAATAACAATACACTCTTTAAGCTGTATAGCGCAGTCTTAGTAATATGTTTAATGCACAAAAATAACCTATATCTCTTAAATATACACCATTTTACAGCCTTCTACTGTTGACTCTCAACTCTCAATCAGATTTCAATTCAAATCATTCAAATAAGTACGTTTCTTCACAGTCACCCTGCAGTTTCAGATATAAGCTCTGTGTCTCCCAGCTATACGCAGCAGCAGAACCATCGTCGTTGTCTTTACCATCACCAGTGTATGATTAAATGACAAATTTTAGATAGATAGATTTACATTAGTTGATATGTGCAAAATGTACTTTTTTGGTTGGGAGTCCGTCACCTTCTTGTTTCTATGGATATGTCATTGCTCTGTTTTGGATGTTCCACAGTATGACATTAAATAGATCTAGGCCTATGTTTACACTGAAACAAATCATTGTATCAACGTATCAGAAACGATTTGCATCCAGAAATGTTGTTTCTGTATCTATCCTATCCACACAGCTTTGAGCATATTTGTATATGTTTTACAGAAATGAAACTTAAAACCACATGACTAATTTGCATAAATTAAATGCTCAAACACAGCTCCCTCCTTGTGCGCAGTCAGCTTCTGTCGGACTAAAAAAGGAGATGATTCAGTGGAATATGCCTGTTCTTTCTGTGACAGAGGGGTGTTCTGCTGATGGTGAGTCTGTTCTGTGCAACTATCGCATTGGAGATGGTTCATGTTAAACGTTTCCGGGATAATACATCTGCAGGTCATATGCATAGACTGTATATATGAATCGACATATATTCTTGTCTCTTTTGGCGGTGAATTACTAACTACTGTGGTGTATAGACCCACATCAGTGTATCAGCGTTTTCAGGCGTCCACACAGTGCTGGATCAGATCTGTACTCAGATGAATTCGTGGGAGCTGGCGGCACCAGATTGTTCCATCTTTGGAGCAGTTTTCCATCAGATTAGTGTGGAAGAACACTGCATCCACAACGAAAATGACTCGAATACGTACTAGTGTGGATGGGGCCTAGCTTGCATTTATTAAATTACAGGTGATTTTATAATGTAGCTCAAAAATACCTAGAAAAACAGGCATTCTGATTGCGAGTGGGGTTGTCTCAACATGGATTTGACCAGTAACTTGAGCTGGTTTGAGTTCCATGAAGATAGAAAGGTTTAATGCCATACTATGAAACATTTCAGACAAAGCAACAATATCTCCATGGAGAAAAGCAGAAGGCAGAAGCACCACCAGAAAAGTGCACCTTTAAAATAAATATCCAATAATCCTGCTTGGTAACACCATTGCTAAGAAAACAGTTGTCTCCAGTGGTCTGCAGCAGTCTCAACAGAGTCTGGGAAAACTACCAGATTTTGGGATTGGCTTTTTGCCTTTTCGCCGCCCGGTGCTAACGAACAACCTGCAGGAGGACCATAGATTTTCTGTTCGATTAAATGTCGGTGACGCATTGGGCTGCTGTGATGCTTTGTCCAACCTGAAAGTTCGCAGAGGCAAGAGGGGGAGTGAGGACAAACATGTAGAGTTTAATAAGATTAATGGATGTCTGGTGCTGGGAGAGAGCAGACTGGGGATCAGCAGAGGGGAGGCTCATTTGGGGAGTGCCAAATTCACAGGGCAACGTGACAAACAGAGGCAGATTTCTCCTTATTGAGCTTAAAGTGCATATGACAAAACAGTTATCATTATATTTCAGATTTTGTACTATAAATCTTGCCTGTTTTTATTTTTATTCCAGAGCAGATATAACATACAAAGAGGTAATTTCATAAATGGCACCTAAAATAAATACAGAACAACCTTTATTTTGTTAAATTCATATTTAAACTGTGTAAATTGTTTCTACATTTTTTATGGAATTTGTGATGCCGTCATGTTTCAAATAGGAGGTGAATATGGGGGTGCTTCTGGCTCCATCGACTCTGGGACCAATTGACTTTACATTGAAAAATTGTCACCCCCCTCTACAAGATCCTAGTGTTTTTATTTCATTATTTTGACCTTTTCCTAGTATGCAACTCTGTGCCAAATTTGCTCCTATAACCACTGACCTCGTGAGCTTCATTTGACTGGAATTCAGTGCTATGTAGTATTTTTGTACTTTTCCTCTCAACATTTTACATTTAACTGATGTAAATCTATGATAAATACTTACTTTCACAGGTGCTATCCAGGAAAACCAAGTAATAAAAGCATGAAAACCTGTCATACGCACTTTAAATTACCTGTAAATGTCCAACAATAACACGACAATTGGAGGGAATCACAGCTTGTCGAAGGCTTAAATCGGCAACAATGAAGTAGCTGAGTTTGAGGTGGCAGGGGGCTTTGAAATGTCTTTAAGGGACATTGGACATCACGGGAACAAAAGCACAAGACAGGTGCACCATCCAAAGCTAAGTGAGGATTTAGGAAAGAAAAGGTCCTACTGCTTTACACAGCACAGCACCAGCTATAAGAGCAATAAAAGTATATATAACTTGGGTATTTGTGAGATTATGAAATGTTATTGTACTTGTTACTCTCATATAAAAATAAAATAATCTACTAGACTAAGGACCACATTAGCTCCTTTGTTATTGTAAGTTAAGTGCTAACTCCTTTGACCAGGCAGTGTTTACCACACACTATTGTGGCAAAGCTGATCTTAGTTTAAACCATTTTATTTATTAACCATTTATCATTGTAAGTGATGGGGAATTTTGTATTGGACTTCCAGCTTGGTCCTTATTGCCATTTTTTTGGATAGCTATGACTTCTATTTTCAGTATACAACAAACAAACTACCACAAAGCATTGAGTGGTCATGTACCCATGTCCCACACTAATGGTTATAAACTTTTCCTGCATTAAACACATAGCTCTACATGATTCTGCCGTTTATGTTTTGCTGTTTTGTCTGTAAATAAACTCCTATTCCTAATAGGGAATCCTCCAAATTGGCTCACACTCTCTCAGTCCATTTCTTTATACAGTCTATGGCAGGGGTCTCCATCCTGTAGCTCAGGAGCTACCAGTTACTCTCCACCCCCTTCCAAGCAGTTCAACAAGGGATTTCTGAATTCTATGTATTGCAGATAATAAGTACAATTTGGTTAATTAATTGTAAATGTATCATGTGTACCTAACTTGGTGCACCGTATAATGGACAATGGTTTATGTTTCATAAACAGCAAACTGTTCCCCACCTTAGCCTTGCCGTGGCTCTTATATTTACTCAGTTTCTTTGCGCCTGCTGAAATTGGTAGCTCTCTGGCATTTTTGTTTTTCTAAAAGTAGCTCACTGAAGAAAAAAGGTTGAAGACCCCTGGTCTATGGTTTGCCATCTCTTACAAGTCTCCTACTTTACAACTTTCTTTCTACTTGAATTATTTCCACAACGGTAAAAACGCCTCATGAAATACTGACATATAATCTCCTAGAAGTAAACATGTATTTTCGATTTCAGATTACATTCATGAAAAAACATAAGACGATAATTGGGCGCAACCTGATCTGGGGCTGTATCCCATTCCTGTGACCGCACTCTTGAATACTAATGCGTATCATTTTGCAGAGAGAGTGCCACGAGTGCCCAGATGGTTGTGCGGTGTCAAGTGGAGGGCAGCCATGTTAGCCGCACGCTAATTGCTGTTTCCGCTAATGGGATGTCCTGTCAGAGGCGCTGTCCTTCCTGGGAATGTCACTGCGGATACGTGACTGTGCAGAGAGAGAGAGACAGAGCAAGAGAGAGAAAGAGAGAGAGAGACCCCCCTTCACACATGAGGAGGAATTCAACTGGATTCAGCCTGAATCGTTTAAGACTGGAGGGGAGTTCATAGTGGGTCAGGCTGTAAGTGCTATGTTATGCTTGCAGATATCAAAGTATTCTTCAAAACTGGCTATGGATACTATTAGAAGAGGTTAGAGCTTGGCCACTTTAAGAATGTAGGTAGGAGTTTTTAGTCCACGGATAAATGATAAAAAGTTTTGATCGCAACCCAAAACATGCACAATAGGTAAAAACCCTCCAGATAACACAGTCCTGACCAACCCTAACTCAAGATCTGGAGATGAATCTTGGAGGGAGGCACTGCAGCCCATTTCTTTCAAAAACAGTAAATCTTCCAGAGAGTTTTACCGGGCTCTACCTCCACTTGAAATTATCACAACAAATTCTAAAATGCACACCCAGTGTCAGAGTTGCCAGGCTTAAGTGACCCAAAAGCGTCTGTAAAACTGACCCAAAGCCTACTGTTTAGAAAAGTTGCACTCTGTTAGGATAAATAACTAGGCTTAGCTATTTTGTATAATCACTTCTATAGTTCATTATTGTACCGAGGTCATTTGAAGATAAGGGCCTTAATCACAGCTGTGAGACTCATTCATATATGTCAAGACAAGTGCATGATATTCCAATTTATCTTATAGCAAACTAACTAACTTTGTAGCCAGATAACACCCTGAATGGAGTCTGACTGGACTGGGCAATGTGCCAAGAGGTCTGGCTGGCCCGTGCATCAACGAAGAGGCTCCAAGTCTAAACCACAGTGTCATTGTATAGGTGTAAAATATTGAGTCTGTACATGGGAATGTCAGCACAGACTCCTTGTACAAGTTTGGCTTTCTAATATTGGAATAAGTAAATTATCTGGGCTTTATTTCTGTTTCAAGTGTAATTTTTATCTAAACAGAAACTAACAAACATGAGAAGAAAAGGTTATTTTCCTCAACAACTCTCTTGCACAAATAGAAGTTCCACAGAGTACTGATGCCTTTGGATATGAAGATTTGTACCCAATATTCAGGATTATGATTAATATTATTCTAAAATCAATAAGTTTTATATGGAAAATAGCTCTGGCCACACTGCCTGGTGTATTAAAAGGATATCCCTCAAAAGTAAATTTGCCTATTGTTACTGTTGTTATTAATGTTAGCCCAAGTAAAGTACCTCTCAAATCATACCATTGCTGAACTGTGTGTCTAGCTCCCGTGACCAAAGAGTTAGTTAAATTATCAATGCTTTTTACTAGAACAGGCTCTTCTCCAGGAGGGATGAGGGACAAGGGTGGGTCAAGGCTGCTCTTCTCTGTGAGGGGCAGCTTGGCCAGTCTGCAGGCACTGATAAGACAAATGGAGCTTATGTACCTTGAAGGCAAACTCCAGAGTTCACCAGCCAAGAAAAAAAAAAACTTCGACCTAGTAAAATGCTCTCCCTGGCAGCTAAAATGTGTCCAATAACAATAGTAGCCTTTTAGGTAAAATTGTGCTTTACACTTAGGATAATAGCTTTGAGAAATAAGGCCATTTTGGAGGAGTGAGTATATGGGCAGGTTTTTTGTTCTGTAAAACGTTCGATAAAAGCTTGACTGGTGCTAAAAGGAAAATAATCTGGCACCAGGTAATTCAAATGTAGCGCTGTCTTTAACTATGGGGAAATAGAAACATGAACAAAATGTAGTAATTATTGGATGAATGGAGTGAAGTCAGTGAGAGGGGGAAAAGAAAATATCAATGTCCGTGGCATTATTGAAGATTAGCATATAGGAAGTATCCGAATACAGTGTTATTGTAAAGCTAGTGTAATAATTAGTCACAAGCACCAAGATCCTCCAGAAATCAAAAACAACAAACTGGTACGACAGGCAAGCTAGTTTCTCAAATGTCATAACAGACACACCACCGTCTATAAGAAGTTTTTTGTCATTTTTTTTCCCAGAAGTCTTTGCTCCTTTTATATCGAGGCAGGTGGAGGATCAGTGGTAGAGGTGGAGGAGTTTTTTTGTTTTGTTTTTAGAAGTGGAATACCTGCTGCTGTCCGGGGACTTTGGCGAGATCGTCTTTCTGTTTTCCGCGGGTTTTGGGGCGCTCCAGACTGCTGCCCTGCTGAAGGTGCTTGAGTCGCGCTGCCACAGTTGGGCCTTTATTGGGGCCGGGGGAGTGGGTGCTGTTCTGTAAAAATGAAAAAGGGTGATTTTAGATTCATTTTGCAGTAAAAGTTTAAAGGTGCACTCTGTAACTTTTTGGTTGGGAGTCTGTCACCTGCTTGTTTCTATGGATATGTCATTGCTCTGCCTGGAATGTTCCATTAAAGAACATTAAACAGCTCTACCTTACATTTATTCAATTACGGGGGGTTTTATGGCTCAAAAATACAGAGAAAAATATGCATTCTAACTTTGAACGGGGTTACCTCTCCACAAATATGACCTGTAACTTGGTCTGATTTAGTCTCCATGAAAATAAAATGATTTAATTCCACACTGTAAAAAATTCCAAAGAAAGCTATAACATTTCCATGGAGAAAAGCACTTGATAAACCCTCCACCAGAAAAGTTATACAATGCAAATAAAAAAAACAAAAAACAAAACGGAAATGCCCTTAAAATTATGCTTTGAGATTGTAATATAGTAAAATGTTTATTTTAAAATGTGAGGGAAAAAAGGAAGAAAGAGAGAGAAAAGGAATTTCAATTATAAATTGGCCAAAATATATCAATGTAAAGGGGCCTAGCAGTGTGTTTATGCTGCACTATCACATTGTTGTTGTTGTTGTTTTGTATTTATTATGGGTGTTGCTTTATGTTTTTGTGTTTTGTTTTTATGTTGATTATTGTATTTTGTTAAATGTTATATTCTATTGTCTTTAATAAAAAAAAAAAAAGTTACACAATGCAACTTTAAAGGTGAGTGGTATGTTAAGGTTATTTATTAGCCAAGGTATTTACATTTACTATTACTATAAGCAAGTCTGGTTTATAGGGGTGGGACGAGACACACGAAACAAGATGATGTTTTAAAATTTTAACGTGTACACTCTTAAGGCAATTTTATCTCACAAGATCTTGTCCCATCTCTTCTGGTTTAAGGTATTGCTGAGTTGACATTTGTTAGATATCAAATACAATTAAACAGCTGGTTGCCAATTGTGTGCAGTATTGTTTTACACTACAAATAAAACTGCTGACCACTCACCGGGCTAATAGACCTAATTAAGTGTTGTAAAAGTAACATTAAGGACACATAAATGTCAATAAGTAATAACTGTTAACAATGTCTCCTTCATACTAACACTTCCAATGTGTACTTTCAGCTCACTAATCATCTAAATCACTCATTTTCTTCTGCAGGTTAGAATAAACCAAGCCACTAAACCCTCACAACTTTCCTCTGTGTTTGGCTCAGTCCAATTTACACCATGTATCTGTATGATCTCTCCCACAGAGTTGGTTGGAGAGAGGAAACGGCTCATGAAAACATATTTGCAGAGCTTATGCAGACAGACTCAGATCCCACACAGAAAAAACAGAAGTAAGGAGAGTGCAAAGTTAACAAGATTACAAGAGAGTTTAGAGCAGTCGAAGAAACACTCAGGGCCAAGCTGTTAAAAGATATCACTATTATTGTTATGGGCTAATCTTTAGATGTTTCAGTCTATCTATTTGTTATGAATGCTAAAGTGGTAATAGAGAGGCAGTTTTTATGAATCTATTTGCAAAATAACCAAAAAGTTGAACAATTTTAAGGTCCAAAATCTAGCCTATTTTAGTCCTAATGTAGACTTGGTTTGGTCCTGGTGTAATCCAAGTTTACCTTCAAGTTTAGTCCCAGTTTGGATGTGAGAAATGGAATTGTCAGCACATCCTTAAAAGTATAAATATGTTTTCATGATTAGAATTTCCATTCCTGTGTCAGGTAATTTGCAAAAAATAAAAATTTAACTAGTTGTCTCTATTCCAACCATTATTAGCTATAATTATGAAGTGAAAGGAATGTTAGAAATTAAGGTTAGTTTAAGTGGCAGTCAAAGTGAAGAAGGGGACTGCTGCTACATACAATTACCTGTCTGCCCAGGGACCCAAGGGTGCATGCTGGGGTGAGGGTGGCCTTTGGGTGGGTGGTTTTACAAGGTGATCTCTGAAATATCTTTGTGAGGGAGTGCATATAGCATTAACACAAGCATGGTGATGAAAACTGCCTGAATTACAATGCTGTTTTTGAATGGTGCTTGCGCATTGGCTGGTTAAGCGTTTACCTCTAATTCTGCAATGATCTTCTCTTCATCATCTTCATCCTGAATAGCAGAGGCGGCGATTACAGGAGGTGTCGAAGCAGGTCGAGGGGTGTCCGACGGGGTCCGTCTTAGCTTCACTAGTGTTTTGGGCAATTCTCCATCTTCCTCTGCCTAAAATATTAAACACGAATGTAAAAATTAAAGTTGCTGTACGTGATTTTTACTGTCTTCAAAACATGAAAAATAGTTTTAGTTTAAGAGGTCCAAAGCTATTCCTCACTTACCTTATACATTCCTAGCATCATCATTTATAAGCACTCTTCACAACTTTTAGATGCCAGATTGGAGTTTTTGCCATTTCACTACTGCTGACAACAACTAGCATGCTAATGTACTTCCTGATTCTCGAACAATAACGATGATAAGATGTAGACAGCACACAGGAGTCTAGTCTAGAGCTGCTTTTACAATATATCTCTACTGGAACAACTTCATAGACAAAAATGGGTACGGCCATTTTAAATTTGAAACTTCTGTAAGCATTTTTTTTACAGTTATCATGAAAGGTCTGAACTTTTGAAGTTGGAGTCACACAGGTTTGAAGTAATTGCTTTAGGATAATTATTTTCAAATAGTAAACAGCTTCTCTTTGCTTTTTCTTTGACTTCAAGGAGCAGGGTTTGCCCACAGGAGGAGCTCAGTGAAAAGGTCAGCTAATGCAAAACCTTTCAAGGCAACAGGCGAGTAAACAAAAATAGAGTAGCAAAGTCACTTTTTAAATTAGAAACAAAGAAGATAAAACATTTTAGCATAAAAGTGTTGCCAAGAAGTGTGTCTGAGATTCAGCCCTTTCAAATGTTTTAAGCACAACACTGTTGAACTTTAATACTCAAAACTGACTGATCATTATCTTGACTTTGAATCACAGACTGTATAAAGAAGTGGACTAAGGGAGTGTGACGTCACCCATACTGTGCAGATCCAATCAAAAGAAGCAAGAATTTATTTATGGACAAATTAGCAAAATAAAAAGACCAGGATCATGTAAAGCGGGTTAATACAAACATTTTAAGACCAAAATGACAAGGCTCACTGCAGCAGAGAGACAGAGGCAACATTTTTTCAATGTAAAGTCAATTGGAGAGTCGATGGAGCGTCCCCACTCTCCCTTCATATCTGAAACGTGCTGGTTAACGGGTTAGTTAGGTCCATTTATATATACAGTCTATGCTTTGAACCTTTGCAACAGTAACTTGCTGAAATGATACAATGATGATGATTTATTTAGTGAACATTTTAGACAAGCTCTACTGATTTCTGACCTTGAGGTTTTTGGTGGTGACGATGACCTCCCCTGTGCGGTTGGTGGTGAGCCCATGGGCTGAGGGGAAGCTCCGGCGGGGCGGAGGGGGCGGGGGGGACTTGGACGGCTTCTCTGTTCGGTACCGAGCCACATTCAGGTCCACCACTAATGAACACGGCAACCAAAAGGGACACGGAATTAGCCATAGAAACTTCTGAAACAGCAGCTGCACATAAAACATAGTATTGGAGTTCATAGTGATTTGTCAGATAAAATCAGTTCATGCACAGTGTAATTATTTGTTTGTGATTACAATAGTTGAAGATATTTATAATTCTCCATTAGCCACTAATTATCAAACAGACCCAATTTGTGGATCTTTGTGGATATGTTAGTGATGTGATGTTTGTGAATGAGTCAGTTCCTTAACATGTTAGAACTGAATCTAATTTTTTAAAAGAACCTAATCCTTTTCTTTATAGATTTGCATTTTTATATTGATTAACGCTGAATCAGCAAGAATCAACACAGAAACAGAGCAGGCAGCACAAGTGAGAGCTTTGTGCACAAAAAACATATTTGGCTTCGTAATAACAGTTAGTGTTTCAATTATTACTGTAGTGAAAGGTTTTATTCAGATTTTGCATAATTCCAAAGGGTAAACACACTTCCACTCCCCATTTCTGAGCCTTGGTCATTTTTCTTTGTGATAAGTTTGTAGTTAAATGAGTTCTCACATTGTCTTCTGTCATATAAATAAATGGTAAAAGAGACAGTTTTCTGAATGGCTCTCTGGCACGAGGAGCTGAAAATCCCATCACTAGATCTGGGTAAATTCCTAATGTGGTTAGCTAAAAAGCCTGAATTAAAAGTGCAGTATGTAACTGTCTCGATGTGGCCTGTCACCTGTATGATTCCTTGGAAACAGAAAATTAAAACCACCCTTTGTAGCATTCTCAATGAAGATGAATAAGTTTTATGCCATAGTGTGATTATAGCCAAAGGAACATTTCCATGAAAACTAGCAGGAGGATTTTTGGAGATGAAAGTGGGCACAGAGTAAGGATCCATGTTTTTCAGTGCAATTAACAACCAAAATGAATAAACATACTTTTATTTACTTTTCTTTTTGGCTAAAGTTGCACGCTGGGGTTTTAAATATGCAATTATCCATCACATACATATTTGATGAAGTCACTTTTCTGCCACTTCATAATTAGCTTATTGAATGTAGGACTATTAAGGATTATAAAGTTAAAAATTGGCCTTACCGGACCCTCTAGGCGACCCCGAGCCGTCCCCCATGCTGTTGAGTTTTTGGGCTGCCAGTTGCACTTTGCCAGGCTGCTGCTGTGGCTCTGATCCGGAGGCGGAGAGGGCGGAGTGGGTGGAGGGGGTGGAGGTTGTGCTTGCTTGGGTGCTGGATGTCCCCGCTGCAGAGGAGGGGGTGACTGTGACGGGGGTGATGGGGGTGGTGATTTGAGGCTTGGGGGGCACCGCGGGCTTGTTGATATGCTTGGCAGCGAAGTCCAAATCCGGGATGGCTTTCATGAGTTCGGCCTGGGTCTCCTCCAACAAGCGATTGATGTCCTGCGCACTGAACTGGGTCAAACTGGCACGCTTCTCCTCCCAGTCCCGCTCAGCTGCCTGGCATACACATACACACACATGATTAGCACCAACCATAGCACATACAGCATTTCTGAAATGTCATGAATTATTACTGGTGGGGCGGTATTTGCATAACATATCAAGGCCTATATCACACCATTATCTCATCTATGTTATAATGTTGTTTCCTCATCAAAAACATACCAGGAACTGTGTTTTGTTTCATTCACACATGTTTAACACATAAATCCTGCATATTCTAGCTGTGTCAGGCTCTCAAACAGAAAACACTCTGTGCCAACTTGTGATATCATCTGTTAATACAGGAAGTGTTGTGTTTTTAAATGCCATACACCTTCACGAGAACAATTCGGATGATTTCAGTGCTGGAATTGACTATCTCTTCATAAAAGGTAGCTAGTTAACTTGAAAACTACCACTACATGACATCACAAGGTGCAGCATTTTGAGCTTTGGAGATGCAGACAGACTAATAATAAACAATTAACAAGCATGTGTGAAGGAAACAAAACACAATTCTGTTTTTGATGAGAAAACAACATTCCAACATGGCTTTAAGCTCACAAGAGTCAATTTTGTGTAATATAGGACCTTAAATAATACATAGTTTTACTCAATTTACTTACAGAATCATTTTGGCATTTAATTTATCTATTTATTACACGTATACACTTAATACACTTGAGGGGATTGTTAACTGCATTTTACCTTGGACGCACAGTGGATTGTCTTATTAGTAGAGGATGTACTGTAGTAATAGTTAGATAAAAGGGTGGTAGGTTGTAGTAAGAATTCAGGATACACTCAATAGTACAGGTTAAAAAGTACTAAAATGTGAATGTTGGTTAATCAGCTTGTTTTTTCTTGAGTAATGACCTTCTGCAAGGTGACAGCTGTTGTGAGTTTTTGGCTCTACAAAAATGAAAATGAAAATCAGTTTTAGTAATTATAGCTGTGTACCACTGATGGTGGCAGTAAAAGCGGCGATATAAAACACAATGCAGTGCAGTAAAAGTAATATTAGATTAAAGTTTAGGTATAGATTATGATTACACATTTTATGCAAAGCGACCATCCACCTCATACCGTTCCTTATCTTATCTTCATGCTCGGTTAGATCAAATCGCTTTCCCATTACTATAAAATTATGAAACAGATAACAACATGACCTTATAAACTTTATGGAACAAGTTTATTAAAGTTATAGAAAAATGAATGATGGACAGTGTAGTGTGTGAGAAGATGCTGAGGAGTTTGAATGTAGATAAGGTGGTGTACAACTGTCTAAATGTGCGTTTATTCTGATAATATTGATGGGTTTAAGATGGCATCATTCTATAGGCCAATAATATTTAATACAGATGGGGGCAGCTAAAATGAATATTGTTAAAATACAGATTTTTATTGTAATACAGTGAGGTATTAGGTCTAGTCACTAACAGCAATGATCAAGTTTAACATTTGTGAATTTACCTGTAAAAGTAAAATGTTGTCAATAGGGAAAACTTTCTAGAAAAATACCAATACAGTTTTTTTTGGTTTTGTTCTTTTATGGGTAAAAAAACATTCCAATAAATTATACATTTTTAAAAAGGTTATATAAATGTTAATGCATGTTTATATCCAGGTTTCAAACTTCTCTCTATCTATACTTCATCTACTCTACTGATTTTTAACACTCACTATTACAGGGATACTTTGCACAATTTGTTTTATTTAATAGTTTTAGCATGTTTTTATACTGTGATGATTTTAATAGAAAGCCCTTTGGACACCTTAAGTGTTGTAAAGGGCTCTATAAATAAAGACTGATTGATTGATGTACCAGTCTGACTTCGGCCGACACAGCCTTATCCGAGGGGCGTCGTGTGGGCAGCTCGTCCAGCACTCTGTTCCGAAAGGTCATCGCCGGGGGAACGTCCTGCTCGGGGCATGAGGAGTCAGACTCGTTGGAGGAGGACAGGGGCATCCAGTTGGCCAGTCCAGAGCTGGAGCTGAGGTCACTGAGGCTGAGGGGGGGACTGCTCAAAATGTCCAGGTCTGAACTGCGACTTAAATCCTCTGACCTCTTCTGCTGTTGGCTGGGCAGGTCTTCAGGCCCCTTCCACACTCCCTCAGTCACTTGTCTGTACATAAGGAGGGAGAGGAGAACACTACAATACATACACACAGGCCTACAGTGTTAGAGACTTCATCTGCCAGTCAAATGTACTTCACAATCAGGCATGCACAAATCTGAAAGAGTTGAGGAAATATGTAAAATGTACATATAAAAAATACAAATATAAAAAAATCAGGCCAATTGTATCAAGACTTATGACGTGTTGTGCTTGAGTGCTTTTGTTTTTGTAAATACAATCTCTGCCTTTAATAATCTGTTGCAAATAGATCATAAACATTTAGTTTCAACTGCACACAACACATTGTTCCAACTTTTTCAGAATTGGATTGCACAAAGATGAATAAAATGTAGTTGTATTAAAACACAACAATATTCATAAGCAGTGGTGGAAAGTAATGAAGTAAAAGTAGTAAAGTATTTAAATATGAATTTTAGGTATCTGTACATTACTTGAGGACTTTTTAAAGTGCAGACTTTTTCATTTTACTTTCTGTACTTTCTACTCCACTACATTTTTTAACTGCACCAAAAAGTAAAAGCATTTTTTATTATTGTGTGGGATCTGCTGAAAAGGCTGAGGGAGTTATTTTTTACACTTTGGTAGTTTGAGCAAAGAAAAATATACAAATATAATCAGCTAGAATTCAGCACAAATCTGTATCAAACCACTACAATTGAAGCCTTATAAGACCTCAAAATCTACATGAAATATTTACTACTTTCTACTCTAAGTAATTTTTTAAACAGGTACTTTAATACTTTTAGTTAAGTAGATTTTTTCATGTGTTACTTTTACTTGAGTATTTTTTGCTTGCTTGCGATCTGTACTTTTACTTAAGTAACAAAATGCAGTACTTCTTCCACCACTGTTCATGTTCATACACACAGATAACAGTTGTGTACCTGCGTAGTGAGCTGAGAGCATCGGTCATGTTGTTGCATCGTTTTAAAAGAGCTTCCAGACGATATGGTTCTTCTTTCAAAAACTTCACAGCCTCGACCTCCACCCTCAGCACCACACGCATCTTACTCTGCAGACTGGGGAACTGACCTGGAGGACAGAGGAGAGACAGGTCAGCAGCCATTAACAATACTGGTGGATAGTATCTGCTATTACAGCCACAATGAGTATTCATACTTGCCCTGGTTTGGTCCTGGTGTGAGCCTAGGCTTTAGTTCTCATATAGACTTGGTTTAGTCCTGTTCTAGTCCTGGTTTAATTCCAGATTCATTCAAGGTCTAGTTAAATTTTTTTATGAGGTGTTTGTGTATTAATGCACCCAATGCAGTAAAGCAACAAAAGCTGTAATGTAATAGTGCAGTAGTAAGTAGTAGTAATAATAGTAGTAGTAGACTAATATTATTACTAATGTATGTATGTATTACTAAAGTATTTTGATACACAAGTTAATAGATAATGTTGGATAGTTGGATCATATGCACCAAAGGTAACAAGATCTATGATAGTGGCAATTTTTTCCTACCTACCAAACTACATGTGTGATTTTTATGTTAATTTATTCATTGTTCACAACTTACTACATCATCAGTTTAACTGGATTAATAACTAAGTAGAAAAATCTTTTGACATTTAAACAGGATTTGGTGTGGTACTACTTTGAATAACTTCTGAAAGTAAAACTCTTCTAAATACAATGTGACAAAACAATGAAAAGTCTTGGTTAAATAAGACATTTGAGAAATATTTTTGAAATTCACTTCAAGTATGTGTCTCAATTAATCTTACAGTCTCATAAAATAAATGTCATTTTTTGAGAATGCCTCACCCAACTATAATACAGATAATAGAGAGAGTCTGCCATGACACAGTCCCTAACGGAGCAGGTTTTAAGCCCAACATTTCCTCATCTCCTCATTTTTATAAACGAAATGCACACGGCCAAGAGTTACACACGGTGAATAATAAACAGAGGATGCAGGTTTAGAGGAGGTTCATTATGTGAATGAGAAAGGACTGACTCTTTAGCTCTGCGAGTGTGTCTCCCAGCGCCCTCAGCTCTTTGCTCTTCTGGTCCACGTCTTGTTCTGTCACCAAGCCGTGGTTCACTGAAGAGTTCCTCTGCAGCTCCTCCACCGACTTCTCCAGATCACTGTGGACACAATCCTAACCTTCAGCAAAGTAACTGAATAGACACTAAGTAATTCGAGCTGTACTATTAAGAAATTAGGGGAAAAAAGAGATTATAGATTTACTATGTAACTTTTCTGGGTTGCCACTTGCTTGTCTATCTTTACAGATGTTGTAAATTTAATTAAAAAAAAAACAAAAAACAGGCAAAGCAAAAACATGTCCAAGGTTTTAGACCCTGCACCCAAAAAATGAGATAGTGCACCTTTAAGTTTGTCCTCTACATTTAAAAACATGTTTCAGTTTATAGTGCTCATATTAAACATGTCTAAGAGAACTGAAACTTTAAATTAGAAAAGATTGCAGTATGAAGGACTAAACCAATGCCTGTTTGTTGAGATCTAAACTACAGGACTGGCTGCTATAAAATAACTAGGAGACTGCTCATTGCATCCAAACAGAGATTTTGTTTTTTTTTATACATTTTTAACATAGTTATGGATTGCCTAATGCACCTACCTGCTCCTTTTTTTAAGTCATTTACAGAGATTTTGTTTATTTGCAATGTGCACTGGAGTCGATTACTACATATTTCCACACTCCAATAAGAAGCAAAGAAGGCCTATTTTAGTCTCTTCTAAAGCAAAAATAAACAGGACTAAAATATGTAGCACAACACAAGATATAACACTTAGTAATTACACCATAAAATCCTGATAATAAATAATGATCCATCTGTGCCCTTGACTCACTGCAGCTGTTGTATGAGAAGCTCCTCTTGGTTGAGGTACTTGAGTCTCTCCTCTTCCACCAGGAGGCGCTGTCTTTGGAGTGGATCTTCTTGGGTTCTGGAAGCGTCCAGCATCATGAGGCTCAGCTCAGTTTCAGTCTGCCTCAGCAAAGACAGGACTGCATCTTGGTTTTCCAACTGGGAAAGAGGATAAATACAAAACACAAATATATACAAAACTCTGTTGAGAGAAAGTGGGGCTGGGTGATAGTGGTAAATCAATCAAACTCTGATCTCATTCCTTTGATGATCTGCTATTTTTGGTCTATTTTGGTCGTCATACCATGATTCACTATTTCTCTATTTAATGCAGCTGTCTGATCAAACGCTGACGCTTTTCCCACCCACTTCTTCTGTTGGTTAGCCTTTGAATGAAGCAAAGTATGAATCAGAAAAGGCAGATGACTTTATATACCCCCTAAAGATAGGTAGAAAAATATAACTGTACATGAACTGTAGCAAAATCGAAAGAGTGAACTTTTGTGATATAAATTTTTTTTTGCCACATCGCCCACCTCTAAGGGAAAGTGTAAGTGATCACACAGGAAGAAATTATTTATCTGGACACAAATTTTCATATGTTTAAAAAGTTTACATCTTAGGGACATATGGACAGGCATGGCTTTCTACAATAAACTCTTAAAGGGCTGATATAGGCGACTGGTGACATTACCTGTCTATAAAAACTGTACAACAGCAGTGCACTGACTTTTGGTTGCCACATTTGAACTTTCCCTGGACACTGGCCTAACCATCTGGACGCTCACCTGTATGTTGCGTAGCTGTGAGAGCTGTTTGCGGAGGGCGTTGGTGTTCTGCTGGAGGCCCTGGAGGTGCTGCTGCATCTGAGAGCGGGATACGGACACGGACTGACTGGAGCCAGACGAGGGCGGGGGCATAAGGGCCAGGGGGGCCGATGGGGTCAGTGCTGCACACAACAAAAACATCAGTGCTTGGAAAAGAGTCAAGTTATAATAGGGCTAAATGCATGAAATGTTAGTAGAAAGTTAGGACAAGGTAAAAGCATAATGTAATGAACAGTAACTAAATAAAGAGTGTCATAGAGATTAGAATTATTTATTACCAATGCTAATGCTTCTACTATTCTTGTTACAGCTACTACTACAACTATGATTGCTATTACTACTAATACTATGACTACGACTAATACCACGACTACTACTACTATGATAGCTATTACACCTATTGCTGCTACTACTGCCTTATATGTACTGACCATTGTCTACATTTAGTTTTATTTTCATTGTACAAAGTGCACTGTAACTTTTCTGGTGGAGGGTCAGCCATATGATAATTTCCTAGAATGTTCCACAATAAGGTTTTACATCTCACAGCCATAATAACAGTATTTGAATAATGTGTAACATCCAGGCAAAGTAATAACATCTCCATGGAGACAAGTAGGTGGTGGACCGAAAAGTTACATAGTGCACCTTTATAGTTGGCAAAATGAAAAAGAAACACTTCTTTGACATGGATGTTAGTATAAAAAATATTGTTTGATGGTTTTTTGTCATGAGTAATTTGGTCGGTCAAAGTTGGATAATACCGGCTTACAGAGATTTGATCAAAACAGCATGGAAATCCACTGGGGATAAAAAAGGTCAGCACGGAAAAAAAACATATTTCCACTAAATCCGTGCAGACAAACTATTTGGAAAACAGTCCCCAGACGGCTTCAACTAGGAGGCAGAAGACATCAGATAATCCTTTGAAATGGGAATGCAATCTACATTGTGACAGTAATTAGGATGTAGAGTCACACGCGTCATGCAAAGACAAGACAAAGGGAGAAATACTACCACATAATCAGTCGCTCGATAACAGATGGGGTTGTTTTTCCGAGTTGCATTTCAAGGCACGTTTTATTTTTGATTTTATTTCAGGGCTTTGAAGCACAGTTTACAAAGCATAGCAGCACCTGGGTACCCACTCACACCTGAACTCAAGGTCGAAAGGTCAAAGCTAAGATGGTATTTGAGCAAGACAGTTCTCAGACAATAAGGTTCTGAAACTGTCAAATGAATGGTCGGCTCAGTGGCTACCAGCTGCTCCTGACTGTTCAATACAAGTCTTATTTGAGGTGCACCGAGCAGACAGAGATAGAAGTAATAACACAGGGTAAAAGACATAACTATATAAAATGTTTTCAAGCTCACAAGATAAGCCAACACAAAGCATGAAGCATGTACAGCTATGCAAAAATGGGGAATTAAAATGGAAGAATCCAACGTGAACTGAAACCAATTGAAACTATCAGGGACTAAATCTTTAATTTAGCATTAGATTAAAATTCTCAGAAGTTGTTTACAATCAGATAACAAAGGGAAATAGCACTCATTTTCTCAACTTCCCCAATCAAAACTACAGCTACTATATAACAAAATAAGGAATGTGATTTTGCATTTTGTTGGACAATAAGACATATTATAATAATAAATTATACTATTAAAATTTAAAATTAGTTTTGAAACGTTTTTAAAGATCTGCTTTTCTCAAATGTCATTGTTTTGCCAGAAATATTCAACAGTATCGCAATAAATGTACTACGTACTTTTATTTAATGGTGGGTGTTTATATTGTTTATATTGTGGGTGTTTATATTGATAAAAATACCTTTAGGAATTTAGGATAAAATTTAATGCAACTCATTGTTAACACATAAACACAGCGATATAGATGGAGGTCTACTACTACAGAGGAGAAGTTAGTCCACTGAGACACACAAGGTTAGAGTAGAGACATGGGGGTAAAGGCAACAGTTTAAACATTGATCTACCTTTCTTTTTTTTAGTTCGTCCAGCTAAAACAAAAAAGCATGAGCACCAGTTACAAAGCAGCAAAAATGAAGCTTATATTGCAAAGAAAAACATGTGACGCACTTTGAAATTATGCAAAAAATGTCAGCTTTGTGATAGAAAAACAGTGGATAGCTATGAACGGCAGTGAAACAAGTCTTTTATTTTGGCGGGGACTTACTGTCAGTTCCTGAACAGTCGCTGGCTGACTCAATCTTCTCCCTGGAAAAGGCCAGTGTTAATGTACTTATATGGAGCATTACTATAGCGATGCAGTCTGGAGTATTGATATACGATGCAGGATGTGGAAAATGTATGTGTCGGCAGCAGCTCAGAGTACAATGAGGTGTGTGTTGGATGTGATGGATGGTGATGGGAGTCGAATCTGAATTAGAATTGAATCACTGGGTTTTATGGCGGCGCTGACAGCTGGGGTAGAAAGTTTTAGGAAAAAAATGATTGTAATAATTCTACATCTAAAAAGGCAAGGTTAAAATTGCTTTTCAGGTGGGAAAAATATGCTAACTAAAATTAAAGAAATTCTGATATGTAATTGTAATATAGATCTGTGATTGTAGAGATTTTATTTAAATATTTTTGTTTAATGTTATATTGCTTTTCATGCATCGTTTGACTTGATGAATTGTCCTCTATTACTACACAAAGTCTCTCTGTATGCTCAGTACAGTCAGTATGTAGTATCTATCTCTGTTACACACTCAGCTTCATTAGAATTCAATTAGTTACATATAAAACTTAATACACTGTCTGTGTATGCTTTTTGGACCAGCTGCTTGTCTGGAGATGGAGATGTTTTTGCTTTGCCAGGAAATGTTACATAGTAAGGCATTTAACATATCTAACTCCACAGAGACAAGCAGGTTACGCCAATTACATCAATAACAGTGCAGGTTTTTAACTTATACAAGCAGCTTTTACTGTAACTGTAATACAAGCAGCTGCACTGAGTAAGTGCCAGAGAAAAGTGAATCATGTGATGAAAACAAACCATGACATATCCACGAAAACATTCGGGAAAAGTTGCATAGTGCATCTTAAACATAAATTAATGATTGATGATTTCCAGTCATCTTAGAGATAGAATAGTTACTGGTCAATGACTGTTTACTTTTTTCTCCACTGCTCTTTGGTTCTGATGCTCTATAAGGTCAGCTATTAGGCAGCACTTGATGTTGAATTGATTTGGGGCGTAACCCGTGAACATGATGCGGATGATAAATGCATGTTTGTATAGGAGCTGTCAGCTTACGGGCTCTCAGCCTCTGGCGCTCTGCTCAGAACACGCTGCAGCAGCCCGGTCAGACTCGCTATCTGCTTCTCCATAGCCTCCATACGCTCCCTGTAAACACACACACAAACACACACACAATAACACACGTACGCACACATACCACAGGCTTTTTACTTTGAAGAAAAACAGGATTTGGGAATGTGGCTAATCCCTGCCCAATTGTGCTATGTTTGTGATTTCCCCAACAAGGGGAAAGGAAGTATTGACTATTTTTCCCTGTTAATAATTAATTGTGTTGTAGTGGGATTCTAATGGGAATACTGTACATATGCAACAAGGAATACTTCATGTTACAGCTACATTCATTGACCAGAGTAAAAACAGAAAACAGTCAATTTGTTGTGTACATTTTGTTTACATAACAAGTTCAGCGTTGTAAACATACTATAGATCTACAGATGACACTGAATACTCAAACATGTTTAAAATACATATGCATACGATATGTGCGTGTATTTTTGGAGATCTACTCATCATGTATTCAGTGTGTTAATCCTGTTGATTTGCATGCAGGATGTTACTGGAAGATTTGTGTTTTTGTCACGATTTATAAATAAAAGCACTTCATCACACGCTCTGCTGTGAGCTACTTGAACGTGAACCATGTTGTAAATAACCATTTTTCAACTCATTGAGTCATTGGCCTCTGAGCTGAATGTCAATGACAGAGAACACGTTTTCATAATTTGTACTTTCATTGTGGTTTGTGGAAGCCGTTTGTTTAAATGCAGGACTGCAACATCTGAATTTGAATAACTGTGACTAGTCGACTATTAAAATAGCTGTAATTGTGTTTTGACAAATGTTATTGTTGTATCCACACTATACAGACTCTACAACACATGTTTAATATTCTCTACAAAGAAGCCTCCAGTCACAATTTTTCAAACTTTACTTGGTTAAAAATGTATTTAAAAATCTCAGTGAAGAAAAAAGGTGCATTGTGTAACTTTTCTGATTGATGGTCCATCAAATACTTTTCTTCATGAAAGTGTTTTTTGCTTTAACTGGAATGTTTCATAGTATGACATTAAAACTTTCTATCTTCATGCTGAACAAACCAGACCAAGTTACAGGTCAGATTTGTGGAGAGGCAACACTGGTCATAGTCTATGGAGTAAGAAAGCTGTCAAAAATATTTGTGCGCGTAAAATAGAAATCCGTGCGTATTTGGGAAATCCGTGCATATTTGGCTGTAGTTGCGCATAAAATAAATATTTTGGAGCAATAAAACCACCTGTGAATGAATAAATGTGAGGTAGATCTGCTTAAGCAGAGCAATGACATATCCATAGAAGCAAAAAGTTAATGGACCCCCGAAGAGAAAAGGTACACAATGCACCTTCAAAGAAATAAAAGTTTTGTTAGTTGTCTGATCAAAAAATAATTATTGTCTGTTTGACTACTAAAATTATAATTAGCTTCAGCCCTAATATAAATGTCTTTGGTACCTAGTTTCTGTCTCGTTGCCCATCAGTGGAGATCCGTAAGCCCCACTTCCTCCGTCCGCTCCAGCCATCAGACAGAGCTGCTCCGCTGTCAATCCCAGCCCGCTCTGCCCTCGGGCTTTGGGACTGTCCCCGAAGACAGATGAAGTTACTGAGTCTCTCCTTAAACTCTGCCTCCCCGGTGACCCCCGCCCCGGCATGGTCCCTCCATAGGGGTCTCTCATATCTCTCATGTCAGGGATCTTCTGCGGTGAGGAGGGAGGAGGCACTCGCAGTCCCATGGCCAACATTGAAGCAGCATAGGCGTCATTGTAAAGTGGTCCCCCAGGTCTGTACAGCGCTTCTCGTTCCATTAACTCGCCTTGTAAAGCTGCAGCTGAGTAAGAAGTTAGTGATCGGACAGAGCCAGCTCCCCCTCCACGCCGGTATAGAGAACCATAAGGGTCCGCTCGGCTCGGGATAGGTGAGTGCGGACCTCCTGCTAGACTCAACCGTCCCGGGTCTGGACCGAGAGTGTACGGGTCAGCGTAGATGCCCCCTCCTCCACGATCATCCCCCCTCAGCAGCACCATACTCCGGGACCCCCCCACCTCATCGTCCGGCTTCACGTCCCGGCGCTCCAAAATGGCGCTGGACGAGGCGACAAAAGCGGCCTGCGGGTGATGAGGCTGCTGATGGGGGGAAGAGTGGTGGGACTGGGAGTGCGGGTGGGGCAGCGAGTGGGTGTGGTGCGGGGGTCCGGCGTAGGAAGAGGGACGCCCACCGCTGTACAGGAGCCTGGCCCGGGACGGAGAGCCCTGTGGGGGAGAGGCAGAGGCAGACGAGTGCTGGGAAGACATGTGTGCGTTACTGAGGCGACGGTTAGGGGAGTCCTGAGGGGCGTACACCATCTCCCTCTGAAGACACAAAAGCAGCACATATACAATTTAGTTACATGAAGGGCCACACAGTTGACCTTATGTTTGTTAAAAAATCAATACCCAGATAGTATTCATTACTAAAACAAGAACTGAAACTTAATATTGATTTCACACGTTAACAAACATCATTTCCTGAATAGTTTTGTATGGCCTAGACCTATATCAGAACTGTAAGACCACATAGTAAGAAGTAATATGTACTAATATTTGGTGTTGAAAATTGTATTGCATTTTACTATTCTATTGATTGTGGTGCCCTGTATGCAGACTTTGGTCACATGGTAAATGGTCACATTTTTATATAGCACTTTTCCACCTTCAAGGCACTCAAAGCGCTTCACAACAAAGAACCACTCACCCATTCTCACACTTTCATACACCAGTCTACGCAGACAAGCATTTACTCAACGATATTAAAACCAGACAGCTTTATTGGTTGGGAGAGTTTTAAAACTCACCTTGTAGTTATAGCAATAATACACATTTAATTTAAGTGCATTCAAGCCTCCATATTAGCTCATATTCTCCTCAGTGGGAACCAAATGAGATGAGAACAGAAACCAGGTTCTATGACTAGAGTGCTGACTAGAGTTTCAGTTTCTGCTACTCTAATTTGAAGTGAAAATTACAAAACTGACACTGACTGACATCAGAAAATCACCACAACAAATTTTGTGGTGAGCGTGTAAAAAAGAAAGCAAAAATAAATCCAAGATGTAGAGTTAAATGACTGCCAAAGACATGTTCAGCTGATGTGGTCTGGCTCCTGCTCCACTGGCTGCTGCAAACAGCCATGACATTGCCTCAAAGAACGTGTTTGATTTATAAGATGCCTACAAGTGTTTACACCAGGAAATTACTGATGCTTCCTGGTTCTCTCTAGCAACACGGGCTTTTTATGCAGCAAGTGTCCATGTACTTCAGTTGTAATCTATCAAAAAAAAAACAAAAAAAAAAAAAACATACAGGGCCATACAGACGACTGCATATGAGATTTTGCAGCTGATGTCATCAACATTCCCTGGGGGTGTGACGCTAACTGTAAGCTCTGCTCTGTCTGAGGCTTTGTTAGACACTAATCTGTGCTTTATTTTAATGCAATCTGACCATAAAGAACTGAAACTGACTCTCACATAACGTTAGTCACAAGATAGCTAGCATTAGTCAACAGTTTTTCAGTTACTCATTCCCTATTTTAGTTGAAAACAGGACACCTATCGAGGACTATGAACACTTGTACTGATCACCGGCTCCCGAAAATGTTGTTTAAATCCATTTTGAGTTTTTGTTTTTTTTTCTGGTGAGTTTTCAATCTAGCTTAACACTTTTTTGTCTGTGCTTGCTGTTTGTGCATTGTGTCACCATGGTAACTCCTCAACATTCCACCACTAGAGATACATGTAGAACACCCCCAAGCGATGACACTGCAAAGTATGACTTCCTACATGTCATTTCTCCTTACAGCCTCCAAATAGCATTTTAAATTGCCCTTGATCTTTTATTGATAAGACTGAGCGCGGCTGGTTTATCTTTGGCTTTGGGCCCAAACGTCACTGTACGAAATGTGAAACGGAGCACGGACAGGGACCTCCTGTGAAAGCCCAGAGGCAGAGGCAAAGGCTAGCAGTCAAGTGTTTAAGATACAGCGAGGGAGCACAAAAGAGCAACATAGTAATTTCATATAGACATATCCAGGATACAGGGCAAATTGAAAAACCAATATTTCCACATAATAATCCTTAGTCTCCTCCAACAGCACCCCACGGACAGCCTCGCGGGCCACTAATGACTGCGCGGCCATCATCTTCAATCTTGTATCTTAGCAACAGCTCCTTATCGACGCCATGCTCAGTGTAAAGACATTTCAACGCACCTCCAAGACCCCCTCAGAGCTGCACAGGGCGACCGCTTCAGGTAGTGTTCCTTCGCCATTTCTCCATTGCTAAATATGCCAATCTATCACATCCTAAACTACTGTGCGCTAGTGGACTCCTATAATCCAAGTCATGCTTTTGTGATCAGCAATTGGGGGAATATTCTTGCTGCGCTTGGCTGGGTTTCAATAAGCTCGCCCATACACACTCACCTTGGCAGTAAAAGAGGCAGTACCTTACGGGCATAAAAATTGAGATCTAATGTTGTAAAATGCATTGAGATATTGGCAGCCAAGCGTTCCCACAGGAGTCATAGGAAAACTGACCTCCACAACATTAGCGGGCAACAAGAAATCATCTATGGACTGGGAAGCAATCAGGAGCACAGGCAGGTAAACAAAAGCCCTAGGGTGCAGGACAAGCTGTCAAAAACGCCCTTGTAGTAAATAACGCGTTTAGCATTCAGTCCCAGTCAGTGTTTTGCACATGTCTGCGCTTTGGAGCAATCTGGTTTGTCATTTTGTTCGGAGCCACAATTTTCTCATTACCATAATCACAATGTAATTAGATGGTAACAAAATGCAACTGCTTGTATGAGAAACACTTACGGTGCAAAATTGAAAAATATTGGGCGTTTTGTGTCCTTATTGGTGTCTGTTTTTATTTTGTAGCATTAGTAATCATGCTAATCAGTCTGTTGTCATATTTGCTGCTAGAAGCTTAGGGAAAAATAGAGATGAATTACTTTTTTCTTGTCAGTCAAACAAGGAAAATTACAATAGTGATAGAGGCGATGGGAGCTGGGAAGGTTGAGTGATGGGGAGAGGGCCTGATTGAGTTTTTGTGTTTAAAGCTGCACTATGTAACTTTTCTCATAGACAGTCTGACAGCTACTTATTTCATTGAGGTGTTATTGCTTTGCCTGACATATTCCACAGTATTTACATTACAGTTATCTTATAGTGATTCAATGATAGGTGTTTTTATAGTCCAAACATAAAAAAAAAAATTGCATTCTTACTGTGAGTGGGCTCGCCTCTCCACAAATCTGACCTGTAACTCTGTCTGGTGGCATGCCCTTTTTAGCCCTCACTGTTTTTATTTTGATTTTATTCTATGCTATTTTTGTTTTTTTAAAGGTGCACTGTGTAACTTGAATAAAGTAATACCTCAGTACGGCATTAAAACATAACATCGCCATGGGGATAAGTGTTTGGAGCCACTAGGGCAAGTTATTACTGTTCAGATCTGTGGAGAGCAAGCTCATGCACAGTGTAGATGCATGTTTTTAAGATATTTCTGACCAACAGAAACACCCACAATGGAAAAAAAAAAGCTAGATAAATATGTAATGCTTTGCTGTTGAACATCACAGATAAAGCAATGGAGACAAGTTACACAGAACACCATTAAATAAAAAAAATAAAAATAAAAAATAGGATGGAGGTAATGATAAAACTGGTAGGATGAAGTCAGTTGTGTTTGAATATCATCAGCTTCCAGCATCCAACATTTTGAGGATTTTTTCCCAATTCAAAACATAATCTTTTTTAATTATTAATCACTATTTCAGTTATCTTTTTTCATCATTCTGGACCCACGGATATATTTTTTTGCGGCAGGCAGAGAGTTCATTTTAAGTGTTTCCTTCTATGTTCAAATGGTTGGCTCCATTTAGCCATACGTCTACAACCACAGTGCGCAGTTATAACGTGGTCCTCAGCTGAACCTGGAGGAGCGCTCTATCATTTGGTGTTTATGCTGCGCTGCATCTGTCAGCATTTTGTCGACTCAGCGCGGGTGACGTGAGCTGGCAAAGGTCCAGAGCGGAGGAGTGAGATCACATGACCCACACACATTCACTATATAGTACAGCGTGTGACGGAGGGTGGGAGGGAGTAGGTTATATGTAGTAATAGTAGTGGTAGGAGTAGTATATATAAAGGTAGAGGATTAAGGCAGAGATGGGGCACTCAAAAAAATCTATACCCAAATACTAATTTATAACTAAAATGAAAACTAGATACTCATTAATATTGGAAATGTTAAAACTATCTTAACTAATATAAGATCACATGTTAATATTAAAATAAGCACTTTTTACTTCCTTTTTATGTGCTCACAAACTCTGTGGCACATTGCTGGTACTACTATTACTACTACTACTTTAACTACTACTACTACTCTAAACTACACTATTGACAGAAATGCAAATATTCTCCACAATGAATCTGCGCAGAGGTAAATTTGTACTGAAAATATATTTGAATGCAATATGATTAAACTCTTAAGACAAATGACTGTAAGTGTTTTCATCTGTGTGACCAAAGACTTGCACTCAGACTGAATTTTAATGAGAGAAAGGTGTCACTGAGCCTCAATTATGTTACTGGCTTCACTTTACATGTTGGCGTCGCACTAAACAGACTTATCACACTGGATGGATACTCTACAACTCCACAAGCGTCAGTCAGCCCACTCACTTTTTTGGCAAAACACTGTGGCTCTACATACTGTCTACTGAAACCACCTTCTGTTTGAGTGGGTTTATAACGACCATTCAAATACTTTTGTGTTATAACTGGCAAATCTCCGGCTAGTGGATTTAAAAATTATATTAAATGAATGCCAAAATGTCTGTGCATTCAAAACTGAACAACATCATGCAAATATGTAAGCTAAATTCACTTACATAATATTAATATTGCATAACGAGGTCCGTAGTTAAAGGTGAACTGTGTAACTTTTTTGTGGAGGATTGTCTCCATGGAGTTGTTATTGCTTTGCCTGGAATGTTCCACAGTGAAGCATGAAACTCATCTATCTCCATGAAAATAAGGAGATATGAACTAGGCATAGATACAGGTCAGATCTATAGAAAGGCTTCCCCGTGTATGTAAGAATGATTGTTTTCCATGGTATTTTCAAGCAATAAATACGCCTATTGTGGAATAAATACAAAACAAAACTGTGGAACAAAACAATAACAGCCACATGGAGACAAGCAGGTGGTGGACAACAACCAGAAAATTTACACAATGCACCTTTAAAACCTCAGACACTTACCCGGAGGTCTCCATTGGCCAAGTGCGGGTTGTGGTGTCCAGGGTAAGTTCCATATATGGGCTCTTTGCAGTAAATCTTAATTACACAGCGATCTTGAACATCTCGTGGGTCCTCCAGCTCATAGAACACATTTCGAGTCTCATCTTTGATCAACAGAGCTGTAGTTGGAGACCTAAACACCAATATCCATCAGCAAAGGACAAAAGAAATGGGGTATTAAAAAACAGTACATGCTATTCCAATGCGTGTGTTTCAAGTTTCTAAAATGAATAGGGAATTGGAAGATCTTTAAAGCATGAGGGGGCCATAATGAGATAATCAACACTGTGCACTCTGAAATCGAAGTCATCATAAATATAATGGAAGAGATTTGGACTTCGGTAATAGAATATATTATTGATTTTCTTGTTCTAGTCAGAGTAATGAATGCTCTTAGATATTTGAAAATACTGTGGCCTTGGGTGACCAGAGCAAACAATTTGCTTTTCAGTTTATCTAGGTTTGGACAGGGACAATATAAACACTGTGACTTTGCAACTGATGTCATTAACATTTCCCTGGGGGTGTGATGCTAACTGTAGGCATCTATCTGTCTGAATTGCTGATAGACTTTAATCTGAATTTTAATTTATCGCAATCTCACCAAAAAGTGCTGACTTAGTTGAAACTACAACAGGTGATCTGATTTGTGCTTAAATAAGTCAAATAACATTACAGTCACTCACTAGTTAGCATTAGCCAACACATTTTCAGTTAGTCACGCTCAGCTTTTTGTTGAAAATCAAACACCTAAACAGGACCAGTCACAGACTCCTAAAAACGAGCTGTTAAATCCATTTTGTGTTTTTTCTTTGAGTTTTCAGTATCTTGTATCTTCAGTATCTATGCTGTTACCTCAAAAAAAATAGAACGTTAGAATAGAACAACAAAAATAGAACGTTTGGTTCGTCTGTCACTTTTAACATTACCTTCAATAGAAATAACACCTTCACTTCAGCTAATGAAGTGCACCGACACTTCTGTACTTTCTTAGCCATAACATTAAACTGAATGACCAAAGTCAAATATACTCCATAAGGAATTACAAATTTTTAGTATTAGAACCAAGTTTTAGCCCCTGGAACTTGTGTGTTGCATATAGCTATAGCCATACAGTTTTCATACCAATTATGTTCCTGTCTTCAGTCTTTGGTTCATTTGATGGCAAAAGATGACAAGACCAGTTTTGGTGATGCTCTGGGTTATGTAGCCATTGCCTTTCACCCTTAAAATTTGTGGATAATTTTGATGCATACATTGTTTTAATTATAGCCAATATACTTGATATTCTAATTGTGTTTATCTCCATAGAATTATAATAGTATCGACTTTGTACCTGAGCATTGCCATGGTGAGCCTCTGGGGGAACATGTGCACGATGAGGGCTCGGAGAGTGTCCAGGCTGGTCAGCTCGTGGGTCAAGTGCACCCTCCGGGTCTCCTCTCCGAGCTGCAGGAACAAGACCCCTGCATTTATGGACGGGGAGCAGCAATGAGGGGGTGTACAGTGACGTCAGGGATGAAGAGAGTGGGGACAAAATTCAACAATGTAATTCACCTTTTACAGCATTTTTACTAAAAGTTGCAAGTTTTAAAACTACTACTACTACAAACTACTTTCAAGTTCAATAATTGAGGAAGATTCTTGGATGATTCTTGAAAGAAATGTGAGGTAGACTGGGTACTCTGTAATGATAATACTACAATTTTTTAAAGTACACTGTTACCTTTTGTGTTAGAGGGCTGCCATCCATCTCAGTGGAGATGTTACTGCTTTGTCTGGGATTTTCCACAGTATGGCATTATACTACATTCATAACCCACTCACAGTTTTTTAAGGACTTTTTGTTTTTTAGAGATTAAAACTCTTATTAAATACAATTAAATACAGGATAGATAAGTTCAATGGCATATTCTGGAACATTCTAAACAAAGCAATAACATCTCCATGGAGACAAGCAGGCGACGAACCTCTCATCAGACAAGCTGCATTGTATACTGCACTCTATGCATCAGTAAACATGAATTCTATAAATGTTTCTGAAAATTCTAACAAAATGTAAAGTGTTATCTGCCAGTGTCAAGTACTCAAGCAGCAAAGTGTCAATCAATTTCACACTGTATTACGGTATTTCTGGCCACTGTACAAATGATCCTAGACAATACCATCATATGTATTTATTAAAACTAAGAAGGAAATAATGTTATCCTATGAAGGTTTGTCTCACTCCATTTTAACTCTGTCTACATTGATAAAAGCTAATTGCTGATTCATTAGTCTACCCCTTATATTAGAATAACCTTGCCACCAGCGAGGCAAGTCATCGAGACACACAATTAACAGCAATAATGTGTAATAAGTGCCTGATAACATCCTATAACCTTTGATTAAAGCGATCAATACCACGACCGCAGAACCTTTGGACAGTCGCACCATCAGGCTCCTAATTTATTGGATCTGAACAATTAAACCCCCTTGAGACTGGCTATCACGATCATTCCCTCATTAGCTATATTCAGACATGGAGAACAGCTGCAGTTTCACAGTCTACCTAATGTAAGTTAAGTATGAGGAACTACTAGTGCTTTATCAACATGATTTATGATTGAGACTTCGATAAAATGGGCCCAGCTGGTCACAGGGCGTACAGTATGTGAGGTGCACACTGTGACAGGCATCATCCATTACACATAATACACAAGTGTTTAAATTTAACTAGGACATCATGTGGAAAATAATTGGTAATAAAATGGGGATCACATTAACTGCAGTAAAGGCGCTCAATTGCTTTATTAATATGGCAAGTATAAGTATGTGGTTGTGATAAAGTATGTTTTTGTAATTGATATAAGATGTGTGACAGTGCAGTCTATTTCAAGTCCCTGTAAATTTCATTTTCTGAAGTTGTTTAGTAGGGATGTTACGTTATCTATATCTCTTGGTACAATATTTTCACGATATACATGTCGCGGATATAATATTTATTGCAATATTTTGTGGAGGATAAAAAAATTGTGAATATGCTACTTTTTCCTCTTAAAATGCTTTGACAAGACTTAATCCAAAGAACAAAGATTTTAAAGTGTTAGAACTGTTATTTCTTCATGTAGTCTGCACTGAAACTGAGCAAAGGATCATGGTCTGTTGTTATTCCCTCTGTTTTTTAGGTATATAAGCAAAGAGACTTTAATTTGATATATTGTGATGGTCCATGATATTACTGTGAAACCTTCGACGATACAATATCATGATATTTTGGTGATTGCTGCATTCCTATTGTTTAGTCCTGGTTTAGTACTAGTTTGGTTTTGGTTAAGTCCTGATTTAGTCCTGGTTTAGTTCTTGTATAATCCTGGTGCAGTCCTAGTTTAGTTCTGGTGTAGTTCTGGTTTAGTCACAGTTTAATCCTGTTTTAGTTCCTGCTTTGTCCTGGTTGAGTGTTTAGTAGAGAAGCACTGACACACTATCCAGTATCAGCACATATACAGAAAAATTTGCTGGATCGGTTACAGTTCCATAATATTGGTTAAATCAATATCCTAGATGGGCCTTTAATTAGATGTAATGAGACTATTTACAGGTTGATCTTGGCCCAGAATGTCTCATAATATTTGAAACTTTTATTTACATTAAGCTGTTCAGTCATTATTAGATTTTCTTTAATAGCTAACTGGTTTTAAAAAATAAGTGTAATTTTCCATCTTACCTTACCCAATATTAACCGATACCAGTGTATCGGCAGAGAAGTATCAAAGTATCAATACTGAAAAAGCTAGTGTCTAGTCTAGCCAGTCTTTACTGCTTTTTCATCCTTGTTTTGATTTAGCCCTTTCTATAACACCACAAACAATAATAACTACTTTCTGATATTCATTTTAATGTGTTTTTCTTTGATTAATGATAATAAACATGTAAATAAACAAATAAATGAATACTGCGCAGCCCAAGTTTCATAACATAATGCCTTCTCCGAAACCTCATTTATGTCAGGTGTTGATCGATATGTAATAGTGGAGAATGAATGTGCACCCTGGCCCTGTCATTAATCACAGGCGACAGGTAATGGGGGAGGCAGGAGACAGCTCTGTTAAACTTGCCTCTTCCTAAACACATCCGCACACAACTGAACTGAGTTTCACCTGACACTGTTTTACTCGATTTACATTGACGCCGTCAGTCACCTCCCATAAGCAACTGCCATCACACTGAAGCACCACTCAGCTACCAAACCACAGTGTCTGCCACCTCTCACTATACATTTTATACAACTGTAAGATTGTTGCTTGTTAGATATAGGCTTAAAGGTCCATCTGACTTTTAGGTTGGGGGTCCGTCACCTGCTTTTTTCTATGGATATGTCATTGCAAAGCCTAGAATATTCCACAATATGATATTAAAGAGCTCTACTTTTCATTTATTCAATTACAGGTGGTTTAAAGCTCAAAAATATCTAGAAAAACAGGCTGACTTTGTTGCCTGTCCACAGATCTGACCTGTAATTTGGTCTGGTTTGATCTCCATGAAGACAGAAATGTTTAATACTATTCTGTGAAACATTCCAGACAAAGCAATAACATCTTCATGAAGAAAAGCATTTGACGGACCCTCCACCAGAAAACTCACACAATGTTGCATCCAATTAAAATTATTTGCACATTAGCATCTCATTAGTTTGATTTTATTGGCACAACAGCAATAATACACTAACCTGAGATAAAATAGGATACTGAAATACAATGCTGTACATTCAATATTTTTAATCTGCAAAAATGTATCTGATGGTCCTTGTCTAATCCTGGTTTAGTACTAGTTAACTCTTGAGATAGTCCCAGTTTAATCCTGATCTACTCCCAGTTTAGGCCCAGTTTAGTACTGGTCTAGTCCCATTTTAGTCCCAGTTTAGTCTTGGGGTAGCCAGGCTGGTGCCACCTAGTGCATCTGCTCAATTTAATTTCTCTCCAGCGACTAGGTCAGGAATCAGAATACACTAAAGAGTTTGCAAAAACCCCGGTTTTTGCAAACAGTGCGAGTTCAGGCACCAGCCAATCAGCGAAGAGCCATACATTCTGTGGTTTCGTAACAATTCTCGAGATCAAGGATTTAAAGCCGGAACAAAGAGAATGTTTGTTGAATGGAACGAAGGGAAAGACGTTATTTTCCTTCTTCCTATGGGATTTGGGGAAAGTGAAATATATCAGTTAACCCCGTTAGCGGAGCAATACATACGTCACGACCAAATAACAGTGATTGGTTAAATTAAAAAAGTACCCGCCTACCATCGAGCAAACAAATTCTTGCGCAGTGAAACCGTCTGATGCATCGGGCTGGTCCTGGGGTAGTGTGTGTGTGAAATGTTCCTATTTCCACAGTTGTAACATATAACAAAATAAGATTATCTTAAATTACAAATACAAAACAGTTCAACCATACATGCACATTGTTCTGGTTGAAAAGGAAATAAATTAACTAAACTTGTACTATACAGATCAGAACATTCTCATGTCCGACACTTTCAAACTGCATTTCTAGCTTATAGAATACCAATGATGTACTGTGAGTCCATATCTTGAGGACAAATATGTACCACTTCTTCATAATAATTCAGACTTATATTTCAAGGAGAGATTGCCACAGTAGTCTAAATTATGAACCCATTTTAATCCTCAACTGACCTGGCGCGCGGAGCTTGGCCTGGCTGGAGGAGCGGGCCAGGGGCAGGCTCTGTCGCAGGCGGTTCATGCGGTTGAAGCCCATGGGCAGGTCAGGCTCAGACATGGTCTCCAGGTTTTCGGCCGAAGCGAATGACACTCGGCTGGCCTGGTCTGCGAGGGCGGGCTGAGGGGGGCTGAGGCGCGTCACACGGGGGGTACGACTCTGTGCAGGGAAAGGGAGGGAGAGAGAGAAAAAGAGAGAAAGAGATGGGAGAGTGAAAGAGAGGAGAAAAGAGAGAAGAGACGAGAGAGAGACAGAGAAAGAGAACAGAGAGTAAAGTAAAGAGAAAGAGAGAGATGATAGAGAGAGAGGAGAGAGAAAAAGAGGCATGAGAAAGCGCAAAGAGAGAGGGGGGAGAGAGAGGAAGGAGCATGAGCGAGATGTTAGAGAAAGTGAGAGAAGAGATAAAGAAGAGGAGTGGGAGAGAAGAGAGAGATAGAGAGAGAGGAGAAAAAATGAAAGATTATTCCATTATTCCATGACAATTTTGTGAAATGAGGACTATGGCGGTGAGCAGGAGACAGAATGTGGAGAGTACAATACTGAAAGTGTGAAAATCAATGCAAAGACACAAAAGCTCCAGGAAAAATCTTTAGTGAGACACACAAAAGAGAGGCTATATACTGTAGCTCAGCCCTCTGAACAAAGGGAGGATCCTAAAGACAAAATTAGTAGCAAAAGCCCCCTAAATACAGTATAATGACTCCAGCATCGGGCAGAGAACAGTGTACGTATACAGTGCAATCCAGATGTTAACCCCTGTTTCACACCTAAATCTGTTCAGTCAAATATAGCCTACAAGACCAAAGTTTTCCAAATATTGTATGTTATAAAACAATCTGAGAACTGGGAACTATTTAGTGAGTATCTACTGAATCATGAAAGTGGAAAGATATGTAAAAGTATAGTTCAAGCATAATGGATGTTAAAAAAAAAAACAGTTACTTACTTAAAGGTGCAATACATAACTTTTCTGATGAAGTATGACAGCATGGCATTAAAGTTATCTATTTCCATGGAGACAAGGCCAAGTTACAAGTCAGAACTGTGGAGAGGCAAGCCCACTAACAGTAAGAATGCATATTTTTCAAGATATTCTGATAGCAATTAAACACTTCTAATTAAATGAATACTAGATATACAAGTTTAATGCCATACTATGGAACATTCCAGGCAAAGCAATAACATTTCTAAGCTTGACTACTCCCCACACTCGACCATCTTAATGACTAGAATAGACTTAAATGTGATCTGTCCACCAGACTACAGCAGTGACGGTTAAGCTGCCAATCCACCCAGCAGCGGGAGCCCAAATTGAGCGGGACCCCTCATTAAAGCACTACCAAGCGTTGCCCGGGCAGGTTGGCTTTTAATGAATCTACACTGACGGACATTTTCCAGCCCAAAGAAAACCATAATGAGCTCCCACAGTGCCTCGGCGAAGGCAGCTAGCATCTCCTGCTAGTAAAAGCAGCAAGCTTCTCCACTGTCACGCTCCAAATGCATACTGTTCAGAAGTGCTAAGAGAATTATCACAACATACGTGTTAGAGAGAAAAAAATCACACAATATTTCTGTACAATATGTATACATACATCAGTAAAAGGTGTTAAGGTGATTTAAGGCTGCTGTTTGTAAGATTTATAGCTTTATAGTGAGCTTTCTACCTCATAAAATTCAAGTTACGCACCAGGAAATAAAGGCAGAGTGATACATTTGGCTTTGTGGACTGTGAAAGGAAGAAGGGCAGACGAAAAATAGATGTTGTAAGAAAAGGAAATTGAATACTTAGAAAATATGTGTGTGAGGAAAGAAACATAAAAACTTTTCTTTATGACTTTGTTCTAAATTTAAACAATGACAGCTCAGTGTGAGATGCAATATGTCACCCACGGTGACGCCGCAGTTTGTGTGTGCTCACTCATCAGGAGTTTGGAGCAGATGCTGTTTTACAAACACATGTTATGAATGTATGAAGTTATTACAATATCACACAGTATCACTATACCTTTATAAACATCAACTTACATTTATGTAACTGTACATTTATGTCTCATGCTCAGTTAGCCATTAAGTATTATTAATATGACAAACATTACATGACTGCAAAATATGAGTCTAGAAAACATACATTTGATCTCTATTAAATCTGTGAAGATACATAGTAATTACGCTTATACTATTTCTGGAGGTCAAAAGTCAAAGCATTTATTTTAGGTATAGAATTGGAGAAAAATCTACAGTAAATCAATTTCAATACAATTTGATTAATTAATTACATAGCAATTAAAACAGCTCCAGTTGACCAAAATGCTTCACATAATCAATTATGAATAAAACTAATAAACAGTAATCACAGGACTATAAAATGTGAAAATCAAAGCATTCAGGAAGCTAAAACAAAGGTTATGTGATCCAAGACTTCCTGCCTAGCCAGTGTTGAATGCCAGAGTGAAGAGGTGAGTTTTCTGTTGTTAATTTATGAGTTTTAACATTTCACAATGATGGGTACATTTGAAATTTCAAATATTGTATTTCCTGTGATTGCCATTTCTTAGTTATACAGTTCTTACTAGCAGCTAACAAGGCATTAAAGAGTTAAACAAGTTGAATTACTGGGATACATCGATTATATTTCACCATTCACCAGATAATCCAAATAAGTATGTTTTAGTAAATTATGTATATATCAGGATATGTACATTATACCTACATAGGGCTTATATGATTTAAAAAAAACACTTGAGCTTTATTGTTGAACATGTACTTTACCACTGGGGCTATCACATCACTAACTATAAAAATACAAAAGGTAGTATCAAACATGGGATTCCTATGGAGACACGCCTCCTGAGCCTTCTGCCGAGATGAAGAGAACATATCAAATCTAACACTCCTGTCTACTGTATTGTACAGTGCATCAGACAGTAATTCTCAGGTGATTATTGCTTCAAAGCTTTATTTGATCAGCAAAAACATTACCTCTGTGTTAAGACCTGACAATGGGACAATAGGGTGTCTTTTTTAAAGGAACAGATAAATATCGTTCCCACTGTATACCATAAAGTGCACTACGAACAGGGCATTTACGCATCGTTATCTGACTGTGTGTATGTGAGCACTCAAGTGGCCAAGTGTCATTGTATTTACTCCACTGACTCACTGTTTTCTCTGGGCAATATGAGTAATGATACAGACACAGGGAGTAATTTGGAAGCACAAAAGGGAACAGGGAGTTTAAACAGCGGATATGAGACTTCCTCTGTTCTGTAAATATATAAAGAAAAGAAAATGTAAAGAAATATGTCAATTGTAAACTTGACAGAGAAAGGTAAAGGTAAGCCATTAGGGCAGAGATCATCTTTTTGCAGTAAAAGTAAAAAAATAAAAGTTAAAAGTGCACTGTATAACTTTCAGGTGGATGGTCCACTACCTGCTTGCCTTGATAGAAATTACATGTTCCACAGTAAACTTAATTAAACTTAAACATCTTGCATTTAAGTTACACAATTTAAGTTTTTTTCAATGAATTCTGGATTAATAGGCAAAGTTGGCAATGACATCTGGTGTAAAACATACAATTCAACTTCCACAATTTTGGAAGTGCAATTTTTCTGACATATACTTCCATTGTGTTTAGATTTGTGAAATGTTTAAAGATAGGATTCTCTTCAGGCAGCACACTGTGAACAACTCCAAGTGCACTGACATTTGATAAAAGACTGAAATATGAAAGGATAAACTAATAAAAGAATCCCATGAATTTCAGAACATGTTTGTAGAACTCTAAACTACAGGTACAATACAAATTTTCTAAAGAAGACAGGATATTCTAGTATCTAAACAATTTCTAAACAATCTTTGCGATTTCATAATTGCACCAACTCAAAATGCGATTTAGATTCGATTGCAAAATAGCCCTAATTTGTTGCCCATGTTAAAACAGATTTTCAACTTCGACTTGCCTTGGATGTCTTTTTGCTTGGTACTATAAATAAAGCTATCATCATAGTAGTAAGTAGGTTGCTGGTTTGATCCTCTATACAATCACATATGGGCCAACAAAAATGAACGTGAGAGCACACTATCAAAAGGAAGAGAAAATCTGCCATATATGCTGCAGTCGCCGCCCTCCTCACAGTAATTATAATATCATCATTACAGACGAAGATTTTATTTTAACATGTATCCAATAAAACAAAGTACAACATAATTATAGAATGATAGTCTTGTCGTAATGTTTCGCTCAACTAGCTACCATCTGGCTGCGTGCACTTAACTCCCAAATTCAGTGAAAATAATGCGGTATGCCAGAGCGGCTGCTAACTGCACAGTATCGTCCCCGGGCTACGGCACAGACCACGCCATCGGAAATTAAGAAGCTGAGACTAATTGTAATTTAGGCTTCGTTATTATTTTCTATCAGGTAGGCTGTGTTATCGGGCGGGATAATGGAACACAGCTGCCAGCACAGGGCTACATGCAAGGAGGTAATCACAAGGGGGAAATTCTAACTGTGATGTTGTGAACAGAGCACATCCAGTTTAAATAGAATCTACATGTCTAAATAGGAAAGAAGTAGAAGTATCAGCAATGGTGAGCAGGGTGAATTGAAATCAGTAGTAGTAGTAGTAGTAGCAGCAGCAGTAATAGTACTAGCAGTAGCAATAGTACCAGCAGTATTTAGAGTAGTATTGGTAGTAGTAGTATTAGCATTAGTAGCAGTAGTAGTATTAGTAGTGGCAGCAGTAGTAGCAGCAGCAACAGTACTTAGAGTAGTAGTAAGTAAGTAGGGGTATAACGGTACGTGTATTCATCTCGAACCATTTCGATACGGGATGTTTGGTTTGGTGCAGGGCTGTGCAGGAGTGAATTTGCACTATTTGTGTGTTTACATTCTGCCACATGTGCAGCTACACGGAAGGCTCGGCTCTTTAATATTCACGAGGGAACTCATCCACGATTGGGGTGGCAGTGTTTCCCGCGGCACTTTATAGTTACGGCGGCCACCTTGACAATTGTCCCCTGCCTTAACTATGTCCCTCTGAACCACGTGAATCCTCGCAACACTACGGTTGTCGTGCCATGGTCGTCACTTTCGCCAGCACAGAATCGCCGCCCCACACCCCCAACCCATATCCCCGACCTCTGTTCCCAGCAAA